GACAAAAACGATGCGTATGGTATACGATCAAAATTAAAAGATTTATTCGAGAGCCCGGAATTTCAGCCCAATGTAAAATGAAAATGAGGGCGAGAATGGGTCAATTTTATGATAAAAAATTAATTTTTTGGGCCTAAAATTCCTTGGGCCAAAATTCATGTAACCCAAAGATCTGAAGAAAAAAAAAGTTGACGAGTGTCAATTTGATCGACAACCGTAGTCCCGAGGGACTAAATGTGATGCTTCTGTCTCATAACATTGAGTTGTGTTTGGCTATCGATCGCGGCTCGTCTTTTTTCTTCAGTAATTACACTCTATTCAAGTTGTAACAAGTTACAGATTGTGCAATTCTTCTCTTATGGAGTCATGCTGATAAAAAAACGAGACGATAGAAATCATGTGCTTTTCTACTTTTGATAGAAATAAAAACAAAAAAAAAAGAAAGATAAAAACATTAGAATGACTATTCATTCATTTTTTTGTCGGGCATATTAAAAAAAGAGGCAAGTAGATTATGACAATGTATTTGCTTTAATACTTGTTTCAGAGTGCGTCAATTAAAATAAAGTGCTTACTCTTATATATTTCCTAATGATTTATTAATCTGCGGAATACTTCTTGACTAAACGATTATCGATCGGTAGCAATTGTTTACTGATGATTTTAAGTCGCCTATGTTGATACGACAAAAAGCAATGCGAAAATGTAAAAAGTGGTCCCCACAGCAACTCTCATTACCATGATCGTTTAGAAGCAATCATGGTAACGGGTATAGGTTTTCGCCGGTTTCAAGTCGTTTAGAACCGTTCTATGAGACATGATATCCTTGAATCTTCTGCTAACTTTATTCAGTTAAAAATATCGGTTGTAAATCAGTTGCGCTGTAAATTTTTTATTCACAGACTTTTATGATGTTGAGATTGAACTGTTGTCGATTGAGAAAAGTCGTAGAGATCGTTGAAGTAAAAAAATCCTCCTTTTCTTGTATGACAATTATTTATGTAGCTTGAGTGAAATAAATAGCTTTCCACCGAACAAAGAAAGAAAGTTCAAATCTCACAAATACAGTGTGAATTCTGGTAACTTTTGGTACATATTTTGAGCAGCTATTATAAATCTTCGATGGTGGCTCTGAGCAGCATAGAATTCAAGTATCGAATATCTTTATAGATTTGTTTTTAGAAGCAAAAATACATAGAAGCCACCGAATAATTTAACGAGTTGTTCAAAGAGAAAACAAAACAAGCGAAAAACGAGTAATGGATCGGATTGATTTGAGTAGAAGTAGAAGAAGACGTGGGACAATTTGAAATTTTGAATCTACTTCAAATATTTACCAACTTAATTAAAATTACCGAAAAAAATAGTAAATCGATTGAATAAAATCTTCTTGCGTATTCTTATAGATTTTGTCTGTAAATTATAGTTTATTACTTATCTAATTAAATAATGATATTTATTTTATCGAGAACTCTTGCATGAAAAGTATCGTAAAAAGAACGCGAACAGCAATATTTCTAAAACTATCCTATTCGCTCAGATAAATACGAAGCGTCTGCTTTTCAGAAGAGAAGAATTCGCTTTTCGAAACATCTCAAATTTAGTAAACTCTCAAGTGATGTTCATTGATAGGCGAACAAGAAGATATTGTATATAATTACAAAATAAATCTAAACGCATGCTTACATTTTTGACTATGTAATTATAAGATTTACCTTTTCAGACATATATTCCGTTGCGTCTCATTTTAGATTGATAATGACAGAGAGTACCGTAGTCTATAGTCATGAAAAAAAGTTACAAACCATCATTCATTCAAATCATCATATTCGAAACCTTGTACGGCGTAATGTTCATCATTTTCTTAGCTTGCGTGAAGAACTTCTCGACAATTCGATCATACAATGCTTGATGGCATCGGATGATCCTCAATCGCCATTGATTGATACAGTACGCATCGAACAGTTAAATGCTCGTGTAACTTCGGATAAAATTCAATTAGCTCTATGCGGGGAAAATTCAAGTGGTAAAACAGCATTTTTACATGCATTCCTCAATATCGGTAAAATTCTGCCATCCGGCGATGGTCCAGTTACAGCTCGAATTACAAAACTTACTTATGCTGTACCTGGAGAAGCATGTATTCGAATTAAAAAATCACTTCGAAATCATACACTCATCGATGATGAAATAAATCTTTCGACATATTTTTCTTCTGAGAAGCCTAATTGGATGGGTATTGGGCGTGCTCTTGCGAAACATGTGAAACGACCCGAAGGAATCGATGAGAAATCACTGGAATTCGCTGAATGGGCTCGTTCTGTTGCTGAAATTCATATTCCATCGTCTACACTAGCTTTAGGTGTTGATGTCTATGATACACCTGGTTTTCTTTCGGATGACGCTCCAGTACTCAAAGAAATTTTACACGATCTTGTCGAACTAATTCATCCGACACTTGTTTTCATGTATGCGAATCCATCAACTGATGATGCCACTAAAGGCTGTTTTTTGGCAGTCAAAACGGCTCTGCATGATATAGATGAGATGAGTATCTTCTTTTTAAATTCAAAAGCTGATCTGACTCGCATGCCAAAGTTTAAACAGGGTATGAATGAAAACGAATTTCTCACTATATTAGCCGACGAACGAATTCAACGATATAAATTATTATTGGACGCTCCTTTTCTTGTCAATGATAAACTAGAAGGTTTACCAATATCAGTCGATCAATGTCAATGTTTCGATTTGTGTAGTGTTAATTCACAATCAATCAAACCTCATGGCCCAACTATGAATGAAGCTACTATTCGACGCATCATTCAATTTGTTGCCAATAATGATTTAGCTGTAGCAAAACGTGTATGCAAATTAGTATTGCCTGCGATTGATTCATTTTTCGATTTATTACATATAACAACTCATCGAACACCGGAGCATTTATTGCAATTGTATCATGATGCGCAACGTTGGGAAAAAAATTACTCTGAAATCTACAAATCGCAAACAGATCAGTTTTTATCAGATCTGTTTTCAAAAATATTTCAACAATTGAATATAGAAAGTAAATCAATAGTACAACTAATTTCAAGTACCCGCATACCACAAAATCTGATCCAGTTAACCGTTAAAACTGCTGTACGCCTTCAAGTGATCACACCAGCTGTTCGTGAAACGCTTCGCAACTTTATGAACCATGTATTCGAACATATTAGCTCACATTCTGGCATGATTCAAGATGTTGTTTCAAATGAAATTCTTTTTGGTGCATTGCGTAATCAGGAAATAAGCGATTTTTCAGCACTTCTACTCGATGGTTATGCTATGAAAAACACGGGCCCTACAAGTATTTTATACATTGTGAATACAATATCGACACCGGTTCTAGTATGCTCCAGAAATATTCAACAAGTAGGCGTTGAAGGTGAAACAGCTAGTAGGGTATTTTTAGAAGAAATACGACAATTACCTACAGTTCACGATAAAAATCGCCCAAAACAGCTCAATGATCAAATTTATCGTTATTTGTCGAACATTGAAATGATGCTCGTTGAGAAAAAAAATGAAATGCAACAAGCAATCGAACTTTGGAGAGATCAAGAGAGAGCTAAACTATTATCCCGCATTCAGGCACATTATGATGCGGCACGTCCTCTCCTCAGTTTAACTCAAGAAACGCATAGTTTAATAGAGAAACACATTTCTCATTTTATTGATATCGAATGTCAACTTTGTGCAGCAGAAGATATGGCAAAAATGAACGGATTAATACCTGAAATTCGCAGTGGAGATTCGAAATCAACTATGTTTAGTTTATTTACAGCTGATTGGGGTGATAAAAAAAATTTACTTGTCAAAAAGCTTAGTCGATCTCTACCTGATCAACCAATTGCAGCCTATTATGAAGCTCACTATCATCGTAGAGTTGCTAAATTGTGCGTTCCAAATATTTTTCATCTTTCATATCTCTATGAACATCGTTTGGATGAACAAATTTTTGAACTATGGATGATTTTTCTGCCGATACATTGTAGCTTAGAACAATATTTACAGGAACTTTCAGGATCAATTCCAATTAAAACAATTCTCAAATGGCTGATATCTATTATTCATGCATTGGTAATTTTACATAAAAATTGCCTTATTCATAGAAATATTGTTCCAAGTAATATTGTAATTACGGCAGACAATTGTGCAATGTTAATCGACTTGGGTAATTGGTATGATGAATCTGATCTCAGCATACGTCACGATTTATCATCGACTATCAATGGAGCGAACGAAGATATAAAAGGATTTGGAGAAATTGGACAGATTTTAAATGCCTTCATTGAACAAGATGAAACAATCTCGGCAATTATTGGTCAATTTAATGAGCTCATATTGATATGTGCTCAAGCTAATTATGAAAGGCCAATGACAGCTGAGGTCGTTCAACAAAAATTGAACTTTATCAACGATATGTTTTGATTTAATGTTTCTACGTCGAGTATTTTATCCAGGTTTTCCGTTTCTCGAGAGCGAATTTGATTTTCGATAAGACAAGCTAAAATTTTCTAGATTGACAATTATTTTACAAAGATTTTCCTATCTTGACATTGCGTGAAAGATAAAATAAACAATAGTTATTGAAGTATGATGCCGACGATAATTTGTAAAGTAACTGTAAATAAGAAGCCATCAATGTATTCCACATGACTTGTAACAAAACCATAGTAATCTATGCGACGTTGAATAGGAATGTTTTTAGTTTCTCTTGCACTTCTTCCTAAATCTGCACTAAATCTAATGCGCACATGATGAATTATAGTTAAGTTAAGCCTAGTGAGGATAGAACAGTTCCAACCATGGCAATAGACTTTTAGTAATATAACTGTTCTTCATGGAATTCTCATAGTTAACGACATTTTCCCAGTATTGTGTGTGCTTTTGTGCCTTTATGATAACATCGTATTCCCGAAATGTTCCTCCAGATATCTATCAAACTGTAATCATTTTGCTATCTTCGAAGGATATTTCAATTTTTTCTCGAAGGGGTACAACCTTATTCGGTCTTATACTGTATAAAACAGCCTACATCTTTTTCTCCTCGTCTGCTTTTAGATGATTTCATCCGATAACATACCAATCCAAGCATCGCTTGCATGGGCTTCGCAATTCAAAACTGATGTTAATCAAACAGCACAAGAATTTCAACAATTACGTCAAGAATTGTTACAAAATCTACAGTCTATCCAATCGCGAACTGTAAGACATGAGCCGCTTCATTTCTAATATAGAAACAGGGAAATGTAATGAGAAATGAAGAAAAACAAAAGCACTGTTATTTTTTTGCCAGCTTTCCTTAGCAGAATCTAGTTTATCGTATTCGATTCCTCTTACATTTCATTAAAAGTTATTTACTTTGTATTTTTGATGAGTATATTGAAATATGTAAATCAAGTAGAAATTTTTCTTGAATATCGAAGGAAAAAAATACGAAGCAAAACATTTGTTGTTGTTGAAATAGAGATCAGAGTATGATTATTATCAATATTTATTTTTAGACAGTAACTGATTCTCAATGTTCTTCATCGGCAGTAATGCTTGATGATAGTGCTGATGAAGAAGAACGTTTCCAGCAAGTATCTGATGATATCATTCAAGAACATGCCATTACTAGACAACCTGCTCTTACCGTATTCGGAGCAAATTCAAGTGGTAAAACATCATTTATTCAACGTTTTCTTGGTATCGGTAATATACTACCATCAGGTATTGGACCAATAACTGCACGTATTGTTCAATTGACATATGCACCTGGTAATCAAGCATGTTTTCGTGTCTATAAAACGATTGAAAAATTGTTGATTGAACATGAAGGCAATTTATCATCATTCTTTTCTAACAATCAACAACCGGATTGGGAAAGTATAACGAATATTTTATCGCCGCATGTTAAGCGACCGACAGATATTAATGAGAAAACAAAAGAATTCAATGAATGGGCCGAATGTTTTGTTGAAGTTTGTTTACCATCGGATATTTTATCGTTGGGCATTGATATCTATGATACACCTGGTTTCTTGTCGGACAATCGTGAACAAATCTTAACGGATAATTTACATAAACTTGTCAAACGTATTAAGCCGACTCTTCTCTTTCTTTATGATAATGCGACGATTAGTGATACGGATAAGAGTTGTTTTCTGGCAATGAAAAATGCTCTAGGTTCTATGGAACGTGTATCGGTATTTTTTTTAAATACCAAAGCTGATTGTATATCAATTGCGAACGATTATTTACTTGACGATGATCCAGAAAATGTACCATTGAATCTCTTCGAAAATACACTACGTGAAAAGAAACAACGTTGCTATGAACTTCTTCTTCGACGACGTGAAATGGCAAGTGAAGTACTTGGCCGTTTGCCAGATTCTGTTGATGAATGTACATGTTTTGATATTTGTACCATTCCAAGTGATTATGACCCGTGGGAAGTATATACAAATATGATTAATACGGCTGCCTTTAGACGTATTGTTCAGTTTGCTGTAGAAGCTTATTCGACACCTACTTTTACACTAGCACGAGATATTCTCATGACAGTCGATGACTTCTTCGATTACACTATTTCAACGACGCCTCGTTCGGCTCATCAGTGGGATAGGTTACGTAAGGAAGCACTAGAATGGGGTCAAATGTTTTTTGACGAATATCAAAAGCTTTCACCAACATTAACTGATGATATGACTAGAAACATATTGAATATCCTCAAAGAACGCAAACCAGAAATTATCCGTCAAGCTGCATTGATCACACGTACTAATGATCCGATCGATACATTATTGGACAACCATTCAAAGACAATTCGGAACTATATTAGATTGGCCGTTCAAGAACAAGTAATCAAGGTAGCTGCCAATAATACAATAATTGCCAAGCGAGATGAAGTAAAAACACTTATTAACAATCACTTGCAACGGCAACGTGGCGTACGTAAAAATGAGCTACTTACCATTGCTCAACGGCAGGTACTTAGTGAGATTTCTGTAGAAGTGTTAGAGCATACGACGTTATTCAATAGTTTGCTGGATAATATTGTAAAATTACCATTACGACTTCGTCGTTTTCTTCTTAGTTTACCAACACGTATTAGTGCTTATATAAAAGAAGAATATAATCGATTTAATCATCCGGCAATAAAAAACGATGTTGATAATGTATACAAATTACTCGATCCTATGGATGAATATGCAACGTTACCAAACGAAGCCAATCGAAAGACATTTGCAGACTATTGCATGGAAAAAATTGCAAGGGAAATCGAAGAGCAAAGGGATAATTTTAGTCTTAACGTGATTTCATGCATAGAAGAACAAAGGAAGGCATTTTTTAAGAATATTGCATCAAATCAGAAGTACATTGAAAAGCATCTTTCCGATCAGCAGACACTTCATAATCTTATCAATCAATTTTCAGGTCGTTTTTCTAAAATTGAATGTCAATTACTAGCTGCAGTAGAACTAGCTAAACATTGTGGTATTCGACCTATTTTAGGTGAACAGATAGGAATGGGTGGCTTCTTTACCGTTCATACGACTCAGTGGGGTACAGAAACTAATTTAGCTGTAAAAAAATTAATTCATTCGTCAGCTGAAACTAATCAGATGGTTGCATTGGAAGCTCATTATCATCGAATAGTTACACGCTTATGTTCTGATGATCATATTGTTCCACTCCTTCATGTCTATGAGAACAACATAGCTAATAATCAAAGCGAATTTTGGCTCATTATGCCAAGGTATCCGATGTCATTAAGAGACTACTTAATAAAAAATATTCACCAAATGCATTTTTCGCGTGCTGTTAGTTTTGCACTATCAATCGCTACTTCACTTGCCAAGCTCCATCATCTTGAAATTGTTCATCGAGACATTAAATCAAGTAATATTATGCTTGATGATAATGAACAATGTTATATTATCGATTTTGGTACAGCCAAATCAACATTTTATAATAAAACTATATTAGGCACAGTTCCATTGCCACCAGAGATAGTTGCTGCATATTCGCAGCAACATACCGGATTTGTCACCTATGATGGAGCTGCTGCTGACATCTACTCCTTTGGACTTCTTCTATACGAGATGCTGCCTAAATCTTCCTACCAACAGCTAGACATCAATGCATTGCCGAATACCAAACAATTGCTTCTTGCACAAGCTCAGTCTAAAGCATACTTACAAGTGTATATAGATCAAATTTTCGCATGTCTTGATCCGATTCCTACTAAGCGACCACGAGCCGATCACTTAGTAGCCATTTTTCAAAGCATTCCACCAACTATTGAAATAAAACTGTGCATGTCATGTGAAGAACGAGAACGTACAGTGCGATTTTTACCTTGCCAGCATAAGGTGATGTGTGAACAATGTTGGCAACAGTGGCGTACGCTAAATAATACCAATGTAGAATGTATCGTCTGCAAAACTATCGTCACAATTCACACACAGGATAATTGTGACGCAACCTTTTTTGTTCAACCAAAATAAATGATGTCTCTTTCAATGAGGTATAAAAAGAGTTATGTTTCTCCAGGAAAAGGATATGAGCGTGGGTATGGGAGGCGATTAGAACTCATTTGTGGATGCAGCGATAATAAACTTGGATTTTTTTCATGCAAATCCACTGGAATTGAAGAGATGCTATGAGACAAAAGAGGAGTATTGATGTTGCATATGAACAACGGATACTAAACTCATCTCCAACAACGACGATTGCTACGGAGTTAGGTGCCAATGTTCTTGCTACTAGTATAGTTAACTCTGGAGTTTTGTATCAAGGCTCTACCGAACCATACTCTGACTATTCTCATCAAAATTTTCCTTCACGTATGTCTCGCACAACTAGACCTTGAGGAGTTTTATCGCTAAATCTGCTTATGACTGCGAATGTGAGAAGGAATATAGACGTAAATATTCAGTTTACATACGCTCATGCTTATGACATAATAGAAAGAAAATAGTACGACACATGTTGGCAATCGTTGTTTTTCTATATGCTTACATTCCAATATAAAACATTCATGTGGTCAATATTTTTTCTGTTCTCCTCTCTGAATAACACCTATTTGCAAAAACATGTTGTGTTTCGTAATTACAATCAAATATACGATAACATACAGAATGTGTCACAATGTTGCTAACAGAAAACAGAAGTCGTCCAGTAGGATTGTTTTTCTTTTAAATAGATGTCAGCTATTTTATTGCTCGAAATTCTTCATTCTCCTCATTCACCTTTTTGTTTCCGTTTCTCTTGATTCAATATATATAGCCAATAGATAGACTGATAGTCGTCCCACTTCGGTGGGACATATAATAAAATTGGAACGATACAGAGAAGATTAGCATGGCCCCTGCGCAAGGATGACACGCAAAATCGTGAAGCGTTCCATATTTTTTTGTTCAAGTTTGCAATTTAACGTGTAGATTTGGTCAATTATCCACCGACGCTAATGCCCACACCCTTTTATATTTTGTAAAGTTTTTTTTTTCCTATTTTATATTTATCCTTAAATTCCATTTTTTCTAACACAAACCCATGTAAAAAAACTTGATTGCAAGAATCGACTATAATCATAAGATTTTAATCAAAAATTTTAGCTGTAATAATCATAGCAAAATCAGCATTTAATCAATTTTTTCAAAAAAATTCTCAATCAATTATAGTCATACAAATGGAAATAATCGATTAAATACTGATTTTGCTATGATTATTACAGCTAACATTTTTGATTAAAATCTTATGATTATAATCGATTTGTAATCAATTTTGGTCTCCGTAAAGCTGATTTTTTTTACGTGGGAAGCTCTCATGAGTATTTCAATAATAAACAACACAAAATGCGTCGACGGCATTCAACTCTGCATTTCATTTAAATTATTTTAATTACAGCCCATTTTTATATATTATCTGATTATTGACTTAATCGATTGCTGAAAAACAAAGATTGAGACTAGCAGATGGTTTTTGCACAGATCAAAATCTGAACATAAAATAAAACTTTGCTCGCAAAAATGTTTAATTGGACATTATTTTAATTTTATTTGAAGATTCATGCACAAATTGTGAAGTTTCGTATCTCGAATATGTGGAAAATTTCAAAATTGAGTTTTCACTGAATCTGGGGGTGGAGGAGGTCATGGTAATTCAATTCAAAATATTGCCAAATGTTGATATCACTGTAAATGAAAGTCTAGACAACTGAATGCGTTTAGGGCTTGACACTGCGCACTCTGATCTGCTCTGGCGTGCTTCAATTCATTTTTTAAGTTTTAAACATTTTATTATTTAAATGCGTATTTTTATTGTATTCACAGCTATAAAAAAAAATGAAATTCTTCATATAAATATACTTATTCTCAAATAAGAGGTTCATACTGACTTGCTAAATTGAAAAAATTCAATTAATATCAGAATAATAAGAAATTGACGACGACCTTCTTAGAGGATCAATGGCAATGTTATAGATATATCTAAAATATCAGTCGATAAGTAGACATCAAGGACAATTTTCTTATGTGTATATGTAGAAATGTGCAAGCATTTGATTGCAGATTACAGTAGTATATAAGGATGCGCAAAAAAAGTAACAATCATTGCAGTTTTAAATAATCTATTATCATCATATCAAAATCGAAATACACTCATACAAATATAACAATGTTGGCTATCAGTTATGTGAGTCTCTTAGTAGTTTCATTCGTAAATAATGTTGGTAAGTTCAAATGATAGAAAAACGGTTAGTACTGATAAATAATCATACGATTTATTCTAGCTGGCAACTGTTTGGTAAGTGGATATTGTGGTGTTGGCCAGTGTTGTTCGGCATACGGTGCTTGTGGCTCAGGTGCTCAATACTGCGGTGGTGGAGGTTCTTCATACTTAGGATGGTCCGGCGGTGGTTCACTATATGTTGCCAATGATTGTCGTGTTGTAGGTTGTCGAACTGGTGGTTGTTGTTCAGCTTATGGACAGTATGTATCTTATATTTTCGAATACGATATTTAATATAATTTATAACAAATGAATTAGCTGTGGACAGTCAATTGAATATTGCGGTGGTGGTGGCGGTGCTGCTTTTGTCGCACCTGCTCCAATACAAAACCAATGTGGAATAACTGGTTGCCCAGGTGGTTCATGCTGTTCGCAACAAGGACAGTAAGTTACTCTGATTTCCTTCTTCGTGTTATGGAAAGAAGAAAATGTTCATTTTAAATTTCATTATTTTGATCTGTATAGGTGTGGAAGTTCAGCCGCTTATTGTGCTACTGTTACATATAACAATTGTGGTGCTACATCATGTGGTGTTGGTCTTTGCTGTACACGTTATGGATAGTATGTTGATTGATTTATATTTGATATTTACTAGAAAATGCTATTTTGAATGATTCTAGTTGTGATAGAGTCGGTCCTTATTGTGGTTATAAAAAATCAGGCAGCAACAGTGAATCAGTATCACTTGAAGGAGAATTTAAAGGTGAAGCAACATATTACAATGAAACCAAGGCCGGTACACAATATTCAACATGCGGTATTGCACGTGGATTATCATTGGATGAAAATAATCAAACAATTTATAGTGCTGCTCTTAATCAAGCACAATTTGATCCATTTACTCTTCAAGGTATCCCAAGCTCAAACCCAATCTGTCAAAAGAAAGCTGTTGTCAAAGGTCCCGTAGGTGAAATTATTGTTCGTTTTATTGATCGATGCCCTGATTGTAAAGCAAGTATGTATCTTTTTTATGACATAACTTTATTTCTTCTCCTTTCGAATCATGCATATTCATTCATACGTTTATCTCCTAGATGATATTGGTTTAACTCAACAAGCCTTTATTGCAGTTGCCGGAGAACTTGGTATAGGTCGCACATCTGTCGTATGGTATTTCATGGACAAAGAAATCGTTTTCTAATTAAATTTCCGCAGTAAATGAAAACAAAAATATCATGATAAAGCAAAAGTCTTAATTTGAGAGCTATTGTTTTCTTTTTGAATTTATTGTGTCGAAATTTTTTTTTTATCCTGTTCAATCTTTTTTACAAATAAAAAGTTATTATCATCAATTACTAATATATATGATGTCTTTCTACATGAGTGAACATCGAAAATGACTAATGGCGTGCCATCTCTCAGAAATTCATCTTGGTTATAACAAACTCATAAAAACTTTCAAAGTTCAGCCAGTCCACACGAGCTTCTAATTTGAGATTAACTATACTTGTAGGATGCGGGTGTTGGTATGCATATCTGAGGGTGTGAATGTTATTTGCACTCGCATCCTCAAGAAAAGAAATTTGTGCAACGATGTATCGACTTTAAATATACAAAATTACATGCACAAAAGAAAAAGCGCAAATTTTAACTGAGTCAACGTTTTTTCTTATGACAAGGTATCTTCAGCAAAAAAAAATCATCATATCAATCTAAATATACAAAATGACAATGCGCTTTAGCATGAAACTTATTGGTCAGACACTACACGCTAGTTAAGATAAGCGATATTTTAAATGTTTTCATCACGGTGTGACTGAATAATATTCCTTTTTTTCTTTCATCCAACGAAGGTGAGCTTCCAGAGATAGAATAATGTCTTAACTTATAATCAAAATATTTAGATGCAATCTATTGCAATTCTTACAATTTTTGTGCTCGCTTTCAGTTGTACGCTGTCTCGCGATGTGACACTCAATCAAAAGTGGAAGTTATGGAAAGATACGCACAATAAACACTATTCGGATGTTGAAGAACATCTTCGGTATGAGATATTATTCTTCGTATCTATATCCGATTGATTATGATACTCTGAAATTATAGTCGCACTGTCTGGGGAAATAATTTGAAGATAGTTGAAGAACACAATCTTCAAGCTGATCTTGGTGTTCATACATACTGGCTTGAAATGAACAAATATGCTGATTTAGTAAAGTTTTATACCATAAATTTAAACTACAGTTTGTTGACAATTTATTTCGCGAATTAGACTGTCGACGAATTTGTTAAAGTATTGAATGGTTTCAATGGCAAAATGCAAGAAGAGCACAATCAAGATCATCAAACGTTTACATTAGATCCAAGTGTTGAATTACCAGATACTGTTGGTATTTATCGAAACGGATGAAATTATCGATCTTTGCAACTATTTGACTGTTTTATTAATAGACTGGCGTAAGAAAGGTGATGTTGTGCATGTCAAAGATCAAGGTCAATGTGGATCATGCTGGGCTTTCTCAGCAGTTGGTGCAATCGAAAGTGCAAACGCCATTAAAACTGGTGTACTGGTTGCACTCTCTGAACAGCAGTTAGTTGATTGTTCTGGTAAAGAGGGTAATATGGGTTGCAATGGTGGTTTGATGGATCAAGCCTTCAAATATGTCAAAGACGCCGGCGGTATTGAAACCGAAAATTCATATCCATATGAAGCCATGGATAAAGCATGCGTGTTCAATACATCAAAGGTTGTTGTCAAAGTTTGCGGATTCATTGACATTGCATCAGAAGACGAAATCGCTCTTCAACAAGCCGTTGCTACTATTGGGCCAATGTCGGTTGCTATTGATGCTAGTCACTCGTCATTTCAGTTATACAAAAACGGTGGTATGCATTTTTTTTTATTAATTCTCGTATCCTCCTATCATTTTACACGATTTGCTTAGTCTACAATGAACCAGCTTGCTCTCAAACTCAACTTGATCATGGTGTTCTCGCTATAGGTTACGGTAAAGATTCGGGCAAAGATTATTGGCTTGTAAAAAACAGGTAATTATAATGCTTTAGATATTTTATTGACTATTTTACCATTTGTTTATCATCTTTTCAGTTGGGGTACAGGCTGGGGTGCTCAAGGTTATATTAAGATGGCACGCAACAAAAAAAATCAATGTGGTATTGCCACGATGGCCAGTTATCCAATTATTTGTTGAGAGCTTTTTCGCTCTTTGCGCTGACTTTTGATTTTATCCTACTAATATTCAAGAAATAAAAAGGAAGAGTTCTATTTATTCAGAAAAATTTAAAGACGCTTTCTTTGATATTATAAGGAGCTTTCAGTTGAGAGAAAAAAACATTATCGAGCGGAAGCGATTCAGTTCTAGCAGATTTGAGTTCTGAGCAACACTGGCACAAAATGAAATGAATAAAAATGAAAATAATATTCGATAGAAATAGAGCGTAGAAGGCGTAGAAGAAACTTTTACATGATGAAAATAAGTGAACAGTGTTATAAAATATAAGAGAGTAGAGGGCGAGAATGATCTGAAAATGACAATGAACAAATGAGTATACGAAACGTGCACATGGAACAACAAATAAGGGTTCAGAGATAAAACAGACAGTTACAAACTCATTATATTCTCCCTCATCTCCATCACACGGAAGAACTGTTGTGGATTTTGCATACTCCTCAGCATAGTGAAATATAAAGATAAATCGAAGTCTGTAGTTTCATATAGAAAGTTATTTCGTTTTGCCGAGCAAATTTTTCTAAGGATACAGTCAAATGTCTAGACTCAAACAATGTGTTTTGACTGAAACATAATTATTCAACTCAAACACACTAGAACGAGTGGAAAATAACAAACTCTCTTATTCATTTGTTACATCTGCCATAAATGCTTTCTTTCTGTTCAAAAATCATGACAAGAATTCATCGTCGGTTAGAAATACGTCCAATGAGACCTCAAGTATCAATGGAAAAATACGGGGATGAGTGTGTGAATGAGTAGCATATCAAGACTGATTTCGATCTTGCTGAAGAGACTGAATCATTAGTTTATTGTTTGTATTGAATTATCCCTCTTCATCGGTTTGTGTTTGTTTGGTTTGCTGGAATAGAGATAAAAAGAAAAACAGATACGGAAATATCATCGTAGATCAGTGATAATGTTGAATGCTGATGAATAATGATGGCAAAAAGTCGGTGATTTTGAGTAACGACAAAAGTGAACTTAGGCGAATTATTTCGTTTTTTGTATTACAATTATTTTAGTCACTGACAAAAAACATTTTAAAATCCATCGTTGGTGCGACAAAGAACATGAGGGTACGCGTTTTACATTGAATCTTCTCTTGCATATTACTCACACCCACACCCACACCCAACTTAAAGTAAATTTCTCATAAAAATAGTATTTCCTCCATCGAAAAATATCTTTTTTTATTAAGAAATAGCTTTTTCTATATAATATTGTTCTTTTATGACAAATATGATGTTTTAATGAGCAACGATTTTTTGAAAAATACACTTTAAACTTTAACTTTTATTGAAATTAAAATCTAAAAAGTCCTTTTTTTTACTTCACTCTAGTTTTTGATAAAAAGAGGAAAAAGAGACAGAGTGGGTGGCCAGTTCTTATTCGTTCCAACTTTGATGAATAATTCTGCTCTTTTTTACGTTTTGACACTTTTTTGAAAGATAGCCAAATTTCAAAAAGGAACAAAATTATTCGCTGAAGTTAGAATCAATTAGAATCATTCTCTAAAAATCAGGAAACTGTGAAAATGTAGAAACATTGTGATAAATGTACAGTTAAGGAAAAATCGCAACTCGCAATCCAGAATAATATAATTTTTTCACTCATTGAGTGATGACGCTTGGCTCATTAGTCTAAGAAATTTTATCGATCTATACTCTAAATATCTCTTTCTTGTGAGAATTGTACAAATAAATTATAGTTGTCTCTTTCTAAGTGACTGATTTAAAAATTCTTCTACCGAATCAGCCATGTTTTGCAACCACGGTAAACTAGGATTGATGCTTAATGCTCTGCTTCCAGTGACGATCGATACAAAAGAATGATCGCGATAAGTGAAAACATTTTCTTGTTTGTGCTGAACCAATTCTTTCACACCAGCTATGACTTTATTTACGTCGAATTGAGGAGGCGCATGGCATTGTGTTAGTAAATCTCGCATGTAATTGATTTGATAATAAAATTCACTTTCTCCGTCACCAGGCTTTAACGTTTTTTCAAGATCTATCCATTCAGCAATATTTTGTTCTCGTGATTCCAGGTCAGGCAATTTTATTTGACCAAGAATAACATCACGTACAAAGGAAGCTTGAACATCAAACATTGTAAATTGAAAAACTAGACTTTGCATGCCCAAATAAGCCAGATTGGGTTGTTTCGACCAGATAATACCTTTGTATAGATTTGGTGGAGAAAGAACTTTTGTTGGACAATTCAGACGAAGATGCTCAGCCATGAATGGATAATGATGTCGATATCCTGTACATAAAATAATACTGTCAATTTCACTTTCGCTTTCTGTCCCGTCTTGGAAATATGCCAATCGATTTTCTATGCGTTCTAGCAGTGGAACTTCTTTAATTCTCTCATCTGGCCATTTATATCCCAATGGTCGTGTCCGGTAACTAATTGTTATTGCACGTGCACCGAATTTACACAATTGTAAAGCAATATCTTCAGCTGAGTAACTACTGCCAATAATCAAGACATGCTGATTTACAAACTCAGAAGCATCATGGAAATGCTTCGAATGTAAAACAAGACCAGGAAATTGCTTCATTCCATGAAATTGAGGAATATTTGGTGTTGCATAACGACCAGCAGCAACAATAACAAATTCAAACGTTAACTCCTCGATGGTACTTGTTTTTAAATCTTCGACAGTAACTTTAAAGATGTCTTGTTCGTTATTCACATTATGAACAACAGTTTGAAATCGAATAAATTTCCTTATATTTTTGTTTTTGGCTCGACCAGTAAGATAATCGAAAACGACTGAACGCGGCTGATATGACGGGGTTGAGTAGCCGAAATGATTGTCAAATGTATAGTCCACATATTCAACAAGTTCTTTAGGACCATTTGACCAAAGCCTTCACATAAAAAAATAGGTAGAAATTTGCCCAATAGAATCTATGTAGAAATTACTTACTGTCGATACATGCTACTATGAATATATTCTTCAGAAGAATCAGTTTCATTTTGATATGGGTATAACCACTGACCTCCCCATTCGGACTGCCGTTCAAAACAGACAAGATCAAAAGCATCATCTTTCAAAGCACTTAATTGAGATAGACCACACGGACCGGCACCAATAATAGCAATGCGTTTTTTCATCATTTTGTGATTTAACAGTATTCAACTTTTGTTTAACCTATTGATAAGAACAAAAATTATTAGATACAATCGAGCACTGGGCAGATTTCCCAGCTAAATGTTCATATTTTGAAAGCTACTTATGCTGTATAGCGGCATCCTCAGATCAATTTTTTAGGTGAACTACATATGCTTTCAAACTTCCAGAGAAATTACTGACATAATAATTCGATAAAAAAATACATTTGACAAAACTCCAAACCAATATTACCTAGGAAATGAACTCTGTCAATAAAATTCCTCAAAATTTTGGTCAACCAAGGAATTTCTAATATTTCTATATTCATATCATGTAGATATAATATTAGATAGGCACATAGATTTAAAGGCGTTAATTTTCAAGAAATTTTGTTGGGGAGGTTTCAGAAAATGCGGTATTTTCTGATCATTTTCATTCGCATGTAGTTGCAATTACGGAAGTTTCAAGGAACTGCCTGTTGACACTCCTGTAGATCTTTTAATAGTGAGATAGAAATTTGATGTTTTATGAAATTTACTTTTCCGGAAATCTGAACGTACCTCATCGTAGATCAAAAGAAAAATTATCAAAGTTTATAATTACTTACAAGGTTTCAAGATTTTCAACTATTCAGAAATGCTTCTTGACAAGATTCGCAACAGTTCCATTCTTGTAAAGTGCGTATATATAGAATCATATTCAGCTGAGAGATGATTTTTCCCAGATCTACTGTGGAATTTTCCTAACAAAGTCATTGATTAGTCAAAATAAATATCTATGACGTGAAAAGGTCGCCACAACAGAAAAACAAATACTTTTTAAAAAATATTGTCAGAGTAAGAACGAACAGAGAAACATCCGGCAGAGCCATTGTCATCACATTACAGAATGACTAAAAATAAATTTAATATTTGAAGAAAAGCTTAAGGTGAGGAGTTTTCGTGTGTCCCGACTTGAAATTTAATACTGATCTACAGCACCACAAGTCCGTATTGAATTGATTTGTGTTTTAGATTTAATTTTATTTGATTAAAAATGACTTTTTCTACAATAAAATTCATTAACTATCGATAGTAAAGATTCGCTATGGAAAAGAATTTCCCAAGCAGGAAAGTTCTTCCTCCGACCAATAAGCGTAATATACCAATACGGAAAACAACAAGATCACCTTGGGAAAAATGACACAGACAGAACAGCAAAAGTAGGGTGTGGAGTGTGAGTAAGGAATAAATGATAGAATCCAGTTTCTTGGAGTTTCGTTAAGTCGTTTGGACTACGAGCAATGAATTCAGCAAGCAACGTAGTTACGTTAGACAATTATTTTAAATTAAAAATCTATCTGTTTACAGTTCCGATATCGAGTTTTCTTAAATTGTAAAAACAGTTTTAAATTATGACCTGATTACAAATGTATACGATTCATGAAAAAAATTGTTTTCTCCATACAAGTTCTACCGTATGTTGGTTATTTCTTTTCTCAGACATAAACCCTACAGTCACATCTTAGATATAATTGGAAGAAGCAAGCTGACGTTATTGACAAACGCCTGTATAAAACAGTATTATGATGTAATTACAAGAGCCAACCAAATATACGGTTACAATAACATAAATAATGAAATTTATAAAAGTATATTTAATACCGGTAAAACCACATGAGCAATGGTATACATTTGTTGTTGAGTCTCTAACATCACCGTTTTTCGCATTTGATTTCATTTGGCAGTGTTACAATATCTTCATCGTAAAGAATGAAAAAAGCAAAATAAAGATTTATCACATGACTCTATTGAATGTTATTTTTATAACTGGATTGATAAAAACTACGTCGGTGACGCTTTTTAAATCATTAAAAACAGAATCCAGAAAAGGTTTATTGCCGAGAGTGGAAGTAAACTACTCTACTCCTAGCCAGTTTGCCATTACGTATCGACTCTGTTAGGGTCGATATCGTTACACCTATTCTAGTCTTTATAAAGAAATTTTCTTTTTTTATCATATGATTCATTCATTTGGCCATTGATTGCAAAGCATAATCACAAGAACACATGAGTACAAAAATAAATACATAACCACCGGAGTACAGAAATAAATAAATACTCAATAGGGTACACAAAAAAAGTCCTACAGTACAAAAAGAAGAAATAGTGTACTCAAATCAATCTTTAGGTTTCTTATTCTCTATCGGCCGAAGATCCAAAATATTATTAACAGTTGTCGGATCTAAACTAAATCTTCGTTGATTAATTAGTTTCACAGCTGCTGAGCTGCAAAGTATAAAAATTATAATTACAACGTGGTACACTTGCTAAATGTGGAGAAGTATTTTCGTATTCTTTCTAACATGGAAACAGATTATCATAATTTTTTTCAATAATCCTCGACAGGCTCAACAGTACAGCCATTTTTCAACTATATGTTTAATGACTTAAATTCATGTCACATTGATGTCAAAACAGTTGAGATGTTTTCTTATATTCATTAAAATATCTGACTGTACATGCATGTTCTTGTTTCAAACGCCCTCTTTTTCATACGTGTAGAGGCTTCAACTCATTTTATTGCAATGGAGGAAAGTGCATGTAAATTATCTCAACTCGTGCGTGCCCGTATCCGTGACACAATTATGCTGTGTCACAATAAAATCTTCATTTTAGATTAGAAATCTATTTCTGTTTTTCAACACAGATAATATGACGACAAATTTGCTTTTTATACTTCATAATTAGAATACATTCGATTTGATAATTTGTTTATGCTGATTAGTTTCTAGACTTTATGAAAGTTATAACAACGTCATCAGTGAATTAACAACTGCATGTATGTATGTCTGTAGATAGATTACATTTATAAAAGCAGCCAACAAATTAAACAATATTCTCGATTTGTATTTATGTACGTAAAATGGACATAGTTACTAAGGTGTTTTCAGGCTGAGCTACGATATAAATCATAGAAAGGATTCTACTTAAAATAAGTCTAATGGTAAATGAGCGCGTCTTCCAATCATTGATGATGATCGAATCGGCATCCATCGACTTTGTTCTTCACATGGAATTGAATTACGTAAAGGATGTGGTCTACTCATTCGACTGGTACCAAACTGTTGCTGTGCATAAATGTAGTCTCCACGAATAGTTCTATCGTATGTTAGAGAAAATTCACCAGTTTTTTTACAATTAAAATATGTTAATGACTCGAGTTTGGGTAGATTTTGTGAACGTTGAGAAGGCATTTGATTGAAAAGATCATTATGAGCAGAATTGATATCACATAAAGACCATTCATAGTAATTTGGAATAGGTTTATTTTCAATTGACGATTTATCTTGTTCGAGATTAGTTTGATGAGTCGATTGTCGATGTATGTTATTGCTGTAATTATCTATGCTTTGATTACCCAATAGCAAATAGTCCTCCATTTAGCATATGTAATAAATAATTAATAAAAGAATGAGTTCGGCGCTAAGATGTAAATTACAACTCAAAAATATTTGAAGGTTCTATCAAAATCATGTTGAAAAGTTAGTGCTAATGATGCTTATATAATATTTATTTTCAAATAGGAAAATTAAAAATGACAATTGTCAGTACTTGTTCATTATGTTTTATTACATGTATCTATAATTGAAAACAATTGATGACGTACTAGTTGTTATCTTATTATACAATCGCATGCATGCACTATCAAACGATTTATGTTGTTATATGATTGTTTTCGAATGGATTGACACGAAGGCAAAGATTATCAATAGTCATTGAATGATTTTTCATGGATGAAAAATTAAAATCAATTATATCATTTTGTAAATAAGTTTGCTGGAAAAGTAAATCACGTTCTTCGTGATCATTACAATAATAAATATAACAAATTGCAAAAATAATCACCCAAAAAATAATAATTGTACACAAACCAATGAGAAATAGAGCCATATTTTCTTCTGAATTGGATGGATTACTCGTGTTACTTAAACTATTACGTTTTATATTAGAAAATATCATTTCTCTAAAATTATTGAAATGAGTTCTTTAAAAATAAAAATAGAATTTTTCTTTTCGACTTACTTGTTTGAACATTGATAAGTAATATCAACATTTTTCGAATATAAATAACGATTGCAACGAAGTGGAATACGTTTAGCGTGAAATTGACATGGAGATAGATGGTTCACACATGGATTATTATTCGATACTGAATATAAATTAAAACAATTTTCATTTGAATAATTAAATAATTGAACGCGTAAATGATTTAAACCATATGGACATTGAATAAGATATTGTTGATCATTGGTTGATAAACGAATATTTCGTATGAAAAACAATGATGATGTTTCTGACGCTGATAAAAATTTTCCGCGAGTTTTACTGAGAAATAATAGAAAGAAATAGAATAATAACATGATTACTTTTTCAGGTAAATCAGATAATATGTAGCTATGAAATGCTTCGAACTAATTCCCGTTTGTCCAAAGCGGAACGAGAGAACAGCAAGAGAGAAAGAGAAGTCGAGAGACAGAAAAGAAAAGATTATTTTTGCATGAATGATTTCAGTTTGTATACTGTTTTCATGCATTAACAAAGATATTCATATAACCTTGAGCTATTTGTTCAGGTTATCAATTGTAATTGTGAATTACGTCAACTGTTTTGAAAACTAAAATCAACTTTTTATTGGATTTCTTAGAAGAAAAAAGACCCAAAATTTCGAATTCATGATGAATATGCGGCTGCGTGTTCCTTTTTATCTTTGTCATCTACATACATACAAGTAGATAATATGATTTACTTGTCATGCTTTCTATGCATTTCATTCATTGTTATCTTTCTCACATATATAGACATATATCAACCACAATATCTTTTATTCTATTTAGTTTTATTTTCAAGATGCGCTCATTACTTGTTCTATTTGTCTGTTTGGTTGCAGTTGAATGCGTCAATGGATATCGAGGTCCATTTCGTAAAATGTTTCCAACACGAAAATCCAGTGTTGTTACAGTTGATGATGATCCCGGTGAGCCATTATTTCTTACGCCTTATCTTGAACAAGGTCAAATTGAAAAAGCAAGACAATTAAGGTACGAAAATATTCATTCCATTTTTTGTTTCTCCGTTTTATTTAATTTCTTAATTTAGTTCGGTTGAATTACCACCCTATAAACAACAATCGTTTTCTGGTTATTTAACTGTCAATAAACAATACAATTCCAATATGTTCTTTTGGTTTTTTCCTGCTCAAAACGGTAATAAACCTAATACACCTGTCATGCTTTGGCTTCAAGGTGGTCCTGGTGCTTCGTCACTTTTTGCTCTATTCACGGAAATCGGCCCGATTTATATTGATGCTAATGAAAATATTCAACTACGTCCATATACATGGAATGCGAACTATCATTTACTTTTCATTGATAATCCAGTTGGTACTGGTTATAGTTTTACATCCAACGACCAAGGTTATGCTCGAACACAAGATGATGTTGCTCGTGATCTCTATTCAGCATTGACACAATTCTTTCAAATCTATACTGATTATGCATCGAATCCCTTTTATGTTACTGGTGAAAGTTATGGTGGTAAATATGTTCCTTCAATTACATATAAAATTCATGTTGAAAATCAAGATCCAAAAGTTAAAGTTAGAATTAATTTGAAAGGTATGACTATTGGTGATGGTTTAACTGATCCTCTTAATCAGTATATGTACGGTGATTTTCTCTATCAGGTATGATTAGGCGAATAAAGTTTATCTTGAAAGAATTGCATATATATATATATATACATTCATTTTCTATAATAGATCGGTCTTATTGATTTGAATCAAAAAGCCTATGTTGATTTACAAACAGCATTGATGCGTTATGCTATTGAACAAGAACGTTATATTGATGCTTTCCATTATTTTGATGCTCTTCTCAACGGTGATCTCATTAATACGACATCCTATTTCTATAATGTAACAGGAATAAAAAATTATTTCAATTATTTATTAACCGATGAACCTGAAGATGAAGGTTTTTTTGTTCCATTTGTTACTCGCGCTGATCGACGAAAACAAATCCATGTCGGTAATTTATCCTATGGTAGTCAAAGTGATACTGTTGAAAAAATGTTACTTAACGATGTGGTAAGATAAAACTCCTGAAATGTCTAATTTAATATTTTTGAAAATTCTTGCAGATGCAAAGCATGGCATGGAAAGTTGCTGCTATAGCCAATGCTAATTATAGTGTCATGATTTACAATGGTCAATTAGATGTTATTATTGCTGTACCATTGACAATGGAGTGGATTAGTCAATTATCGTGGATTGGCACCGATGAACTCCGACAAGCACCACGAACAGTTTGGAAAGTAGCTGATTCCGATCCTGAAATAGCTGGTTATGTTAAAACAGCAAATAACAATCGATTTTTTCTTGCTACAGTTCGTAATGCTGGTCATATGGTTCCTTATGATCAACCACGAGCTATGCTCGATTTACTTCAACGATTTTTGGCTGCTCAATCATAATAAATACATAAAGAAGACATTTTCTTTGTTTGTTTTTCTGATAATCTAAATTTTATTATTTATTTTTAAAGAGATTTTTATGAAAAGAATAAAGATTTTGTAGGTACGTATATAAATGATAGAAAACAAGCATGACTAGAAAATTAGAGATTAACATTTTCTTGATTATTATCATAGATACTGTTGTTTAGTGATTGAGAAGATTGAACATGTGTTAGCGTGAATGAGTCGTCTAGGAACTTGAGAATTATTTTGTAGAGATATTCATATTGTGCCTATGATAAAAACAAATTAGAAGAAAAAGTTTCTTTTTTTCCCACATACAAATGAGTTTATCATAGCAGGTCGTTGTCGTTGTAGTGCACGTACACGTTGAAATATATCGATACTATGTTCATTTTTAAGTTGATCCAATAATATTAAACTCGTACAAAATATTGAACATGATGGTCCACCATTTCTATAATTCCAATCGAACATAAGTAGTTTCTAGTGTGAGAAAAACAGACCTACCCGCAATGAACAGTTATATAACGATTTTGATTATTTTGATTTGATCGCTTACTAACATAACCCATAAAATCAAATAAATTCTGTACTAATACGGTTGGTGTGCATTGTTCATTTTCATATTCATCATTATTACATAGAGGAAGTAAATATTCATATTGATAGATTGTTTTAGATTCACATTCACGTGCATCCGTCAGACAAAATTGTCGAATAATATATTTTTCGTCTATTATTTGTTTTTCTATGAGTTTTAATAAAATTGTTGAACTGATTTTCATTGATGTATCAACATCATTTGGATAATAGATTGGGCATGGTGGACAAGGCTAAATGATGCTTAATATTATCATGAAAATTTGTCTATACTACTCAGTCTTACTTCTTCGACTGTATGCAATTGTACAATAGTATTGGAGTCATGTTCAAGAAACATTCGCCAAAATTCATCAATAGTTTCCAATAATGGATCTTGTGTTATAATAAATGAAGATTCGTGTGAATATCCCTGTTTTTGTTTTGGGTAATTAAGAAATAGGTTTGATCAATATTCAAACAAGAATTCGAATCTTACTTCAATGAATGATGCATTGATGTATGGATGTCCAAGTATGCGACTTAAACGAACACGATTATGGTCATCTAAATTTTAGAGAGAAGAAACAACAGTGAAGGTCGACTTTGAAGATTATCAACAATTTTACATGGGACGATTTGAGTATGTCGATTTTTGTTTATATTCGTTATTAAGTGCGCATCACGATGAAAAACATTTTCTACTGGTAATAATTGTAGTCTCTAAAAGCAAGCACAGTACTATTGATAATAATCTCTCTAGAAGATATTTCACTTACATTATATTCAGAAAATAATAACATTTGTTTGTTGTTTTTTAAATTAAAATATGTCGATCGAAATATATTGCCTTGAATTCTTGTATTACCATAAAGATAATATTCAAGTAGAGATCGATAAATAAATACATATTGTTTCTATTTGAATATGAAGGAGAGAAAAAGATGCATGAAGTCTACTTTTTCGGTGTTCACAAAACAAGCATACTACTGTTTGCACCATCAAATGACGTTCACGACGCATTTTTGATACAAAATTATAAATATCAACTTTTTCTTCTTGTTTTATTTTATCGATCATGGCATCAATGGCAATATAAGTGCCTGTTCGACCGACCCCAGCTCTAGTAATATAAGAATTTTCATTATGAAATCTGTTCCATTTTTCTTACGTGCAATGAACAACAATGGGATATTGTTCAGGAGTGATTTGTTCATTGACTTCACGTATTAAATGAAGTAATGTATGTGAATCCGCTGGAACATCCATATCTTTCCATTGTGTATAATGATATTGAACAATCAGACGAAAGTCCTGTTCATTATTTGGCAAATCGAATGAGAAGATCTCATCATCGACTGCTGTTAATGATGACGGTAGTGAAAATTCTTTACCATTACTTATCTTATATAAATAGAAACACACAAAAAAATGAAATCTTATTATCATTATTAACTTTCAGTTTATAGATAATGATGATGTTGCAACAAGGTTGTATTATTCTTTTTGTAACAATTTTTCTCACTGGAAATGTTCAAGGGCAATTTCGTAGTCTAGTCTATCCCGACGGAGAAACAACTATTCTTCGATCAAATGATGATCCCGGCGAACCATTATTTCTTACGCCTTATCTTGAACAAGGCCAAATTGAAAAAGCAAGGCAATTAAGGTACGGAAATATTCATTCCATTTTTTGTTTCTCCTTTTTATTTAATTTCTTAATTTAGTTCGGTAGAATTGCCACCCTATAAACAACAATCATTTTCTGGTTATTTAACTGTCAATAAAACATACAATTCCAATATGTTCTTTTGGTTTTTTCCTACACAAAATGGTGATAAAAATGCTCCTGTTCTTTTGTGGCTTCAAGGTGGTCCTGGTGCAACATCACTTTTTGGTCTATTTACTGAGCATGGTCCTATACAAGTTAATGACGATGGAAGTCTATCGGAACGACCTATTACATGGAATTCATTGTATAGTCTTTTATATATTGATAATCCCGTTGGTACAGGCTACAGTTTTGCATCCAACGACCAAGGTTATGCTCGAACTGAAGATGATGTTGCTCGTGATCTCTATTCCGCATTGACACAATTCTTTCAAATCTACACTGATTATGCATCGAATCCATTTTATATCACTGGTGAAAGTTATGCTGGAAAATATGTACCATCTATAGGACATAAAATTCATGTTGAAAATCAAGATCCACAAGTTAAAGTTAAAATTAATTTAGTAGGTCTTTCAATGGGAAATGGTTGGACTGATCCAATGAGACAATATACATATGGACCATTACTTTATCAGGTATGTTTACAGATAAATATACATCTTTCGGAATTCAATCAATCTATTTGAAATTATCTTTTCGTTTTCTAGATCGGTCTGATTGATGAAAATCAATTATTCTATATTGACCTTCAATCAAAATTAGTTCGCTATGCTATTAGTCAACAACGTTATACGGACGCATTTACTATATCAGATTTACTTATCGATGGCGATCTTATTAATACAACATCGTATTTTAGAAATGTTACAGGTTTACGTGCTTATTATAATTATTTACAAACTGACGAGTCTCCATCGCTATCAAATTATGTTAAATTTATTACAAGTGTTGATCGTCGTCGGCAAATTCATGTAGGAAATTTAACATTTAATCAAGATAATAAAGTTGAATTAATGCTTATAAATGATGTTTTTCAAAGTATACCATCGCAACAATTAACAACACTTTTTGATAATTATAAAATTCTTATTTACAATGGTCTATTGGACATTATCTGTGCTGAAGCTTTAACATTAAATTGGGTTGCTGATCTACAATGGTCTCATTCGGATGATTATAAAACGGCAACTCGACAGGTGTGGAAAGTAGATCCAACCGATGATCAAGTTGCTGGTTATATTAAAATAGTGAATAATTTTATCTTAGCTAGTATCCGTAATGCTGGACATTTAGTACCAGGTGATCAACCACGAGCTATGTTAGACTTATTAAAACGTTTCATTACACTTACTTTTGTTAAATGAAAAAAACGTTTTTCATAATCGCATAGAGTTTGATTATCAATACATGTGATTTGATAGAAACCATAGGTTATTGTTTGATGAAGTTCAGGCCAATATTGATGACATTTTGTCTTTAAAGAAGAAAAAGACAATAATCATAATTTAGACATATGAAAAGAAATAACTGTGGATATCTAATAACACAAGGGGATGCCGCATGGCGATAGATCTTGAGTATTAGACCCATGTGGGATTGTTATCATATCATCCGGTTCGTGATAATTGAGCACATCATTATGAGTAGATGGTCGCTCATTAGAAACGGCTAAGGTTCACAGAAGGAAGAAAAACAGAGAAGCGAAGAGGCAGTAGTCAATACATATCATAACCAATGACTCTTATCGATAAGTTACTACTATGATATTAATTGAAGAATCATGTAATAGAACATGATTATCACTGTCACATTCTATAGAAAGACAACTTCTCAAGTTTTTATTATCAAGAATCGCATAATCTTTGCCAGTACTTTCAATACCATTCAGTGTATTGAACAGAAAACAATGATAATATTTACCATTCTTGATGCGCCTTCGATAATATTTGTTAACATTACGATTGACTTAAGTTTAAGTTCCCATATCATACGCCAGAAATCTTCACAAGTATCAGGTTTAGGACCTACAAAAAAAAACAACATCAGTCATTTTCCTTTCTTTTAAACATATCTATTTTTACCTTGAGTTGCAATAAATTTATTCGGACATTTGTATCCCTAAATATAGTAAAACGTCTCTAGAATATTACAAAAAACAAACAATTCAATTACAAACCGATATATAATTTCCATTAATATAATCCGTAGCTGGATCATCGTCGAGTAGATTAAGAACGACACGAGTTGCATCAATAGGTAGAATATTAACAAAACGATTTTTAGAAGCAACAATATCACGAGTTGCTGATGTAGATGGTAATTCTTCAAAATTGGGAATACTCTAAAAAAATAAAATAAAAAACCGAAGTTTGATTGTTCAATCATGTCAGGCAATACACGCCTGGAACTACGAATCCAGATATGACTGAAAATAGAAATATCCGATCACTGACTTCCTGATTTCAAGTCACTCCCATTTATCAATGTTTTCCGACCGGAAATTTAGAATCCGAATGGGGAAATCATAGACCTAAATGTTTTCTTTTTGAATGATTGCATTCCAGTTCAATTCATCAAAATTTATTTTCACCTACTTGAAATTCAGTAGAAAATACCAAATCATCGAGTGCATGTTTTTGCATATAAATATCATACAAATCATCGACATAAAATTCTTCGGGTATTGAAAATTTTCCTAGAATCAAAGGCGAAATTTATTTTCTTACTCATATTATTTAAATTCAAATGAAATATTCATTTTGTAACTTTAAAATAGAGCCATCGAAAACCTACTGTGATCATTTTTCAACGAAGTCTTATTAGCTTGTCGTCGAATTTTTGACGCCGAACAACATACTGCTATTGATTTTTGATAGGATCGATGTTGACGATCACGATTATAGGAATTGATTGAAATATTAGCTAGCGCTGGTTTAATAAAAGATGACTGATGACTCCCCATAGCTTATGACTGACTATCTCATAAATCGAAACTTTCGTCTTTCCGAGTTAAACATAAACTATAACACGTCATCGCACTAATCCAGTCCCGACACAAACTAATCCTTTTGCGGCTTACTATGAAACGGTGAATAGGATAATGGTGTAGTGTCACGAGATTGTTTTGCTGTTGACCATGCATGTATACAAGGCAATTTGAAGTAAGAACTATTGATAGGTTGTCTACATAGAGAATAGAAAGAGAAAAAAAGAATAAAGAACGAATCTTATAATTATTTTGTTTTTACCTAAGAAAAAAGGTATAAACAAACGAAAGAAATGCCAAACCACTAAAACTACACACGAATATAATGACAAATATTGTCGTATTGGACGAGTCTTTTTTCTCGATGATTTGGTTTAATGGTGAATAAATGAGAAAATCAGCGTGTGTACTGTTTGAAATAGTTACTGCTGGTTTTACTTGGATGTAAAGAATTGTCGATGATGTTAATACTGTTTTGTGAGTAGTGTCTGAAATAGATAAAATAAAATCGTGTAGTCTTGATCAACTCATAATGTGGATTTGATAAGCTAATAACGATGCTAAGATTGATAAATAGAATAAATGCGAATAATTCTCTATGATGTAAGAAACTCAATTCTATACTCGCGACAATATATATTATTTGTTCATTATCGTTCGTTATGCTATCGTCATTATTCATTTTATCAAATTGGTTTGAATGAATGAATTTTTTACACAAAAACAAATATTTTTCTGATCGATATACAAGTAGACGAGTAATAGGAACTTATCCAACATATTTGATAATAAAATACAATTTACTTGTTAGTAATAATTTTGAATTATATTTTGTTGAACTTTGTCGATTAGCAAGTAATTTTTTAAGTAATTCAATAGAATTCGATTTTTGTCCTGCATAAAAATTTATCGTTTGATTTGATAATTTTTTAATTGATATCGAATGATTATGAAGTCTAATTGTCGAATTATTAATAACTCCATTTGCTGTATTAATCGATATAAATAAAACAATAAGACCAACAAACATCTGTATATTATTGTCATACATATGGTAGTACAGTGTGTTCATTCGATAGTCATCTAGAAAAGAATTTTGTATAAAGTAGGAATAAGCCGCCTACTAGTGCGATGTATTTATCAATGTATATATAATAGTATCGCAAACAAAAACTGTATGCGTAAAACGAAGGCCAACAACTTGACCGATTACTCACCTTCTACATTTTCACTACGTTCATATGACTATTGCGTAACCACTTTTCTTCGGATATATCAATTAGGACATACCGCGTTGGTCTAAGCTTCCCTGTTCTTTTTCTTTTTTATGTTCTGCACGTGCACATACATATCTTTCTTATGAACCGATAAACTCAGATTGTCGTTGCTACTGATTCAATAGATAAACATAATCGACAATTAACCTCATTGAGATCGGAATTAAACAATTCGAACTATGAATAGATGAGAGAACAATAGATCAGCCGTTTTCTTTTCATTTTTCTATTATCTATCGGTCATATAATTATCATGAGTGACATATCGGGGTCACCTTTAAAAAAAAGAAGAGAGAACAACAGGGAACAATCTTTTTCCTTTTGGCATATTACAGAGAAGAAAAACTTCCATTTTCTTTTTAATGTAGATAAAGAGATCAATTACTATTATTCAAGTGACATGTGTACATTCGGAACTGTATATATGTATATATCAAAACCAACTGTTGTTCGCGTCAAAAGTGCTTGACAAGTTTTGTTATAACATCTGAATTGTTAGTTGAATTACTATTCGTTGTCACATTCGAATATTATTACTCAATCGTGACACATGTTCGTATGAATTTCTCTAATTATAACTGACAATCAAACGAATTCAGTACACTTGTGTAGTCGTTCTTCTATTTTTGAAAATCATGAATACAACAAGCCTACTTGAGTGTTTACCGTATGCTCAATATTAACAGTAGCTATAATATTTATACATAACATACTAAGAAAATTTATTTGAATAAAATATTAATTTATAAAAGAACATATATCTTGATCAATATAAAAAAATAAAATTTATTTCATCGATAGCGGATGAGTCCTTCAGGGACAATCATCATTGTCATCATCATGTTCTTCTTCTTCATATGGAATACTATAAATAATATGATCAGCTGATTTCAATAAATGGTAAAATTCTTGAGAAATTTTCTCATTAGAAACTTCTTTAATAAGACGTTGCTCTAGCATACATTCATGAACATTCTATTGAAAAAAGAAAGAATTCATTATACGTAAAAATACAAGACAATTTTTACCGATTTCGATGAAGAAAGTTTCAATTCAGCAAAACTTAAAGGCCAGTAATTACGCGGCGACTTACTATGAAAGATCACATCAACATATTTATTCAAAACGAGATCTTCAAAGAAATTCATAGTATCTGGATTTTCACACCAAGTACCATAGATAGGTAAACTCTAAAATCTCGAAAAAAAAGCTTCTAAAAAAAATAGCTAGTTCACGTGTTTACCTTATGTAATGAACATGGTATCGCTTGAGCTGGAAAGGTTGTAAATTTTCGTTCAATTGAATGAATATCAGTTGGACGAACTTTATTCCAATTACCATAGTCAATATAAACAACATCATACGAATTGATTGTTTTGTTTTCTAGAACAATTTCTATAGAAGAATCACTATTTTTTTTAAACATTTTACCTTCGGGAGTGGCGATAATTCTTGAACGATAAAATTGACCGTCATTATATTTAACTATACAGTAGTCACCACGTTTCCATGATGATGAAGTATTGGTTGTAGACTTTTCTGAATAGAATTCACTAATTAAAATATAAATTTAACATGAATATAAATTGATGAGATGATTTACTTGATTTCCATTTGTAATTGTTCGTATTTTATCCGAAAACATTCTAATTGAATAAAAAATGCTGATGGATGATCGATATGTGAAACATATGATTGCTCGTAACATTTATGTACCATAACACTTTGGGGTCGGATACATACTAAAAACATCGAAATATAATTATAAAGTAATAACGACTGAGAAAAAGAAATTGTTGAGATCATATTTCTGCTTGCATGTTCTATTTCTTTTGCGAGAGTTTTTCAGTCGTTAACTATTCATAAATAACTCACTTGTCTTATTCTGTTGTAAATCTTCTTGTGCATTATTATCATCTAGAGGTGTATCTCTTGACAATGAAGACGACAAAGTATCAGTCGTTGCTCTATCAAGTGTTGGTGTTCGCGTAGTAGTAGACAATGATCCGTGACCAGAATCAATAGTCGATGATCGTTGAGGGTCATTGGTCGATGTTTCACTAGAACTATTTTTTGGTTCAAGATGTCTTACAGATCGACGATTTGAATCCATCGAATATTTATCTAGAATAGATTGTTACTTGATTTATTGTTGTTTTCATTAAATATTGATTGAAATCCATATTTGTGATGGACTTCAGACTTGAGAAGAGAAAAATAAAATAGCAAGACACTTCACAGTGATACATGAAAAAATGTAGGAATGAGTGCTAATAATTATTACTTGATTATTAGTATCTCACTCTAGCTCAGCCTTTATCTCATTTCTTTTTGGCTTCTATACAACATTCAAGATTGATTCGCGAATTTCAATACACTTGGGGCGAATAGATTCAAGAACATCGACTCATGAGAACATACAGAACAGGAATAAGAAGAGTACTTCAGAGCCATATCAATTGTTATCGAAATACGCAGTGAAAAAATCTGACAAAAAAATGTAAGTTGCATACAGTTTATCAGGTCATCCTTATTGAAGTGATTACTACTGATCTAAATATTGAAACTAGTTCAGACATCATAATCTTTGTTTGTTAAATAGCAAAAAAATAATTACATGCAACGACTAGTATTTTTCTATTTGCCAAGCTATTGAGCTTGATAACAAGAAAAGATAGTGACCGCCAGTTTTTGCTCGATAAGAAAATTGCCAAGCCAAATAAAAATGATGCATCGTCAAGTTTGATAAACAAATGTCTGCATTGTAAAACAAATTTTTTGCCAATATTTGCATTTCAATTTATGAAGAGAATTTGAAGATCTCTACTGAACCATCGAGTCTACATAAAACAAAAAGATGTGAAAGGGATAACCTAAAATAAGAAATTCTTACAGTGACGCTTCCGATTTTCGATTTAATGAGCTCAGCTTGTAGTTTATTTATTCTCTTATTATTGATTCATTCCAAATTTTTCAAGTTGAAAATGGTTGTTGTTTTACTGTTCCAATAATATCGACTATAGATTAATACTGAATTTGAAAAGTTGAAAAAAAAGAAACTACTCTTACTTCATATCTTGATGCATTTGTTGAAAAACAGGACCAACAACATCGTGTATTTGAATAAAGAATGTTGACGGGTGATCCAGATAAGCAATCGAGCAGTTGGAATATTGCACATATTCTTCACATTGCAGTATTGCTTCCAGAAATGGAAGCATGTGGGTAACATTGTATCTGTCGTTTTCTTGAATATACATTATCTTGGTTGATTGATCAAGCAACCTAAAATACCCAGGTTGTGTACGTACGGCGGAAAACACTGGAAATTGCTGGAAGGTGGAAGCAGTATTCCGGCCAGCTCCTATAGTATCCGGTGGCCGAAACGATTAACCTGGGTATAGAAGAAACCAAAAACATCAGTTTCACTAAATTAAAATTTTTTCTCGCATAATCTCCAATAGCGAATCAGCATCTAATTCAAGAGAAAGTTGAGAAATGCTTTGTAACACACTTCAGAATTGAAATTTTGAGCTCAACGGGTCTATAATTTAAAAGAAATTAATTTTTCTCGTTTTTTATGGTTGAATTGAGTTTGCCATCTGATATAAGAAAATATGAATACTGAGTCTTTATCGTATAATGATTTAAAAAGATGGCAGATTTCTCTCTTTAACGAATCTACATTGAGGTTCAATATGATAATTCAGCCTAGTTAATTCGAAAGTGGCAGCAATAGTTCTATAACGCGGCAGCGTAGAACTTTTTTTTATGAAGATGAATGAATTGATGAAGTAAATTTCAATATTGAAGTATAACATTTTTATTGACGTTTACTAGTTGCATGTTAGAAACGTGATCCGAAAATTGAAAGTCAAGAAAAAAACTGCATTAGTACACTAATGTATAATAAGTTTTTTCCATGCGTAAAAACATATAAGGAAGATAATAGTTGCATCAGAAACAATTACTCACATAGTCTATAATATCAAGGGATTTTTCTTCTATCATGAGATCGTTCAAAGTGAATTTCATATTATTCACTGTTATGCGGAACCCATTCTAACACCAATCTTGTGATATTGTTATACCAAGTATATTGGTCGTTTCGTCAAATATTTTCCACAGAATATCCATTGAAATGATGCACTGTGTTTCATACTAATATGCCTGTATTAGAATTTCGGAATACAGATCAGTGTCGCCTAGTAAACATGATGTTGTGGATTATAATACTGATCATAAGTTTTCAAGATAATGCTGAGACAATTCCTTTCCTATTTAAAACAAAAATTAAACTTAGATCTTGACTATGCTGTTTCTGTTGTTATAACCCATGTCATAAAAATCGCGATTAGTTGCCGTTTTCACTAGTCGACGATCTTGACTTCGATCTGCCCTGATTCTTGTTTTTCTTGAATACCAGTCAAGATTCTTTGTAATCATAATGTTCAGGCAAGATTCTTCGGCACAGGAAAGAAACAAGATTCTTGCCTTTTACTCAAGAAAAACACATTCTTGTCTGATTGCTCAGATAAATAAGAATCAAGCAAGAATGGCAAGATATTCAAGACTTTTTGAAATACAGACAAGAATCTTTTTTTCCTTTCCTTTCCTTTCAACGATTCTTATTATATCTTAAAGAGATCACGTGATGTTATATGTATATATACTTATGAATATACAGAAGTTTCAACATTATATCTTTTTTTTTCTAGATGACGCGGACGAATTATAACAGACGTATTTTTTAAATAGACAGTTTTATTCAAGTTTTTTTCGTTTTTTTTAAATTTTTTTGTACGCGTTATGAGCTTATTGTATATTTCCGTGCATATGTAATCTAATTTTTTTGTATTTTTTTAATTTGAAATTATAATAAAATAGGACCGAAAAGAGGCAACCGTATGGATGCCTAAATGAAATTCATTTGTAATGCAAGATTTTTGTCAAAAATAGCAAGAATTGTAAAAAAACAAGAATCTTGCCAAAATGGCAAGAAACAAGAATCACACCAGAAAAGCAAGAATCTTGCCAGAAAGTCAAGATCTGTTTTTTCAGACAAGTATCTTGTCTGATATTCAAGAAAAACAAGAATCTGGACAGATCGAAGTCAAGATCGTCGACTAGTGTTGGTTCAATATCGTGATTAATCGGCAAAAGTGACGCGATTTTTATGACATGGGAGAATATAAGAACACGATTTATACTACAAATATGTCCACATTTTCAAGGTACTGGGAATTTCGATCGCTCTCAAACTTTGCCCTCTCATTCGGCAACCGCTTGATTATGACGCATAGTACGATTCATTACGTACACAAAATAGTAGCACTGCTTGACAGAGCTCTTTGAATCTGTAATAATTCTAGCATTGCTAACACACTATATCATACAGACAGGTTAAAAACATACCTTAGAGTTGAAATTGACTGATTGATTGTATTGAGTTGTGTTGTTTTCATGCCATGATGGGAGCAGAACAGTGACAATGGTTAAAATCCTTGTGATTTTACAATCAACATGTTTACATAATCTATAACAGACATCCGATATATTGCTTAATGATACATTATTCATGACAATGAACTGAGAAACAAATATCTATGTCATACAGATATAGATGATGATTGATTTCTAAATGACAAGTTAAAATATTGTCATTGTTTCGCACATTTTGATACTATAAAATTGCACAATCACTTGAAAACATTGTTTCATTTCTACACTCGACAAGAGAAAACTATACATTGCTCAGTTAATGTCACCAATAATATCTTTAAGTAAACAATATTTTCAGAAACATAAATCTTATGATAGAAATTGTCACCATATGCAATGAAATTCAATGAATTTCACGTGCATATGTTTTTTTTTCTTCTTCAACAGCATTGTCTAGCACTGCTCAATTTACACAGGTTCATTGTAGGTGGCGCTATTTAGTGAGTAGTTTTTTTGGCAATATATATGACGGATAAATATATAGCTACAGTTAAATGAAAACCAAGTATTTGTATGAGGAAAAGATATTCTACGAATTTACATCTATTTTAAACAAAAATCAACAACTTTATAAGAAGTTATCTCATACAAACTAAAAATCGATCCATCATTTGTAAGACAATATATGATAACTAAAGACTATCAACCTATGGTTTCTTCAAAAAAAAAATTTTTATTTAACTTAAACAAAAAGTAGGTACAAATCCAAAAAAGCTAGCAAAGAAAGTGAAAAAACATTGCATTGGCACATGCTGTTCAGGGTTCCAATTTCACATGGATGAGATCACGAAAATATCATCTTCTCACTTGTAATATGCAAAAGGAAAACATAGAACTCTTTAATATTTTCAATTATCTTCTGCTGAATTAATTATAGGAGACCTAAAATAAAATAGTGATGTTATTATTAATCTTTTTCGTCTTTAAATACTTACTATTATTATAAATATCCGATTCAACAACCGCAACGTTATACAAAATATATTCCATCGGTGTAAGTTTATCATTGAAATGTAATGCTATCTGTTCATTTCGAACATATGTTATATATTGTGCTAATTTAGTGTGTTGAGCGATAGGCTAGAATCGACAAAAACAAAATTGTAATATATTTTTCACTCAATCAATTATTTGCATCGTATTTACCTGACCATCGAGGATTACTTTAACGAAATGAAGTGGCCTAAAGTTAACGAAATATGAACCATAATTATAAGATAGGTTCGAAATTTTACCATTGTTCTCCAACGTTTTCTTGAAAATGAACTTCAACAATACGGTTTTTGACAATCATATTAAATGCATCTGTTGCTTCTGAAGTCCAGAAATTTTCATTACTTGGAAATACCTTTCATAATTAAAAGAAAAACAAAAAGCAATTATTAAAATCACCTAAAGATTCGATTTCACTTCATTCAATGTACAAGCGACCGTCATAGCTGGTAATCGTGTTAAAGGTTCAATCAATGGATAAATTTCATTCGGTGGTTTGGATTCTGAATTTCCATAATCAATATAGACAACAAGTACTGATTCATCTAAAATAATAAAATTCGTTTTCTAATGAAATTTAATTCTCTTAAAACTATACTATTATTCAAAACGACTCGAGCTCGATACCATAATTGATCTTCACTAAATCGAGCTACACAAAAATCACCAATTGATATGTTTTGTAATGGTACAGTTGTATTAGCGGGTTTACTATAATAATTGCTTTAAAAAAAAATAGAAGAATTACAATGAAATTATCAAGTAGATATTTGCGTTATTACTTCATTTCAATAGACATCAAATTAAATTGTTCGGCAACACGCGGATCTTGATTGGAAACAAAAAATGCTGATGGATGATCAACAATAGGGATATCAGCATGACGCCAAATAGTACCACTTGGTATGACTTGCATTTTAACACGAACTTTAGTATCGATAATATTTGTTTCATCGGCTGTGTTACCTAAAATGAAATAAAATTATCAAAATAAAATCATCATCATGAAGAACAGACATGAATGTGAATCTGTTGGATGAGAAATCATTTTTTGATAACCATTTGAAACAGTTTTTGATGGTAGGGCATGTGGAGATGATTTTATTTGTTGAATCGATGTTGGCCGACGAAATGCTGATTTTTGTTGTTGTTCTATTGATGGTTTCATCGGAACCGTTTCGCTAAGTAATGTTGCTGTATTTCTTGCGGCCAACGTATTGATGGATGAATTTGTTCCAAGATTTAATGGACGTGTTGTACTGGGATATGTGTCTTGTTGTAAACGGAGTCCATGACCGATCGGCTCAGTTTTAGTGATCGGCATATGGGTTGGTACTGTGCGCATGGATGCATGATGAATAACAGGTGTTTGCGGACACACTGCTAGTGGTACTTGACATTTCTCATTTTTAAGTGATTTGATATCATTACGAGTTATATGAAGAGTATTTAATGATTCAGTTTGTAGTTCAACCACTGCAAGTTTTTCAGCAACATGTAGAAGAACTCGATTACATTTAACAGCTTTTTGAATTATTATAGGAGATATATTTGCGTCTAAATCAACAGCATTTCGTTTGCCTATCCATGTTTGTTTAACTTCATCAACGTAGCATGTTATTTGATTTAAACGTTTATTGAGACGATCACACAAAAAATAGATATTTTCTATTTCATCGAGTAGTTCAACAGTATTTAAATCATTTGTGAATGACATATCTGAAGTAAAAATTAAAAATATTTTTTTTTCTTCTGAAAAACACAAATGTGATCATTGTCTAAAAATACAAAGCAATAAAAATTATCTATAGTCATAAGGATTTTTCAACAATATTATGACATAAACTAGCGAGAAAGACAAGTGTAACGAAACATACTTGAAGAAACTAAAAGCAGCCTATATTTGAATATCTCCCTCAATAACTGACTGTATTTTATATGAACGACAACAACTGCGATTAGACATACTGTAAAATAAAGGTGGGGAATTGATGAATCATTCATGAAAGGAATAAAAAGAGACTTTTATTCAAAAATTTCGTGACACTAATCGTTTCTTTGCATGCCAAAAGAATCCGTTCATTTATCAAGAACTACTTCACCGCCATTATAAAAAGTTCCAATAGATTGTGAACAAACAAGTAAAACCTACTAGAGAAAATAAAATCTTTCTCAGGCAAGGCTGGAAGTAAAATGAAAAAGAAAACATTTACTCTACAAAAAAAGTAATCATTATGCAGTGTTGATTTCGGTGAGCTATACTTTATACAATAATAAAAATAAAAATCACACACAAACGCTGATTCGCATCGCCTCTTCACATTGGTAAATACAACACACACCTTACTGACCATAAATTCGTCAAGATATGTAGAGCAGTACTTATCGTTGATCATCTATGACTAGTTTCCAATGCTTGATGCAATAGATTATTGTTGAAAAGACCTATCGGTATTCATATTGATCTATTTACTAATAATCCACTATTGATTAGAAAATATAAACACAACTATCTGAAAAATATACATAAATTCATTTCATAGTGATCTATCTTTTGATTTTTGAATAAACAAACGCACACGCACAACAACAAATTTATAACAAATAGTAATGGTTTTGTCGCATAGTAAAAATGAAAACACATGTAGAACAATCAAACTTTGCTTTTGTCATTTATGCATCAACCAACAAAAAAAAATCGCAACATCTGCTTCTGAAGTATTATTGTTCAAAATCATCTTCACTAATAGGTACATTGAATAGAATATATTCCTGTTGACTGAGAAAAGGTGCCATTTGTTCAGCAATAAAACGATTTGGTCTTGGGTCAATACGTTGCTGAAAGCTAGATAAACTTGTTACAGACTAAGAAAAGATACTCTTATGATTTAAACAGAAAAGAAGAGCTAAATAGTTTCTTACTTGACCATCAACCATGATTCGAACAAAATGTAATGGCCTATGAAATTAAAAACAGACATTACTATTACATGGGTTAATATAGAACGAAAGAATGCGTAGGATCACATTTATTTTGGTCCCGGTCCTGATGACCGGAGTTAAACTGACTGAGGAAAATTTTATTTCTCATAAAAGATTTAAATATTACCATTGTTCAGTTCCTTCTTCTTGATTAACAAAATGAATTTCAACTACTTTGTCGATTACTTCATCTTTAAATATTTGAATTGTATCTTCGCTCCATATTACTTCATGTTCATTTTGTGAACGAGGAAAAGCCTAAGAGGAAATGTTAATTTAATCCTTGTTGTTTTTTGTCTCGCATATATTCATACTTCTGATAGACTGCAGCCAATAGCTTGTGCTGGTAAATCAGTAAATAATTTGTGAAGTGGAAAAAATTGATGAATCAATTTAATTTCAATATTTCCAAAATCAACAAAAACAATTTTTATTTGATCATGTCCTTCGCAGGTTATTAAACGTGCTCGATACCAACGATTATCTTCACTGTATTTTGCAACGCCAAAATCACCAATAGCAATATTTTCCAATGGCATTAATTGATTATTTACTTCTAATTGATTATAATAATCACTGAAAAAGAGAATCTTAGAATGTTTCTTTTTGTTCATTTTTATGGATTTGCTCTTTTTACTGAAGTTCATTTTGCATTTGACCAAATTTTTCGCATACTTTTGCATCAAGATTTTCCACATAAAATCCTGATAATGAATCAATAATATCGATTTTTGCCTGTTTCCATTTTGTACCAGACGGAATACGTTGTAATTTAAGTTTTTCTTTAGCACCTATAATAAAAGAATATTTCATTTCTATTTTCTTTTAAATTATCATACGAATTTGTTGATGCATTTTATAATTCGATGCCAATTGGCTAGTTGGCGGTGCTACAAACGGTGAAGGTGCATGATCCGATTGTAATGGAACGGTATTGTATGATGGTAGTGTTGGACGAATCTATATAGAAGCATTTATTATAAAATAAAATAAAGGAAGATGTTGATGGATTTAAAAACAAAAAAATCAATATCAGACCGAATTAATTGATTAGGCGATTCTTGGTTTAATGAAAGGATTAGCGTAGCGAATTAGGTAATCGAATGAAAAATATCTAGTGGAGCTTTCGCTTATGAATGTTTTCTACTGTGAAAAATATTTCAAAAGAAAATTAACTCTCTAAATCCACTAGAAGATTTGTTACGATGAAAAAATCAATAGTATTACAGGTTGAAGTCCTTTTTGTGGAAGAAATTGGTTGCCATTGTATGGATAGATCGGTGATGGCCTTGATGCATTTTCTAAATTATTTGGCGATAGTCGGTGTGTTATCGGTTTAAAACCGGGTTTTTCTTCAGTAATTAATGCTGATACACGACCAGATAGTGCTTGTTGTGACATTCTTAATACCGGCACTGGTAATGGTGGTTGTTCGTTAACTTTTGCAGCTGGAATAAATGTTTGCTGCTGCTGTTGTTTAATTAATGAAGGAGTTGAATGACGAACATGAGATGATGGTATATTTGTTCCTAATTGAGTCGTTGATACTGAAAGAAGATGTGATTTAGGATCAATACGAAGAACTTGTTCGATTAATAAATCCACACGACATAATGCTAAATAAAAACATAGGCCAAGTCATAGTTAAATGATCCAAGTTTATGTATTATTTCAAACCTTGAACAGCTTCCAATGTTAAATCGTTAATACGTTGTGTTTTTGGCAGAAGAAAATCATATGAAGATGATGGTTTCATTTGAATTACTTGATCAAGAATAACTTGACGACGATATTGCCATATATCAATTTGTTGTTCAATAGATGATGCTATTTTTGAAACATATTCTTTTGCTTTTTCATAAGCAACGGATAATCGACTAAAGAAGAATATTTTTAATTGATATTATTATTATTATTTTACTTTATTTCATCAATAACCATCGTAGCAGACGATTCATGTGCCATGATCGTACAAAAAACACTATATAACAATCTATATGAGAGAAAGAAAAAAATACCCAATTTTGATGTAAACACGAAGATAAATTTCATAGCAGATAGTTAAATATCATGCACATGTTGTTGGACTCTCAAGCCACTGACTTCAATAAAACATGGAGAACAATAACAAACCTATGAAAAAAAATTCAAATAGAGGACGAGAGAATTTCATTTTCGTTTAAAAAGAATTTCTATTACTATGGATTCTGGTTTCGAAGAACGATTAATGTGTCGCTAATAGTGTTGTAGAGAATGAATTGAAGTTTTTAAAATTATATTATTCTAATAAATATATATATATATATATACAATAACTGTAAAAATAGAATTTTCAATGTGTGAAAGTTATGTTTATTCCCTCAATTTTAACATACATTTGTAAACTTTTTTTATGCTGACGAGAAACATATCCATATCGAAATTCAGTCCACTGATAGTTACTTGTTGGAAATTGAATAATTTATTAGGTGATTGTTTCTGTTTTCGAGTAGAACTTTCAAAATATTGTCATCGTCAATAGGTTTACATATGAGATAAAACTCTGGTTGAAAATTAAGTACAGCAGTCATAATTTAACTCTATGAATGCTGTCTTGTCTCTCCGAAATAGGCCTTGCAAGCGGGTTTAGTTCGGTACTTTAAAATCTTGTTTTTACTATTCATAAACACGAAGTGTGACGATTCGCGGTAAAATAAAACATTCTATTAGTGATAAAACATTTGTGTATATTCGGAATCTATGAATTAATTGAATTTCAAAAGAGCAATTCCATGTTTCGTCAGAAAAAATTCAACGTAGAGAAAAATATTCAAATCGCCTTGAAATTCATCCATGTATAGACACAAATAAAAAAATATGCCGCCATATTCTTTTACATATTTTAATGTCACGATTAAATAATGACCTTCGTTGCGTCTGTCGATTTTTCTTGATAATTATTATTTTACTCGAAACAACCCTAAGAACTTCGCTTCGTTTTATACTAGTCATATTTTCGACCATCCATAAATTTCTCAACATACGTTCCGATAATACTCAATGCCGAAGTGACCTGAAGAAAAAGTCTATTCGAAAAAAAACGCACGTTCACAGAGCATAACATTGAACAGACAGACTATAGCACTTCGGCAGTGCACCATATGTTTGCAATAGAGCCTGAAACCATATCATACACAACACATTTTACTGTGTATGTGACTTTTTTTTGTCATCAATCAACTGAACCGAATACCACAGCAATTAATTCAATTAAGAATTGACGTCTTTTGTTGAAAATGTTGCGTCATATTGAGTCACTATGTAATTGCCAACAGAAATATGTATTTAAAAGAATGACTGGAATTCTTTTATACACAGTTTTTACTAGTTTAGAAAATTATACTAATGAATTTTAGATTAAAATAATTACTTCCTCTTCCGATACAAAGCAAAAATATAAAATGGCTAAGCATGCTTGGAATTTTATTCTCTCGGCAATAATTTCCGCTCAATCACATCATTTTCTCCCCAAAATCGTTAGATAAAATTCATCATATTGAAAGTCATCAGATATCACCTTTTCAAAGTTAAATATCAAATGATCTTTTAAGGCAAAGATAAACCTAATCAATAGGAATTGCGAGTTTGCATACAAATCAAATACATAATCGATTAATACCCTTCAAAAATGATGTCCTTCACGACTATTGATATTGCAGGATCAATGAATTTGAGTTTTTGTAAATCATCGAACGATTCTATTTCAAACAAATTATAACCAATAGAGTTCTATTTGTTTATTATAGAATAGCATACTCAAGTAATATTAGACATACTCAATAAATATACAACTTATCAAACTTGACTTTTTTTTAAAATAAAGCTAACGAATACATAGACAAAAAACTTCGATGTTATGTAATCATTATATCATAATTAGTTGATTAAAAACTGACGACATACTATATCGTGCATAATTTTAAGATTTCTGCATAGAAAAAGCTTCTTATAATCGGCAATAAACCTTATTGGATTGAGAAAGATTATTCAAGTAAAATTATTAAATGTAAGGGCCATTGACATGGCTGTATATTTATAAATTCTAGAAGAAAAAATAGGTAGATTTGTTTATCTGAAAAACGCCGCGTTTAAGAAACTCTTTTCACCTTTGACCTTTTATTCAGTTCATTGTGAGACTGAACAAACTACAATGCACGTTTTGTCAATTTAGGCCTTTATCGATCTTACATACATGCAATATAAATTATTCGTTGTATACTCTCAAACAGACCCTATAATTTGCTTTTGTTTCGTCTATATTTTTCAAATAAAAATTAGATGAATACCAGTTTTTTTTATGTATACCATTAAATAATTGATATGGTTCGAAAATTAACTATGATCGATATACATTCGAGACACACCTAGTCATCAATAGAAGTTATGGTGTGTCTCTTTGAACTTATTATGTTGATCAATTTATATAAAGTCTGTATGTTTGTATGGGAGAGAAAGAAAAAGAAGAAGAAGAAGAAGAAATGTTGTACTGTATGAATAAGCCTTCATTGCTGATAGTTTGACTTGATAGAACTTCTCACAACGAAAATGATACACATTAGCATATGTCTTTGATTCAATAGTTTTTTTCTTTCAAACAATATTGTAAGTTTTCATTTTATTGAATTTCGATAGAATTATTCTAATTGAGGATAATTGAACCTCTGAAATTTTAACGATTTCTTTTTCTTTTCTTGTCCATAGGAATCATATAAAATTCTATTGAGCCTTGTCGCCGTGTTCTATTTCATTAAGAACTTAAACATAACTTTTAAAGTATTCACGTTCTGGCATAACCGTTAAATCTATGAGCGACGGCGATGACGCAAATGTACTAAAAATACTTATCAAATCATTTTGATATAGATGTATAACGACATGATACTACATATTTCTCTATTGAATATTCAATTTGACACCTTTCGATCTTTCAACATGTCGAAGAGGAAAAAGAAGGAAGAATAAAAGAAAACCATAGTCAAATTTGCATCTCATTAGTTTCTTTCGTTCAGTGTGTCACTTGTTTGAAATTGAACCGTTTCTCTTCATTTTGCGCGTGCACGTTTACTTACATTTATAGTATTGAATTACGTGAGCGCGTAGATCAAACTGAACCGTTTCTCACTCTTCTCATATTCTCTATTCGATAGCTATCATCGTCATCACTATCAAAGAATAAACATTAAAAAAAAAGATTTAGCAACATCGGTAGGTGTCAGCGTCCTATATTTTACTTGTTATTATTCACTCTATTCATCGATTTAATTGTTCGCTTTTATTTGTTCGATTTACTTCTTATTTAATGAGACTTATAGAGCTTAACTATCATCATTTCGTACAACAAAAAAAAAGAGTTCAAGGAGATTTTAGTAGGACATTAGTGTACAGTCATGTTAACATTTAAGACCAGGCATGGGACTTTTTTCCTCAACTTTTCATTTTCATTTTCTTTTTCGTGAGTATGATTGCGTAGCCAAATAAAGAAATATCCTAGGGTTTTTCATACTAGGGCATACTCACATAGCCATGCGCCTATTTTCATTGTGTTATATATATATATGCACATAGAAGTGACTGAGAAAGCTTTGATCACAAGTATTTGCTTTTACTTCTCTTCATAAAGAAAAAAAAACAGTCAAGCGAAGCAACTTCTTGCTTTTCTTTTTTTGATGTTCATCTCTTTTTATGCATTAATATATATATATATATGGTACACATGTGCGAGATGAATGACTAAGTCTTTCGGTCATTTTCTTAGCTTCAGTTTAGTTCAAACAAAAAAGAGTCTTAGTATCATCTACTTTAAAATAGTTCTCTCACGAAAAACACTTTCTTTTCCCATGTTTATCGGCGTTTTCATTGAAATATCATGTTTGTCATAATTTAAAGGTTGTTTTAAATTTTAAATTCATCAGTCGATTTTCGTTCTCTTACTTTATTAAGTAATCCGAAAGATGAATATGTTGGTAAATAGTCAATGAAGAAGGCTATGTGCTAAGAAAAAGATGTCTGACAACGAATAAACTTCAAATCAAGGTTTCATAATCTTTGCAAATCACCATCCTGTATGTATTTTTTTTTCGTCTTCGTATAAAAGAGCAGTATTTAACAACTAGTCTTCATGTTAGAAGAGCAAAGGAACACTATATTATTACTCTGTAGGCTTCTCTATTTCATTTTCATATGACAAACGGAAAGAATCTACCATTTATCAATGATTTCTCTCACATTTACTAGATATCCTGTGCCGATCAGATTATTTTTCTTTTTCTTTTCTTCACACAATATGTATGTGTTCTCTATCTTAAACAAACTACTAACCGCATAAATATAACTTCTATAGTGTGATTACTTTTTCTTTGAAGGATATTTAAACAAACTTCTGCATCCAATGTCATCGAAGATTATTTATAGAACTTCATTTTTTACTTAACCTCTTCTATAGTTCGCACGTTATATAACTAAAGTAGTTTAACATCAAAGAATTTCGACTTTTTCATGTAAGCAAAACTTATTCAATTGAGAAAGTTAGAAATCAATATCGTCAATTATTTTCTTTTCTTTTCGTATTTGATCATGTCAAACGTTCTAGACATCAAGGGATAAGGCATCTCTGAATTTCTTCTTTTGTTTTTAATCCTATGTAAGCCATGAAACGGCTGCACTTTGTGTTCATCATGTACTAACTAAATTAAGTTACTTGTTATTTTGATTGAAACATTCGTTCGATAGACGTCTGCCACTGAGAGTAACAATTATTATTTCATACATAAATAAATGTGGAAACTTCGGATTTCATCAGAGAGTTATGTGTACTGCAAAAAGTACGTGGGACATATGAGTCATTCTAGAATGTCTGACCACCAAAATTATCATGAGAAACTAGGCACTTTGGTTTCTGAATGCAGTTTTTATGCATTTTGAGACCGTTTTCAGGCGATGTGCCGTTAGAAAGTCACGATTTAGTTCAAAACTAGTATCAGATTCGAAATCAGCATTAAAAACTGAGTCGATTTATATATGTTGCGGATAATTCTGAGAAAAGTTTTTTTTGAAAAATCCCTGTACTCCCCCTCAGGGTTGGTCTGATCAAAAATGACAATTTTTTCGATAACTCAACCATTTCTGGACAGATCCTTCTCATCTTCGAACTCGACCGAGATATTGATGAGATAATGTTGTGTACAAAATTTCATGACAATCTGATCAGCCTTTCAAGAGTTATCGTATAAACGGCCGGACACACTGATCGATTCTATAGTGTACTCATTTTTTTTTGAGTACACAAAAAGAAAACAAAAATATAGTTTAAATGTGATTTCTCAGATTTCAACTGATATTCTTCATGATTAAGTTAGATTCTATATGGTGTTTTTTATCATGTTTTATGAATGTGGTTTTGAAATTTATCATAAAACAGTTATGATCTTATCATTATTGAATAGACATTTGAATAATTTCAATTATTCACACGGAAACTATATCGCTTCTTTTCACTTGATTGAAATCATATTTTGAATATGAAAGACAGCTGTTAAGATCTTTTGTTCATCAAATTTATCTTTTAAAGCCACGATCAGATAGATATGTTTAAATATACGAGGAAAACTATGAGCGCCCACCCACTCAGACAGTGATAGATATTGTTGATAGGAAAAATATTTGTTTATACTCTTCGAACTTCTGCTGAACGTGGATATTTCTCTTTGAAATTTGAGTCTTATAGGGATTGTAGCCAAGACATAGATAGGATTGAATTTCATATCGAAGTGTGATTATGAACGAAATCTTTTGTTTTCTCTCCTATAAGTATTAATTTCATTAAGAAAAATAGTAATATTTGAATAGACTAGTTTCATATCCAAACAAAAACAATATCCATTTGTGTACCTACCTTATTCAAAGGATCAATTGTACAGTATACACTGAATTAAGAGAAGATGAAGAAAAAAATAACCGTTATTATTATTATTATTTCGCACAGAGACGTATACATTCAATCTTATTTGTTCCTTTTCGTTTTCATTTTAGTACAATGTACATATCATTCCAATTATTGTACTTTATGTAGATAATTTATATCGGTCTCTCGTCAAGCATGAAAGAGTACACCTACGAAGTTCAACATTCATGGGAGAAACAACGACGGCCGATTGCTACCGACACTCGGCATCATCATCAGTACCATCATCATCGTCATCAACAATCGTTCGGCAAAGAAGATGCCGCCATGGATGCTGATGCTAGTAGTATGAGTGGTAAGTACAAGGGCTTGTATACAGTCTCATTATTGTTGTATAAATATTGAAATCTTAGAATAATGTCGAGTTGATACGCTTGTATACGAATGTTACCGTTGATATTAGAATTAGACTTAAATGAATCTATGTAAGGATCATGACAGGACGAATGAGTAACGGCAATTGTCTTGATCATATCAGGAACATATGTCATTAATGGAATATTTAGCAAGTTTATAAACAATCATCGAAAGTCAAAATGCATCTCATAGAGTATATGGCTTAGCAAAAGCAAATCAAATTATTCGTTCATTAATTTTCAAGTTTTCTCGCTTGTATGTCGTATGCTGCTCAATGAACAGTGTTGAGAGAAGAAGAAGAAGAAAATAATAATAAGAACATGTGCCACTGCTCATTACGTTGATGTGTGTGGGTGTATCTTTGAACTAGTGATCTAATTATTAGTAAAGAAGACAGTCCGGTAGTAGTGCATTTTTTTCTAGTGATGAAAGCAGGTGGTCTTACTTAGAGAGAAGAAAGTTCATAATGAACATATTTCGTGACAGAGTGATAATCACTTGTATATGTGTCGTAAAACACGTAATGATGCATCAAGCATGTGCAGATTACGATGCATAAGATACATCTTATTATACTTGAGTTTGACTTACCGATGAACAACTGTTCCGATGGATACATATACAGCCAGCATGGAAGAGAATTTCTTATTTGATTGATTATCAAAAGATAGGTAAAGATTTATTATTTTTGTTTGTCTTATTTACCCTTTGAAATAAATGGAATGAAGTAAAATTTGAATTGAGACAACGTAAATACGATCAATAAGTGTCACTTACGCTCTTGCATTCGGTTTCGTTTTCATTTCATTTGCATGCTCTTTTTTCTCCAGGCTCATGTTGTATTTACAGTAGACGAAGAAGAAAATATGAAATCCATTTCGATGTAGGGAGAAAAAGAAGAAGAATAGCATAATATGACTGCTACTACTACTGCTACTGCTACTCAACATGATGATTGAAAAACTTGAGTAGTCAAAAAAGGACTAAGAAAATAATAAGTAAAGGACACTTAAATTAAATTGAACCAATAGAAAACAAGAATGAGAATGTGTTAGACGATGTGTTGAATGTTTCTTTCGAATTAATGTTACTTATGTTCCATTTGAAATATTAATGCAATCAATTGAGATTAATTTTTATGTAGTGAAATACTGTTCAGGTAATTAAAACAGAAATAAGAATGATTTTTTTTCTTTTTCTCCTTCCAATAGATTATTGGATTAAGTATCTCAGTTTCAATCTTATTTTTAAACAAAAATCTATTAGTAAATGTTAATGACAAGAATATAGATTTGTTTGTTTTTATTTATTTTATTGATTAAAAACAAAAGAGATCCTATTGAGAAATAATTCGTAAGAATGATAATGATTTTTTTCTTCTTCTTCATCTTCATGTTCTCCTCTTGGACATGCATAATCGAGATTCAATGAGATAACATCATACATCTGCTTCAAAAGAGCAAACTTCCATGCTGATTTTCTCAATTACATGACCGTTACATGCGGCGGCACATCCTTTTGCCTTTGATTCTGTCCAGTAAACATACACGATTGATTTTTATCGATGCATTGAACGGCACGCTTACATATAATCTACACTTGCTATCATCAGTGAGCCAACCAGTCGTGTCTTCTTCGTTTACTAGTAAACCACTATTCCTAAAGCTAGATATTATCTCATTAGGAAGTCGTCTTGTCTTTACTTACTATTTATACCGGCTGTTACATTTTTTCTCTATGCACAAAAAAGGAAAACACCTACATAAATGTGCCAACTGTCTGCCCTAACTGTCCTTTCTAAATACACGATGATGATGGATATCATTAATATCCATTGACTATTATTGTTGTTACTCGTATTAGACTGGAATTTCTATGTTGTTATTATTACTGTTTGTCGCGCGTTGTCAGATTTTCATCTGTTTAGTCAGAAAGAAAGAGAGATCAAGTTAGAGAAACAAGCAAGAAACAATAACAACCAAACTGCCCATTAGTCTGCATATCGTCGTTGTTAGACAAGGGAAATTTCTTTTTGCATAATAACATGGAACTTATTAAACGACGAGTACATCGACAATCACATCGAACAAGAAGTAAGTTTCAAAAAGTTAATTGAGCAATTGCAAAAATCGATAGATACATAAGCATTTCTCGAGACTAATTTTATGCTCATTAATGAGTATGTTATGTATATAATTGTATCATTAATAAAACAGCTAAGGTCAATCTGTCTCATTTATATGAACAAAGCATAACTAAAAAACAGAAGAAAGATCAAATACTGAAAAACAAACTGACGCGAGTTTCATCCATAATATTTGTGTTTTACCTTTATGCGTTCTACCTATGTGGTTTTCGAGAGAAAACAAAAAATATATATAATGAATAAAATAAATTGTGTCACTATTGATAAATAACATATCATCACATGGTGTTTTCACCTGTCAATCATATGTTTGATGATGGTTCTGTTTACCCGTTTCTATCGATATATAATTTTTTTTTTATTAATGAATAATACGAGAAAGCAATTGTAATGTGACTGTGGTTAACACATGATTTTCTTTATTTGTGTTTAGAGACGACATCGGAGTCAGGTGTTAGTGATCTCGAAACAAGTATGACTGATATTCGCTGTACATGTTGTCCATATGGCTATCATCTCGACACTGATTTTGTTAAATTTCTCGACGATATGTACGGATCTGATGTATTACGAACATTGAAAAAAATTGAACGCAAACGACATGATGTACGAAGTCGTATTATCAATGAACAACAGGTACTAAAATTTCTTCAAGATTAATAGTTAATGAAAAAAAGAAAAGGAAAAAGAAAAACTCGTAGGAAAACAAAAGTGAATAGGGATTTGTTTTTTGTTTTTATTATCCTTGTCCTTGTAATATAAATTCGATAAAGATAGAATAATTTATGGTAAAATAAACACATTTCTTGTCTTTACCTTGTGTCCATCTGTGACCCTTGAGTTTCCTTCTTCTTCTTCTTCTTCTTCTTCTTTTTTTCTTTAACAAAGAAAGTCTATGCAGATGCGTCTATCAGTCATTTCTTCTTGATTTACTATTTATTACACACAAGAAGAAAATCTATTATTAGAGAAGAAGATGCTACTCTATAGTGATTCTTGTACGAGTTATTGTACGACTTCTCCGTCATCTCTATCATCCAATAGTAGTCCATTTTCGAATGATACTAGTCTATGTTTTCCACATAAATATCGATCCAATATTACTCTACTCGATCATAGTCTTGTGAGCGAAGAAATATTTCTATTATTGAAATCTCTATTCTTGTCATTTTAGCCAATTCAATCAATACCTGTTTCATCGTCAGCAAGAAATTCATCATCGTATGATAGTGATATTATTCGTGAAACAATTCTTGAACTCGATCGTATCGTTGAAAAAGATATTAAAGATCTTGAAACTGAATGCCATCGTCATTCTGGTAGTCAACCAAGAATAATCAATTCTGGACATGTTCAGCAACAAAGATCTCGTTCTGTTGATTCTCGTCGTCATGCTCGTCCACCACCGCGACCACCCACATCATCATCATCGATATCATCATCGTCACGTACAGCCGAAGAACGTCGTCTTTTTGAACATCGAATGCAAACGGAAAAGATAATAACAACAAGAACACGTTCAGTACCACGTACAAGTCAACTACAAAGTGAACCGATTAGTTCAATACGACGATTAAATATGAATAATAATGGTCCAATAACAATGCTTTATAAAATTCCACCACCGCCCTTTTCACCATCGAGTAGTTCAAGTTCATTGTCAACAGAAACAACGCTTCGTGTTTCAAGTCCAGAACCAGAAGATCGTCCAGGCGAATCACTGAAGCCATTGTATATAACTGAAGTAATTGTACCAGCAAAACCAGTTGTACACGTATCAGAACCGATAAAAACAACGGTCATAACGATTACAGATAAAGGAGAAATCGAACGTCGTAATCGTGAAATCGAACGGCTTGACTTAGAACGTCGAACTTTATTAAATGAAAAAGAACTTCTATTAAATGAAATCGATCGATATAAAAATCAGACAAGTAAGGAAATGGTTTCTTTTTTTTTAAACTTTTTTATGTTGAAAAATGAAATTTTTTTCTAGTTCCTAAAATTCCTGAACGAAAGATAACATCAATCACAATTCAAACAAATCAAGAACAAGTTCACATGCAACAAAAGCCTTCGACACGTGAAGTCTCTATGCAACACATGGTTGAAGAAGATCAACCACCACCATTACCACCGAAACAACGACAACAACGCGATGTGGCTATTAATCATCGAACCGAATATGATGACGATGAAGAAAAACAAGTTGAAATTGTTCGACGAAAATTAGACGACATACAAAATTTTTATAATGAACGTATACATTTTCTTGAAGATAAAATACTCGAACAAGAAAAAAATATCGAACGTTTAACTGAACCAAAATCTCAACGACACGTTAATACACAATGTCAACCAACAATGCAAGATCGAGCACTTGTTACTGATACATTTCGATCAGGTAAATTTTTTATAAACATATATTTAAAAAAAAAATTTTTTTCTTTATCTCTAGTTCGAGATGTTGCATTGACATGTCATCTTCAACCAACACTACCGGATCCTGTTGCACATCGTGATGTTAATCTTCAATGCGATACAGATGATATCATTCGGAAACGTGACGCATGGATAGAAACATTACCTGATGTGCCTATGAAACGGGATGTTTCAATTGGTGTATCAATTAATATTACACCCGATAAACATTTTCGTGATGTTGGTACGCATGTTAATTTTGATTACAAACCAGAAATATGTCAACGTGATGTAGCGACTATGTTTACACCTGAACCAATCGAAAAAAATGATCGTGCTTCGAATACACAACTTATACAAACAAGAGATTTTGGTGCCTTTGCGAATACTATGTAGGTTATAGGTCCACAGACGTTTTTGTTCCAGACACAAAGGAACGATTTTGATCTATTTAAAGATAACTATTCCATCGGAATGTTTTATTGATTGCCATCAGAATTTTAATTCATCATTATGTAGATAGGAACGCCAGATGCAATCTAATGATAGTCATTAGATCAATTTTAGTAAAATAACAATGAAAAACATTTTCCTAAAATCATCTATAAAAATTTCTAAAATTGTAAAAAAATCTTTTATTTAGTGAACCACCAAAACCTCCACCGAAACCATCAACACGACAAGTCGCTACTGATACGCATAGTTTTATAACACACAAAGATACAGCATGTGGATCAAATGAAGCAACATACAATCGAGATATATCAACGGATACAATATCTCTTTTGTCCTTGAACGATCGTGCAAGTGGAAACGATATACCGCCTGAATTACTTTCACGTCATGTATCAACCGATACTCGTACATTAGCCTCTATTCGAGATAATTTTTCTATGACAACACCATTAACACAAATTCTGCATATCGATGCCCAGACACAATCAATTCCTGCCGTACAACAACATGATGCATCGTCAAACACTTTCGCACAACCCGAACAACGACATACAAGTGTACAAGTAAGGAATAATCTTGCTTGGAAAAGCGAGATAATGATTTTTCGTTGTTTTTCTTAGGCTGTACAAGAACAGTCAACAATTAAAAATCAGACAACATCAATCGAACTCGATATTTTTCATCAACTTGGTCATTTACGTCATAATACATCGAATACAGATTTTAAACGATCAACAGATCGTGCGACAGGAACCGAACGTCAACAATTAAATGATTTAGCGGTGAATACAGAACCAAAAATTATGTATTCGAAAGAAACGGGTGATTATGATGTACGTACAGATGAAAGAGTAACATGTTATTCTTCATATGGCCCACAGCGAACATTCGAATGTGGATTACAGACAGATCTATTCGATACAAAACGTTGTGTTGGTTATCTTGATCAAGAATTAAAATTCGATGACGAAGATATTATTGAAGAACAACGTCAAGAAATAATTACATTTCGTTTACCATTAGAACAACGAACAACAGAAGAAATCTATAAAACAACTATTGTGACAGAAACGAAACAAAATAATCAAATCGAAGAAATCAGTCGTACGAATAAACTTGATAATTTCGATAAAAAAATAGTTAATAGTGAAGCAACAGAATGGATGAGAACATCGACTAATGATGAAACTAAACAACAAGATCAAAGACGACGATCAAAATCACCAGAAGAACTTGTTGAAGAATCCTATGAAGTTGTATCTACAGTTAAAAAACCACGAGACGGCTCGTTTTTAATTACAGCAACTAGTCCGCGATCGACAATAGTGCAAACATGTACGGATGTATCACCGTCATCAAAATTACAATCAAGTGAAGATGACAGTTCTTATTGTGAAGAATGGACAGTAACAGAAGCGAAACGTAAACAAGATGGACAAACAGTAAAAACTATAATCGACAGGTAAAATTTTATTAACAATAGAACCAACGAAAAAAGAAAATTTTTCTGTTTAAATACTTATTTTTCGATTAATTACTTTCAATTTGATATTTCATCGTATAGGATTTAGATAAAAACAAAAATTATGTAAAAAGAAGAGAATTATTAATTTTCCGTTCAATAAAGTTTTCTAAAAAATCTATTCATGAGATTCGTTTATATGCTTTCTTTTAAAATTAGTTTCCATAGGCAATTGCTTGAGCTTTTATGAATAGATAGCTTTGTATTGCTTGTTTATCTAGAGGTGGTCACCATCGGTACAGCATTGATGCTGATAGTGCCTCCTCTGCTTCATTAAATAAGCAACAACATCACTTCGGGTAAGCTTGAGACTTTAAATTAGGCATATGCTTATAATAGTATTATAAATCTCAGCGTTGGAACACAAATTCATCAACATGAAGAAACAACTCGATTATCTCCATCGACTATACATAAAACGACAACATATGAATCTCGACGTATACTGGGTTCCGGTGCCCCGCCCATTGGTTTACGTACATTTATATCAGCTATTAGTCCACGTTCAAGTCGAGACATGACAAATAGTGAACCGAGTATTGAAGAAAACTATGAAGTTACACTATCGTCTACCTATGATGAATCGGGTTTAAGAGTTTTTTCATCGAAACCATTAGCAATATCATCGGAAACAGACGAAGAGTATGATAAACAGATTTATTTACATATATATATATATATATATATATATTAAAATAGATTTCAAATTGATGAAGAACTTTATATTGCTTGTGCAATTGTTAATGAATCTTTATATGATATTAATGCTGATAAGAAGAAAGTGGTACAGTTATTTCGCAGGAATTTAGATGTTTGACTTTGAATTTTATTTCATAGAATAATTGTCTTCAATTAATTCAACAAGAATGGTTTCGTATATCGAGTCAAAAAGAAGTTAATTTTCGTTTAATTGAAAAATTTTTGAACAGTATCAAAGAAAATTTTTCAACACTCTTATTCGAACGTATTATTAATTTACAAGATGCAAAAGTAAGAGTAAATTTAAAAAAAAAATGCAGACAAAATAAAGAAATTTATATTTAGGGAAATACAGCTCTTCATTATTGTGTTACGAACGGTCATTGGCATGTCATTAAAATGCTATTAGATACGAAAGTTTGTGATGTTTGTTTACAAAATAAAGCGGGATATACAGGTAAATATTTTTGTTTATTTTCATAACGGATGATTGTATGTATCTAAATAAAGCTGTAATGATGGCTGCCGTGATTGATATTACTAATGATGATCAAAAACAAATCGTTCGTCGTTTATTTCATGAATCTGGAAATGTGAATGTTAAAACAACAGATGTATACATTCGTTTTTATTGATTCGAGAAAAACAACAACAACTTCTTTTTATTTAGAGTAATCAAACAGCTTTGATGCTTGCTGTTAAACATGGAAAAGCTGATTTAGTTGAGTTATTATTGAATAACGGCGCAGCAGTTAATTTGCAAGATTCTGAAGGATCAACAGCATTAATATATGCTGTTGAGCATGGATCATTGAATATTGTTAAATTACTTTTGGCAAGACCAGAATGTGATGTTGATATTGTTGATAATGTAATAGACAAATTAGTTTTTCAACCTTGAATCTATTAAAAATCTTCTGCTTTAGAATGGACAAACAGCCATTAGTATTGCTACGAATAAAAACCGAAAAAATATACTTGTTGAACTTTATGCAAAAATTAACGAACTAAAAGGACCTTATTCGGTAAGTGTTTTATTATTCTATAAATAGCTCGATATTTTTCTTACAAAAAAAATATTTGTTTGAGTTTTGTTGTGCATCATAGGCGACCACTGATAAGCAGTAAAATTTCCAGCATTGGATAATTTAAGATTAATATTTTGCTACTGAAAACAAATAACTATTAGTTTATTGCTTAAATAACTGTGAAATCCTTACATCTGTACGGATGAGCAAAATGCAATTACTGAAAATGTTTTCAGTTTTCTAAGTCAACAAATATCAAATAAAAATATCTAAATTATCTAATATATTGACATAAGTTTTCTCTCGACTGTATTTATCTTTATTCTATATTTATGTGTCGCAAATTTATAGGCATTTAGCAATCAGTCTCGTGTTGCAAATAGATCATCAACAAGTGAAAGGTAACATAAAATTAGCCAGTAGATATTGTACTAGTTAATAAAACAACATTAACATAGTTCTATTTAAAACAAAATTCGTTTTCTAACATAAAATGATTAACCAAAGAGTTTTATTAACATTAGTTCATTTGAAGATGTGAAGAAATTAAACAATGAATTTCAATCGTCGATTAAATTTATTGTGTTTATTGTATTCATAAGCACTTCTGCTTATTTTTTATTTTTGTTTAATTAATTAGAAGAAGGTTGGCCTTTTTTCCCCTTTTATCAATAGATTTTCTTCTTGCTTGAAGTTGATTTAGATAATAATTTTGGCATGAATTTTGTTTTCTATACAAAATATTTTTATTTTAACAAAAAGAGTAAAATAAATTTTTTTTTCTCTTTAGATCTACAGCGACGAGTCCCAACCGAACAGCGATAGCAAAAACGATGTCTTCTTCATTCCAAGGAAGCGGTTCTGATGATATAACTCCAACAGTATCAACACTTCGAAGTTACTATTCTAATAAATAGACCAATTTCGTTTGCTCATCTTTCGCCTAGTCTTGCCTCTTTTTATACTACACTTGTTGTCCAATGATTGATCTGAAAGTATATAACACTAAAACAAATTATTTCATTATATGAAACAAGATGTGCTTGCGCGTTTCATTTTTTGCTTTTCTTTTTTGTATGTGTGTGTATAACAGAAAGCGGGCATTTATATGTATATCAATAGATCGAAGAAATGGATATATGACAAACAAAAAATTGAATCGATATGATTTGATCACAATTGTGTTTGGGAAAAGTCTTGGATTTTCTTTTGTTAGAAGGAGAAAAATAGTACGCTAAAGCTAGCAGAGCCATTTGATTGCAGATGTTCATTGAAGACTATAAAAACATTTCGTCTCTGTCCCAAGCTTTAAAAAAGTTTTTCTTTCTGTATATCACTTGGAGACAAATAAAAGAAGTTAGTTATGCATATGTTAGCGTCCAAACTGATATTACGTCCAATGTCGGATTGAGCGGAAATTTAACATTAAAACGTGAACTAGTTTGTACATCGGTGTAGGACTCGATTTTCTACTTATGCACTTCGATGAAGTATCATCATATCAGGCAACGTAATCATCAATAACTGAATAAATTAAAAGCTCGATGAGTTATGGACACTATTCAATCTTGAAAGTGAGAGGGTATGGGCTACCCTGATCATAATTCATCAATAAGAATTGGAACTGTATACCAATGTACAGACTAATTCACGTTTTAATGTTAAATTTCCGCTCAATCCAACATTGGACGCGTCGAATCTCGGATTCGAGATTCACCTAGGCCAATCTGAGATTGGACTTGATCTCAGTTTGGATGCTAACATATATCTAAGTTAGAAGATATATATATATTTGCTTGTTTTTCTGATTAGAAGCACTAGTTTGATCATATGTCAAGCTCTGATAAGGGCGAGTGTGTGGCGATTTTAGATAGAAGATATGCCTGTGCTGATGGTATTACACTTTATTTAACTCTTCAAATCATAAATCGCATCGATTCCATATAAAGCACACGCGTAAATACTCAACCATTTGAGAGAACGAAGAAGAAGGATAGATAAAGGCAATAGGTGTGATGAGAATAAATGGCACCACAAGACCAAATATTATGTATAGGTTACACTTGAACGAGAGCATTACACCCCCGGATGGAATTTGGACGCTCTCCGCAGATAATGTTACAGAGTGTTAATCTAAATGAAGCGAAGACGCAGATTCCTATATAAGAATTTAGAGCAAACCTCATTAGTATTCTCTCTGCTATTAATTTGAAAATCTTGGGTTAAACCTAGAATGAATACTGGTTACGTCCGGAATTGTTTGTTTTTAGAAAAAAAATCTCCGAATAGAAATTTGAAAATGTCTGTTCAATCATAATGAAATTTCGAAATAGGATACTAAAGAAAACTTGATAAATTCTTTCAAAATTTTTCAACGAATGAAGACTGTTGACATCAGGCATAGTTTCAATATATTTCAAATCAAAACACTTCATGATAGACTACATATGAATTAAGGAAAAAGAACAACACTTATTTCACATATTATGTTTATTGTTGTTCTGAAATAATATAAGTCTATGTTGAATGCCTTTTCGTAAGAAGGGTGTTTTAGATTATTTTCGTTCGTCGTAATAAAAACGTTGTGACTTTTGCATGGAGATGCTGTTTATTGCTTCTCGATAGGATCATAACTAGAATCTTTGCCTTCAGTAACGTGAAATTTGAAATCAATTTTTATTTTCACCAGCGCACCAGTAGTGTCATCTCTACATTACTAACCAATTTTGATGAATATTCTCCACGAAAAAGTGTATATCATCGATTTATTTGTTTTTTTGCTAACAGAAAAAATCTAATATTTATCTTGATTTTATAAATATAAAGGTTATATTTATATTTATATTTATTCATTAAAATAAAGTTTAATAAAGACAAATTAACATCCGCAGCGATCGTAAATGTTTTAGGTATCATGATTACAGTTCTATTCCGATGATACGCAACAGCGCCGACTAATATGATTTTTAAGCATAGCGCTAATTAAAATCTATCTTTAATGAAAACTTTTTATGACTATAGTCATTCTGTTTTTATTTCCTATTTCTATCAAGAACTTCATTATTTCGTCTCAGTGAAGTTAAATTCCGTAAACAACTGACGGTCGAATGATGCATTAACGCACAGTTGTAAAATTAAGCACACAAACAAAATCATAAACATCAATCGGTCTTCAAGCCAGAAAGAAAAAAATGGTCTGCCGACAGTGACATTTCTGGGGAGAGGCAGAGGCCGTGACAGTCTTCTAGTTAAAGCTTGACTTGACTTGACGTTGTTTTCTAGCGATTTTCCCTGGATATTTTACATTTTTGTTTCATCCACCGCCACCTTCGGAAATTTGTAGATTCGCCACTAACTGCCAGAGAAGCTCTATATCACACTAGCAACTCTATGTCGGTCACCAAATCTGACTTCCTTTCTAGACTGTTTCAAGAGGTTCCAAGCTATTTTTTGTGGCATCCAAGAGCATGCATAGGTGTTGCAATAATGCAAACTTAGCTCCAAACGAATTCATAGTTTAGAAATATCGCATCTCTCCTAAACAAACTCGTAGGGCTTAGTGATTAGTTCAACTTTTGTAGCTAAACGAAAGTAGAAGATTAGTATGAATTTTCAAGCGCTTATCAATTTACATCTTTTATCTCATCTAACACTTTGATGAAACTTACAATAAGAAAACTTCTTTTTGTTTTCAATCTAAAGAAACATTATTTTATCCATCATTGTTGAAGAAAAAAAGAATGTAATCCATTCTAATAATTAAGAGAAATTCGAGGGGGAAACATCGTACTTTTGTTTTTTTAACAATTTTGATGTACTTTGAAGTATTTCAAAGTAGAAAAGTACGATATTTCTCCCTTGGAAAGATTTCGAAACAGTCCTGAAAGTAATTTTTCTGATAGTGTAATGACCGAGAGAAAATATTTTGACTCGGATCAAACAAAAGAAAACATCATATATACAATAAACTTTTAATTTTAATCTATGCAAAATGACAACTGAAAAAAAGAAACTACTTATAATGAATTAGTATGACAACAATGCAGAAATAATTTTGTCGATATGTTTGCAAAGTGAATGAATAACATTGATATCCATTGTGAAGCAAGCATTTCAGTATAAATTCATTCATTGGTACAAGTAACAGTTGTATAATTCATGACAAAATTAACAATTGTAATGTACATGGACCAAACAATCGCATGTAATGGTAAACCAGGAGCAGTAATTCCACACAACATTATTGCAATAAGATGCGTACTACAAAGAGAAACTTGTTCACCGAGGATGAATCCGACACCTACGAATGTTTTTGTTATTATCTACCATCCTAAATGCGTGACGGGTAAAATAAAGAGATTGTAGAAAGTGAAATCACCAAGACCGAGACATCCTTTACAATTACTATGGTTTTCCTCGTCGTTTTCTTCAACGTCATATGCGAAGTAAGAGTCAGCTGGTAGCACTACTTTCGGCCAATAGAGCTTCGACGCCTTTCGGATTTGTCCATTTATGTGAAAACATGCAAAATTACAAAACAAGATAAGCATTATGTCAAAAACAAATGACCATAAAATTCATTTTTTTTTATTTCACCTAATTTCTAATAGTTATATTATAAAGTTACTTTCTATTTCACGTGCACGTCATATAATGACAATAGCCAGAGATACCCGATTTTGAATTGCAATGGCATATAACGAAAGAAAATGTCATAACTGAAAAATGCTGTAATAGACGTGAATACACAACACGCTGCTTGCTGAAGAATTAAAAGAGACCATGAAAGCTGACGAAATTCCCATTTACACATAGGATACATAAATTGCCAAGCAATAAGATAGATTGTGAGTATATCTAATCGAAAACAGCAATTATGATTATTACATCTATGCCATGCAGTGCACACCACTCAACTTTTTCTCACCCATTAAGCTATTGGGATAGTCTCCTTCTTCGGTTAATCAATTTAGACAAAATAAATTTCTGAAATTATCCGTCTACAGTCAAACTTGACGTGAAGAGTTTCCTATAAAACTTCTATGATAATTTATTCAATAGATATTTTCAGAATACTGTATGAAGAATTAAATTGACCTACAATTTTTATTTGATTCTATATTTCTAAAAATATCTATATTTGAATTAATTTAAAACTTGAAATGATTTCCAAATGATAGTAAATGTTAATTAATAAGCCGCGACCTATATTAAAACTAGATGGTATTCGAGTTTTACTCGACTACGAAATGCGATGCGAAGCACACGAGCCGAATTTTCGAAAGTAGCGAGAACAAGGTTTAAAAAATAAATGATCCACTTTAAGATCCATTAGAATCGTTTTTTTTTTATTTCCGTATACGAATTTTGAATAAAAATTTCGCATTCACTATTCTTAAATCGACGATTTTGAAATTCCTCACTAGGAGATTCAAAAACGTCATTTTGGGAGGATATTTCTGAGCAAACAAAACATTGTATTAAAATTTTGAAAACGAATATCACAAGTTCAATACTCATATTTTCATCTCTAGTTCGAGTAACTTTTCTATGATTTTTGATTCTCGAGATCATCGTGCAACAAAATGACTATTTTGATGCGTACGCGTCAAGTAAAAAAGAAAACTAGATGGTATTCCAGTTTCACTCGTATACGAAATGCGATGCGAAGCAAGAATCCGCATCTCCTAGGAAAAATCTTCAATTGATAAATTTTTAAATATTTTTATATAGCCATACTGCAATTCATCACTAAGAAAACTCTATTCTTACAGATCGATTTCGATTGATGGATTAATTATCTCCATGATTCATTTTCTGATATCAGCTGTAAATGAATAGACTATAGTGGCTAACATATGTTCATGTCGTCACTTGAATTATCTCGCAACAAATTTCTTTCATTTTCGTCATTTTGGAACCATATTTGTGAGTGAACAGAATATCAGATTAAAGAATAGAAAAAATCTGTCCGAAGTTCGATGTCGATACTTTCATCTCCCGTTTCAATGAGTTTTCTATGATTTTCAGTACTCGAGATTGTCGCGTCACAAAATGATGAAAAAGATGTTTACGTCGAGAAAGCAAAAGCAAAAGAAAACACGCGACGGACTATATAGATGCTTCAGCTTTGCGTTACATTGAAAACTCGCGACGGACTACATGAATGCTGTGCTTCACACCGCATTAAATAGTTTAACGATGATAGATTTAGTTACAAATTTTCTTTCTTTATTCATTTCGAAAATCGTTCTCGATCAATCATTGTTGCCATGTACTACGAACTTATTCTAATATGTAATTTGTCTTTGAATTCACAATAAAATCGACTCCATTGGGATTAAGCAAAACAATAACAAAAAAAGATATATATTCGAGCAGAGATCATCAATTATTCATAATGTTAATTAATAATGTATAAAAAATGTTTCTGAAAGATAAAAAATTCTATATTCTATGTCGGATTAATTATTTTCACTCGATCACCAGGTGCAAATAAATTAATATGCAATTGCCAAGGGAATGGACAGCCTTCACGAGTATCAATTATTATTTGATAAATTTTTTTAGTTCGATAATTAAACATCGAGATAACACCTAATTGACAATTAAGTGTTAATTCAATTGTATCGTTTGTACATATATCCGAATCATAGCCACCGTAGCCTTCGACACATGATGGTAGGCCTTTTAAAAATACTTGTTTTTCTCCTGCCCAACCATAAGCTGTCGATGATTCAAATGATTTTTCTTGCATCGGGCTTGTTGACCATATAATGCCAATAAATGTACTATATTTCTCGATAGAATCATGTTTTAATGTTAATATTATTCGATTAATACCCGTTGAATAAACATTCATACCTCGACATTCAGCATGCCGATAACTGCTAGCATGTATCGCAAGAGAACTTTTTTCATGAAGTAGAATATGTCCAAATGTTTTATTAAATTTCTCGTGTCGACTTATACCGTCAACTAAGTCTCGATGAAAATTTAATTGGTAACATAATGAACAAAATCTTTGTCGATCGAATTCATTACGTGGCAATTCGAATACTTTACGTTTTGGTGACCATTCACGTAATTGATTAAGTAAATGCTGAAATAAATTTGGATCGAGATCAAAAAATAAACGTCCATCATTGTCACGTGTCATTTTTTCTGACCAGGAATCGGTACAAGCTAGAGCAAGAACTGTATTTGGAATGCATGTTAATGTTGATTGTTTTGTTGACAAATTCACACCGCCGATGTTAAGTAAAATTATTGGATCATCTTCAGTCGATATACAAAATGGAGACATGAGTTTAGTTTCAAATTTTGATGGCGAAGAAACCAAACTATGGCTAGATCCAACCACATCTTTATTATTGGTTGTCTCCTGTATTTTTTGTGCTGGACTGCTAGACATTATTTCACATTTGTTTTGCATTTTGTTGTTTGTTTAAGTAAAACGAATTTTAAAGAAGAAAAAAAAAGATTAAACAAACAGAATTTTTATGATTGAAAATTTAAAAATTTGTTTGAGAAGAAATTTTTTCCACATGTATTCTGTGCCTAAAAGAAAATTTTTTTTCAATATAGTAGTGCAGTCAGAAGATCATGAATGATAGCGAAATCCCTTAGGACTTTAATAATAGACATCCATGAAATGTAGGAGCTACACTCGTAATTATTACGTTTTTTCTCCCCCTGGAGTGATAAGTATGCATCCGGTCGTCTACCGCATAATATAAATGTACAATTATTATTTGATATATATGTAAGTATCAATTAGACGAAGAAAATAAATTAGCGAGTACTTTCATTGTATAAAATTTAATAGAATATAAGACATATTTTAAATAGGTGGAGGGGGCGTAGAATGATATATAACCTTTAGACTATACTCAGAGTTTAAAAAAAGAATCGTCTATCAGTACAAACAAACATAAATTAGTATTCGATATTTGAACGTTTCTGTTGTAACACGCGGTTTCTTGTTCGTATTATTATATAAAACTCCTAGATCGTAACAATAATCATCGATATTTTAATGCAAACTGTCCAGTCGTAATAAACATGCCATTTTCCAAAAATACCACTTCATCATATTTCATCATAACAATGCAATGAAGAAATCTAGGACAGATAAGCCTTTTTTAAAGATGTTATTCCCAACTGGCAACGAGTAGCGCTGCTGATATAATATATACACTATTTCATCATAACCTTGGATTTTTATAAACAATTAGGGCAACTTTTATACTAGCAAAAGAACAGTGGGTATTCAACAGAAGAAAAAAAACGTGAATCGCTAAAAATATATATATACATGTTAGTTCTCTTATTATACACAAATATTTCCAGGGAAATTAGATGCATTTATTTATCGATCTAAATAAAGTAGTATTGACATACATAAGATACTTTAAAAAAAATCACTAACTCCAAGTCCATTTGTCAGCTGTATTGTTCATAAATGAAACGAAAAATATAATCGGAATAAAAACTTTTTCTTTCTCGTAATTATAAAATAATGAAACTAAAACTAAAACTAATGCTTTTGCCTAAAAGAATGCAACTGCATCGCTATGGTTTGTTTATCAAAATAGACGAAAGAATGTTTTTAAGAACTAATTTCCTCGTTATATATTTGTTTGGTCTGACATGCATGATTTCCCCAAAGAAACAATCGTTTTGATAATATTTCTATTTATATAAGTAACTAAATTTCCCTATTAATCATTCCCACCAGACTTTGAATCCTATAGTTTATTTTCTTAGTCTAACTGGATTCTGGAACACAGACGATGACTGGCAGCAACACAATCTATTAACATGTCTATGTAAACAGATTACAATAAGAGAAAAGTCTGTTGTTCCTGAAGATTAATGGCCTACAAAATAGAGTTTATTATCATTTGTCATATCAAGAATTTAAGTACGAGTATGTAATTATAATCTTAAAAAGCAAATGATAATTGAATTGAAATAGACGTTTCATTGGTAAATTTAATTGTCAATAAAGCGTTAGATTCTCTCTAGTTCTGTTTTTTTAATCTTATCTCAAATGGTACAGTCATCTTGATCTCCGATAGTTTCGAGTGCACGGGTAGAGCAACTCATAATTTACAACGAGACATTGATTGCTACAATCGCTCATATGTTAGCTGAATCAAATAGGAAAATATTGAATTTAGAGATTTTTCAGTTATTAATTGAATCATCGTTCTAAATATATCTCTGCATGTAATATGTATATAGAGAGATCGATTATTATTGTTAATATAGAAATCAATACTAGACATGAAAGTAAACGAAAACAAGAAATAAGATCGCAAATCCTTTTTTGATTGGTTCAATAAATATTGTAACAAGCTCGTCGTTCCATATTGATCGATGTCCGATTGAGTGGATTTCTTTATTGATTATGCGAATAGTTTTATTTTCTTTTCTAGTTGTTTGATTGTAACCCTAGATGAAGATCGATACATATATTTACGATATGATTGATGACAGTTCTGTCTTCTATTTGATCACTAAAATCCATTCATTTGACTAGAAAATTCTATAGAACTATGCAAACAAAATTTTTTTTATGTCTTTCGGCCCAAATCAGTACATTACATGTCTGACATTATTAAGATAATTGCTTGTTGAGAAAGCGAAAGGAAATATCAGCAATTGGTCTTTTACAGACATTTGCCTGTTTCATTTGGTGTATGTTTTTGGCGTCAAATAGTCGATATGCATATATGAATCATCTGTATTTATAATGTAAGGTTTGTCTCTTTTTAGCAATACATTTCCCTCAACAACATTAACTCAAAACAGACACGCGACAAAATCAAAAGAGACCTCGACCATACCAGTATTACCTACTTTCGAACGATCTAATTGTGTTTATTTGCCAGCGGCAAAAAAGCATAATCGTACACTTATCATTTCTTCTACGAATCGTCAACAACAAGAGTTCTGGTATACATTAGAATTAAATATTATTGCTCGTATATTAATTCTTAATTAAAAAATCGATCCAATATATAGAATAATGGAGCACTATCAGAGGTATTATATATTCGAATAAATACATATGAATCGAAATTTCATGTGGTTTTATTTTTTTTTCTCGAGTGAATGATGATATTAATGTAAAAATGTGCGTTTGTACACTCGACTAATCAAAAGTGCTAATTTGATTTGATTATGATCAGTGGTTGTCCGACTTTCAGTTAGAGATTTATTTTTTTCATTAGAATCGTAATTTAGGATTTGCGTATTTTATATTCTCGTTCATTTTTTTTCTTCCTTTCTATTTGCTACAAGTGAAAACATCATTTCTGGATTCTCGTTTCCAATGATACTCTATCAATTGAATTATCAATACGAAGAGCTCGGCATGATAATATATATATATATAGAGAGAGAAATAAGATTTGATATTCTTCAGTTTCAATAAATATATATATAATACTATACATGATTCATGTCGAAAGTAACTCATATTAGAAACTTACATAAACATAATAAGTATGATTATTATTTGTTTTGACATAAAAATAAGAAAATCCTAATCAAAATCTAATAGATTCATATATAATGTTTGCGTTCATGTTTGAATGAATAAAAGTATTTGTCTTTTTCATTCTGATTAGTCTAGTTTACATATATAAGCAACCGTCGATTGGAAAACTTGCCCTCGCCAAATCATATGATTAGCTAGTCATTTTCTCTCTCTCTCTCGCTATATTCGTCATTTTTCAAGTTCCATTAGCGAAACTTGAGAGCGAAGGCTTGTTTGTGTCGTCTTTCTCTCTCTCTCTCTCTCTCTCTCTCTATATATATATATATATATATATAAATTCTTTTTGTTGTTGACTAGATATTGTCTGGGTTTGACAAGGAGCACACATACTATTCTAAATGATGATAGAAAAAAAGATAGTAAGTTCGAATTTCGTCGTAGATTGGCCTTGATTAGGGAATAATATTAGCAAACAAAAAAAAAAAGAAGAAAGAAAAGAAAACAGAAGGTGAAGAAGAAGTAAAGAAAGAAAAAAGGAACAGCGACCAATAGTTACATCTAGTGGTATAGAGTTCCTGTCTAAATTCATATCAAGTATCGTAAACATAGTGTGCTCAAATTAGAAACACCCGCTTATAAACATCTGCTAGATTTGCTCGTCTACTTAGAAAAACTGAGCGGAAGAGAAAAGAAATCGTCATTATCATGATTATAATCCAGTATATCAAAATTACAGAGACCAGCCGAGTATGCAATAGAAATAAAATACGGGGTGAAGCCGGTAAGAATGAGAGGATGAAGAAGGAAAAGAATAAGAAAAGAAACAGTCAGTTTATATGGAGAACAAGAAGTCTATTTCAGTAAATTAATGTTCATCTTTTTTCACTATCAGACGATTGATGTTAGGTCGTCTTCGTATGGCTGCTGCTGATAGATTTGTGCAACGAGAAAGAGAAAAGGAAAGCTAGCTAGATAGATAGCTACATAGAAAGAAAGAAAGAAAGAAAGAAAGCAAGTGAGAGATATTTATTGAATAAGACGTGCTTTTATCCGAGCATGTTTTGATATGTTTTTGTTAAATGACTTTGATCGCTCTTTGCCATCGTAGGCCAGTGAATATTCTCTTCACATCTTATGTCGTATCCGAGTCATCTAACCGTGGCTGCAACAAGTGAGACAAAAACCGATAAAAGCCATACCAATTTCAATCGGCCCGCTGCACCTAGTGACGACTCATCGAATTTGCCTCAGTTGCCATCGTCTCCGAGAACGAATTCAAAATATCTTTATTATGTAAATGCCGAACCAACTCAAAAACAATCAATAACGCCAACTCCATCGCCACTAGTAGTAACACCAACACCATCGCCAACGCTAGCAACACAATCAACATTAACATCACATGGTCGTCGAAAACTAAGTGCTATTTCATTAACTGTCCCTTGGTATAAACGAACTCGTGTACCTAGCGACGAAAAACTTTCACAAAAAACTCATAAAATGTCTCGCGATCGTTTATTACCGCTCGACAAATTATTTAATAGTGACTTGCATAGACCATCCGATGAAGATCAAGCATCGCCATTGAATGATTTAACTGCATTCGATGAAACTGTAAAATCGAATGAAAAAAATATACGAAGCGCAAAAGAAAATGGTTATTTGCATAACTCATCACACTTAATGACCAGGTGAGAAAACATTATGCTCATGAGTTTCCGCTTTCGTGTTTTTTTCTTTGCTGAGGCTAATTAATGTATCCTACTTTGTACACAAGTATGCATAGTTATATAAATATTTAATAAAGACTAGGTTAAATACGCCAAAGTCTATGCAACGCCGAGTATCTGTTGTTGCTTTTTAAGTAGTCTTGGCAACTTCGATAATCTCTATCGTAGAAAAAATTAAGAAAAAAGAAAAAAGAATCTATTTCCTGAAAGGTTATTACTCTTTTTTTCCTGTCTCACACTAAAAGAAAATACTTCCTTATGCTTATTCTTATCTTATCTAACTGACAGGCTGCAATATACAACGAAAGGTACGAAAGCCCTCCGTCTTTTGGGTGATGGTAGCCGTCAAAAGAATCGTGATGCACAACAGGATCAAACATATAATCCAAAAGAATCCGTTCTGTCTAAAATTTCACCACGTGGAACTTCACAACGTCGTCTTCTATTAAAAAATGGCGACGTAAATATATCAAGGTATGTAATTAATTGCTTTTTTTATGTTGTTGATTAGATTCAATCTTTCTTGATTTAGTCCAAGAGAAGGAAACGACTCATTAATCATTTGTTGAAAATATTTTAAAAGGTTTCCTTGAGTGTTTTTTCTTTCAAAATTCATGTTCATTCTTTCATTTTATTGTCAAGTCAATTAATAGGAAAAACTTATATGTAATCCATAGATACGTTCAGTGCACATAAAAAAATGGATTAAAATAGAGATATTAACAAAAATAATAATTTTCTAGAAGCTATTGTTACTTATAGAATATCCGTGAATAATTGATAATGCATGACGTTGCATTATTCATATAAGCAAGCCAAACGTTTTTTTTATTCAAAAAAGAAAAATCTCTAATAAATTCAATTGAAATATTGTATTTCTCAGTGATACAAGCAATTTTTTTCAACAATTGTGAATAAATTCTAGTTACAATATTTGTAAGTATAGAAATATATAAATAGATGAAAATCAAGGAATAATAGTAATAAAAATAATAATCTGCCAAAATACAATGACTGGAAATGATATACTTTGTTGTCTCGTTTGATTCATTGAAGCTGACATGATTTCTATTAAATCGGGAAGTTTGTCTCATTATTTTTCTATAGAGAAAAAAATGGAATTATTTCTATTACTATAAAGGAATATCTGACGGGTTGGTTTGACCTATGCAACGAATAATTTGATTTTTGTAATGAAATTTCGACTAAACAGACTGTCGTATCTAGATAATTAATTATTATTTATTCATTTAAATAGATTCAATATTGAAAAACGCCGTCGACAATATTTAGCTGACATTTTTACGACATTGATCGATTTGAAATGGCGTTATACATTATGTTTGTTTACGCTTGGTTTTTGTCTAAGTTGGTTGGCATTTGCATTAATATGGTATTTATTGATGTATACATATGGAGATTTTCACCCAGATAATTATAACTCAGCGAACTATTCTGTTTGCATCGCTGGTGTACATTCATTTGCTGGTGCAATACTTTTTTCAATTGAAACACAACAAACAATCGGCTATGGTACACGTGTTGTTAAAGAAACTTGTTATCTTGCTATTGTTGTTATGATGGTACAATCGAGTATAGGAGTACTGTTGCAATCGTTTATGGTCGGTGTTGTTTTTGCAAAAATTTCACGACCAAAAAAACGTACCGAAACTTTAATTTGGTCGCGGGAAGCAGTGATCTGCTTACGAGATGGTCAAATGACATTGCAATGTCGTGTTGGTGATATGCGTAAATCGCACATTGTCGAAGCGCATGTTCGCATGTATTTAATAAGAAAACGTGTGACGCTAGAAGGAGAAATTTTGCCCTTACATACACATGATATGAATGTTGGATTTGATAAAGGTGTCGATCGATTATTTTTAATTTGGCCATTAGTTATCGAACATATTATCGATGCGCAATCGCCATTATATACTATGAGTCGAGATGATTTAGTTCAACAACGATTCGAATTAGTTGTTATACTTGAAGGTATTATCGAATCAACAGGTATGACGACACAAGCACGGACATCATATTTACCATCGGAAATTGTATGGGGCTACCGTTTTGAACGTTTAATTACATTTCAGCGTAACGATGGTTTATATCGTATTGATTATTCACGTTTTCATTTAACATATCCTGTCGATATGATAACATGTAGTGCTAAAGAACTAAACGAACTACATGAACTAGAAAAATGGCATGAAAATAATCAAAATAATACTAATACTCATAGTGATAATAACAGTAATATGCGAGAAGATGAACATCAAAATGAACGTAGTAACGATAATGAAAATGGCTTTTTTCAAGAAGATAAAGCGCCACAACAATCACCGTCATTAATCTGGCATGAAAAAAAGGAAAGCACTTTGTGACTATCGCACGATAGACATTATTCATCCGGTGGTTTTTTCAATGTAAATAGCAATGAAAATTTTATTTACTAAAAACAAACATTTTTTTATTTTATTTAGGTGATAACACAATTGTGCATATGAATCAATCTTGGTTGTTCATTTAGAATAGTGAAGTTTAATAAATGGTGGTTATCATGGATTGATAGATAGATAAAGATCTATATACATATACTATTTGCTACTTTTTGTTTCTTATTCTTCTTCTTCGTTTTAATATTTTATTCTGATTACGTATATGCAGATTTGATGGCATATTAATTCTTTTGTAGATTGTATATATATATATGTGTGTGTGTGCGCCTATTTTTATTTTGACATTATTAAAGAAACAAATATGACGACTCAAAAAAAAAAGAAAATTTATGCCAAGGACGACTTCTGTCCTTATGTTTGAAATACGATATGGTGTGAATGTTTAGGCTTATAATAGGATATACCAAGGTTGCAAAAGAAAATTAATCGACTTTTAGTATGATGACGGAGATTGATGAGTAAGACGAAAGAATTGCCTTGGTCAATATATTTAAAAAAAATCCGAATAGGAAATAGTAATTCTTTCATGATCATACACATAACCAGTAAATCGGTGTCTAATTAGCTTTTTTTCTTGATGAGCTTGGAGAATTGAAATTGAAATTTGCTTCCGATGGGGTTTCTTACAATAATCATTTTCTTGTTCTACATACAAAAAATAGAATCAAACAACTTGATTTACCACAAGAAAAAAATTCTGAAGGCTTCATAGGTCTGTTTTAGCATATATATTGAATAAGAATAAATGAATAGGAGCCATTTTGTGTATATTTTCTTATCTAATAGTGATATCAAGATACTACTTTTATTTATCTTTAAAGAAAACAACAAACAAGGAAAACTATTTTGTATACTGATTCAAATAAGCTGATGGATCGTAAGAAGTATCTAATGAAATTTCCATTTTATCTTTTTGTACAGCCGATCGACGCAGTAAACGTGTTTTTTGTTCTTTTTCGGATAGACTTGCAATATCAACTGGTAACTAAAAAAAACGAAGTTCTTTTGGTGTTTTTTAATTAATTAATTAATCTTACTTTAACGAGATGTCTCGGTTCCGTATATCTTATACGAATCGTTGATCCATCAGGTAGAACAAGATAATTAAAATAAAGTCGAGAATAAATATCTCGGGAAAATCTTGTTATTGAACTACGATAACAATTTGATCGTTGACTAATAATTAATGGAAAAATGCTTTTTAATAGCATATTTTATCTAAAATTATTTTTTTTATATATTAAGATCGAACAGTGAAATACTGTGTTTTGAGTTCAGCGATATATATATATATATATATATTTGTTTCGCAGATTAATGGGAGTTGTAGATCATATTGCTTGATGAGAAAATGTTAATTTAATAAGTCAAGATTAGAAATACCCTATTGAATACGAATATTAAATAAAGACAAAGACCTCTTCAAGATTAGAATCAAGCGAGGCAATCAAAAACGATGGGAACGATAACTAGAAATATGATTAACCCTATGCAACCAAAAAACATCAATAATAATGATGAAAATTGAGCTAGGGAACTAATCCAATCTACATAAAAGTCTAGAGATTATAACGCTGAGAAAATTGCATTAACGAAAATGAAACTATCTAATTGAGACAAAAAAGAAGAAAAAAGACGATAGAAATCGATATTACTATAAATGTACCATTTAATACAAATTGAAACTCTAATTATCAGAATAATTTTCTCTTGTATTCTGATGGCGTTTGCAAAGAAGAAACTAATAAAAAATATTTTGACTATTCTTATGAAAGGATGTATCTGCAAGGATTCAATTTGTTTTTCACTTTATTTATGTCTATCTTTTCATTATATTTTTTTATTATCAAATAAAATGAATCACTGTAGATCGATTTAAAAAAAAAGCCCAGGAAACAATTGCAATCGATTTCATTGCAAAGCTGCAAGTCGTCGATCGAGTTCATCAGATAATGGATTTAATTCTGTGTTAATTTGTGTTTGTAACGATGCAGATTGAACATCAATAAAGAAGTCATACTGTTGATCAAGACCTAAATAGCCATCGGATAATAAATAAAGTGTTAATCGTTGTCGTCCTGTTATATTTGATGTAACAAATGATAATGAAACAGTCGTATGAGAACGTATGATTTGATTAAAACGTTTTATACATATTAATTCACCGGTATCTGAATTACCAAGAACAAATATCCATGATTCATCTTTTGGCTTATTAACTGATGATGTTGTTAATTGACGAAATTCATTTCTCTTCAAATAGAAATAAATAAACAAACAGTCGAGACATGGCCTAATATCTTTTGATTAAAAAACCCACGCTTGCCAGCGCTACTCATCTGAGATTAAAAGATAAAGCAAAACTTTCTTACTTTTGCTTATCATAGGATTATTTCATTATACTACCTTTTTTTTGTTAAGAACATATTTATTTATATAATCCTTCATCAATTTGTGTGACGCAGAGACCGAGGTTAACAAAGTTGCATGTCACTGTTTATAATAGGACCTGTCATAAGTTTTAGAGTAGTGGTTAAAATGTTTATGTTTCAATTTCAGATGAGGGGGGGGGGGGGGGTGGGAGGGTGGCGTATCCCTGTACTGNCCCCCCCCCCCCCCCCCCCCCCCCCCCCCCCCCCCCACCGCCCCCCCCCCCCCCCCCCCCCCCCCCCCCCCCCCCCCCCCCCCCCCCCCCCCCCCGGAGAGGGGGCTAATCCCTGTACTGTAGTTATTCACTTACGCGTATTCGATTAATTCTTTTCAAAGCTATTTGTAATGTATATTCTTGATCAGCATGGACATTGGCTGGTAGCTGTCGAGTTTCTACACGTGTTGACCAAAAGCCACGTATATTAAAAGTTAATTCTATTTGTGGTAAACGCATTAAATGCTCATAGATATCATCGATTTGTGCTGTTGTTAAATGAGTTTGAATCATATTATTCAGCGTTTCACGTTTAATATCAGTTAATTGGCATAGACGAGACGAAAATATACGAGCAAATGATCGATCAGTGATATGTGGTAAAGTTAAAACATCCGGATCGGTTATCCATCGTGCTTGAGTTATCATTTGTAGAAAATGTATGCAAAGTAAACATGGACTTAGAAGTGCTTTATGTGCACATAGATCAATTAACGCTTGAATGACACGAATGATCTGATCGAGGCAAGATTTTAAATCAGTTACATAATCGACACGAGGAAATTCCAATCGACTTAAATGAAATTGTATTAATAAATTTGTTTTCAAATGTGGAGAATCCAATTGAGGTGGACTTTGAAATGGTATTCGTACACGATCAACCATTGTCTTGTGTAATTCATCTTCATTATGGCGAACCTGTTTTCAATAGAAAAATGAGAATGATTTTCATTTCTAGGTCATACGCAGAAAAAAGATCATATCGATTGTCATAAATCCTCTAGTGTGAAAGTTTCCAGAAGATTCACTACTTTTATATACTTTGGATTATGAATGTATAATTATCCGGCGAGCGACGAATAATATTGGCCTATACGAAACTCTTCTTTTACAAGTTCTAGGGCCTTTGATTTTGTTGTTTTTCCCTTTTAATGAAATCATGTGTATCTATAAATGTTTACGTTCAAGAAGTCATGACAATGCGCAAACTGGAGATTTAATCTTTAGAGATACTTGAGATCCGAGAACATGATTCTATCAATGATTTACGACGAGAAAAATAAGGAAATGATATGCAATTAATTATTTCATTTGTCTCGTAATAAAAATTTTACCGGCATTTCAGCATATTCATGTGCAGAAGAAATTATGTCAATAAGGTCTGCTATGTTTGTATTTGATGTAACACGTTGAGCAAACATATTTATGGTTTTGTATGATATATAATAATGTGATGCTATACGTCCGTGAACAGTCGCTTGTAATGTACGTTGATCATCTTCACTGATCAATACGCACGTTGAACGAATTAATTCATCCAGTGAACGTTGTACAATTGTTGATAAATATGTATTGAGTGTCACTTGTTCATTCGCATCGCTTGCTAGCGGTTCCATCTGATAATAACTTGGATTAACAAGTAAACGACGGAAGAAATAGGTCCAAGTTAAATAATCAAGTGCTTCTTGCTTTGTTGAAATTGTACCACTTACAATTTCTGCATTTAAATGATCAGATAGGACATTCAATAAGCTGGATTCAACTAAAAGTGTATAGATGAACTATATAATTTTCGCGATATGATAAATTCGACAATTTACCTGGAAATGGTTCATAGAGAAATTTTTTGTAAAAGTTCTTTTTTACGTCATGAACCATAATAACTGCTTTGCCTGAGTCGTCGAATTGAGGTCGACCAGCACGGCCCATCATTTGTAATACATCCGTTATGGGAAAATCAACATAACGATGAGTTTTTCCATCGTAATATTCAGTACCTTAGAAAAACAATTGTATAATTTCGATGCATGAAATTTAGGGTTGGCATTCAAGAAGAAATTTCAAGTTTTTGTGAAAGATTTGGACTCATTTTTATCACGCTAATTCCACGTACTCGTCATATCGTAAAAGCTATCATCTCATACATCTATTTTAAATGTGCGAAGGTACACAAGAATCCTGCATGAAGCAGAAAATGTTTTCTTCTTCGTCCTCGTCATTTCAATACTCATAGATTTTAGTCGCAATTTCTATACGAGACAATTACCTTTAATAATAACAAGATGTGCTGGAAAGTTAACACCCCATGCTAATGTTGACTATAAGAAACAAAGTAAAAGTAGAAAATAAAAATATTTCTTATTGTTTCTTACTGTTGCAACTAATATTTGAATTTTTCGATTAACAAATAATTTTTCGACAATATCTCGATCACGATCTTTTAAACCAGCATGATGAATGCCGACACCAAATGCTAATGTCATTCGAAGACTTTTATCTTGTATCTGTACTAAAATATTCTCCATTTCAACTTCGGACGAATGTAACCATTGTTTAGGATGATCGTCATTGAGTAAATATTTTGTTAATTCTTCTGCTGTTAAACGTGTTTGTCGTCGACTGCTAACAAATATTAGCACAGGTTTATCCGGTGAATGCGTACGTATAGCCTGATAAGCAGGTTTATTCATTGACATACAACGTGGACAATAATGTTTGCCTGGATAACCTTGAATATGTGCTTCTAATGGTACCGGTCGAACACTAGGTCGAAAATTATATAATCCTATTGAACCTGTTATACCTAACCAATCGGCTAGGTCTCGTGCATTTGCAACAGCTGTTGATAGACCAACAATACGGAGTGGTAGATCAGTATGTGAAGCAATAAAATTTGCTCGCGAGACAATAACTTCAAGTACTGGACCACGATCTTCACCTAACATATGAATTTCATCAATAATCAATAAAGCAACTTGTTTAACGTAGGAACGTGTTTGCCACGAACGACTCATACCATCCCATTTTTCAGGTGTCGTAACAATAACATCAGCTAATTGGATAGCACGTGTATCAGGTGTAAAATCACCGGTTAATTCAACAACTTTTTTACCAAGATTTTGTTCAAGACGTATTTTCCAATCGTGTATACGTTCGCGGACAAGTGCTTTTAATGGTGCGATATAGACACATTTCATGTCAGGATATTTATTAAAAACACGCAACATTGCGATTTCAGCTGCCACTGTTTTACCTGAACCTGTAGGTGAACCGAGTAATGTATTATTATTTGTATGATATAAACAATGAAATAATTGTGTTTGAATTGGATTAAAATGTTTAAATTCAAATAAAGCTTCATATGCAGGATTACCTAATGCAGTGATTGGTAATGGTTCCAAATCCAATAGTTCTGAAAAATAAAGAAACGAAATCTTCCATGAATCAATCACTTTTTTTTGGGGGGGGGGGCAAGCTCCCGGAGACTGGTTTTGCACATCTCTACTCATGTGTCTAGACAAATTTCTAAGACAAAAATTAGTTTTCTATTGTTATTTATGAAAACTACGAAATTGATTTTAAAATTCTTCTATGTATAATTTAAACATTCGATTTGTTCTTCTTCTAACAATTACCTGTATGTGGCATATGACGTTCGGGTAGAATGAGATTATGAAATGACATAATCGTTGATGTGTCTGAACCAAGCCATCGATCACTAATAGCTCGTACATAATATTGATTAGCTAATGGTTCAATTACCGGGATAGTAAAAATAATTGTTTGTGGTTCTTCAAGTTTAACTTGTTTTTTTGTAATTATAAAATATTCGGAATGATATATATTATCTGTATCAGGATCTTCAATCCATATCCAAAATTGTTGACTATTTGTACCATGAATTTTATCCGACCACTTAAAAGCTGCTGTTATAGTCAATTTTATGCGTAGAACAGTTCGAGTTATCGGTTGTATTTGAGTATCAATTTTTAATACAGGTATATAAGATGCATATGCTTTTATTTCTTTGCCTAAACGTGTGTTATGTATCATAATGCCAATCTCTTTTGCATCCATTTCTAATAGTCGTTCTGGTGTCATTTGTTTTTCATCTAACTTTTGAAGAATTTCAACATTGATATATTGAGAAAATTGCCATAGAGGATTTATAGTATCCCACATGCGTTGCTCAACCATTTTAGCTAAACGAAGTGACCGCGATGATAGTGTCGCCCATGCACGTTTGAGAACAACTTCAAATAGTGCACGTATTAAACGAACAACATTTTGATTAACATAGGACATATCCGATACTAATGAAAACGAATGTAATTGCGCACGAGATATATACGCTTGGATGAGAATGTTTGTTTTTCCATGAACATTCTCGACACCACCTTTAACCGGTACCCGACATTGACTATTATATAATAAATCAAGTTCATCTAATTCATCATCACGAATTTTAAGTTGAGAAAATTCATCAGCTAATGATGCAAGTTCAATCAGTTCGGCTTCACTCATGTAACGATTTGATAAACGTTCATTTATTGTTTCAATTGTTACATAATTAATATAATAGTGAGAACTAAATGATAAAATAGTATCATATATATATATATATATATATAATAAACTCCTTTCAGTAATTATTCTTTAATGTAGGGATATAGACTTTACACACACATAAATACTTCAAATTCCGACTATTTTACATAAATAGATAGAATGTAAATTCTGTAATAAACCTATTTCTATTAGATTGTTGTCTATTATGCAGGGAGAAATTTTACACTTACGCTGTTCGGCCAAGATCTGTAGCAAATAAATATCCAGTTTTTTCTTCAAAACGGACCATATGTGCTTTATCAAGTTCTTGTGCTGCTTTAGCAATTATGTCTCGTTGAAAACTATGTAGCATTGGATCAGCTGCATACATACTTGCATTAATACCATATGTTATTGGTGATGCATGCATACGAACATGTAAATAAGTATAACGAAGCCACGAACATGCTTCAGCTACTGTTGCTACTGTACCAAGGACAACCTCGGCATTAAGATTGTCTGTTAAATGGCTAATAAATTGAGATTCAATTGGATTTTGTCGTGTTAATAAAGATAAATAATGTTGAAGTTTCTCATATGTTGTTAAAATAATGCCATGACCATTGGTATCGAATTGTGGACGACCAGCACGACCAAATATTTGCAGTACATCAAGAATACTCAAATCAACAAATGAGCCACGCTTACTATCGTATAATTCAGTACCTAGTCAATCAAAAGATAACCTCAAATTTCACCTAAAAAAGCAACAACAAGATCTAACCTTTTATAATAACAGCATGCGCTGGTAAATTGACACCCCAAGCAAGAGTTGCCGTACAAACAAGTACTTTAATAAAACCTTTCGAGAAATATTTTTCAACTAAATTTCGATCTTGTCTTAACATTCCGGCATGATGAATACCAATACCATTTGGAAATAGATCTCGTAATTGAACATTCTTTGAATGAGATACATGCCGGCATGCTTCTTGATATTGTCTGGATTCGTGTTGACCGTCGTCATCTTTTTCTTTGTAGAGAAAATATTCAAGATCACCACGATTACGTGCATATTCAACTAATTGAAGTCCTGTACGGACTGTTGCATTACGAGCATGAACAAAAACAAGAACCTTGAAAAAAACAGAGAAAAAATAATTTTTAGTATTTTGTTACTTATTATTAACGATAAGGCCGTCAAACAAAACACAAATGCTGTGTTCTTTCGTAGGATGTAAGAGCTTATGATAACAAACCTGTTGTCGTCCAACTTTGATTTGTTCTAAGACTTTATCATAGCAGACATCGTCAAGATTTTTGGTCGTAGCCATTTTATTTGCACCTTTAATTCCGATAAACGTTTGTGCTAATGGTACAGGACGAAAACGATGATCGAAAAAGAAGAGACCAGTCATTAAATTAACAAAAAGAAATTTAGCGATATCGATGTAATTGGGTAATGTAGCCGATAGGCCAACAATTCGAATTGACTCTTGTGTTTGTTCAACTTGTCGAAGTGTACGTGCAACAAGTGCTTCAATAACTGGACCACGATCTTCATGTAACAAGTGAATTTCATCAATAATTAATAATTTAACACTTTGCACAAATTTTGTGTCGCCGGTTGATTTTCGTGTGACAACATCCCATTTTTCAGGCGTTGTTATGATCATATGTGTTCGTTCGATTTCAGCTTTAGTTAATTGCATATCACCAGTTAATTCTTTTACTTGAAGACCAAGCGATGAAAGACGTTGAGAAAAATTTTGAACCATTTCCGAAGCAAGAGCTTTCATTGGTGCAACATAGATGATTTTAAAATCTGTATCCAGTAAAACGTTATTTTTAACGTCATAATGACGACGTAGTTCAGAAAGAATTGTTAACATAGCAATATTTGTTTTACCAGCACCAGTTCTATGAAAGAAAAATACAATACATACACCAAGAGTCTTTGGGATCATAATTAGAACACCAGGTAGTACTCAACGAATTATCATGACTTAGTTATAGCTCAGAACAGTCTACCATTTATTTTATTCTGTATGAAATAATTTCTACAGTGTTATTATTTTTTACTACTAACAAACAATCTATTAAGTTCTTCATTAGGATACCTACGGAGCAGAAATAAGAATGTTTTCATTTGAAAACACTGCTGTTTTGTATACGATTGATTGAACTAAATTGAGTGTTTGAATACTATCTTTGAATAGAATTTGTCCAAGTGGTTCCAAATCTTCAAATCGAACAAGTGCCGGACAAACATTTTTTCCTAAATTTGCTAATTTAATCTGTTCACCATGTGGAATATGAACAAGATCATAATTTGTTGATGATTTTCGTTCAATATTTTCCGGTAAGAGAAGATTACGTCCTCCAATGTAGGCTGTTTTCTGTTTAATTTCTTGTAATTGATCAAATACAAATGGCAATTTCGTGGGCGTTCGATTTGACCTTGGTTGAGATAGAGTTGATAATTTCTCATAACGTTTTTCTGTCGCTAAAAGTAATTCTCGTTCACGTTCATATCTTAACATATCTGGATTAGCAAATTCACTTAAAGGATCATCTGGTTGTTGTTGTTGAGATTGCTGTTGTTGTTTTCGGTCTTGTTTTCGTATTAATTTTCCTAAGCGTTTTTCTTGTTCACTTTGTACAACTATTGTAGGACCATGAATTGGTTGTAATTGCCGTTGAATAAGTTCTGGTGCTCGAACGATTTCACGTGGACGAGCTTTAGCACTAGTTAGAATACCATCGATTATCATTTGACGATTTTGTATTAATTCACTGATTAATTCAATATGTTCATAACCAACAATATCACATAGAGAATGTTGAATTTCATCATCTGATGAACTTGAAACAAGAGTTTCGAAAACTAAATTGCAAAATTCTTGTGGACCTAAAATATTTTCACCATCACGAACTTTTAAAACTGTGCGTAACTGATTCTCAAGCCATTTTTTAGTATAAATAGATGCTGCTGCTGCTGTAGGAGCAGCAATCGGTAAAGCTTCAGTCCATGTTTCTTCATTTTTAATATTCTCTTGTTCTTGATAAGCGAAGTCATACGATAAACGATCTAGCCAAGGTAGTGGTTCATTTATTTGTATAGAAACAGGATGAAAGACAGTTGCTTCACCAAATAATTGTTTTGATGGTGTTTTAGAAGAAGTACGAGACGAATATTCTTCATCGAAACTTGGTTTTAGAGAATGAATTAATGAACGTATCAATTCAAATGTGTGTGTTACTAATTGTTGAGTGTAAGTTGGAAATCGTAATTTTAATTCTTTTAAAAGTGAAACTTGTATTTGATTAACATTACGAAATAATTCAAAAAGATAAATACAAACAGAATCAATCTGTGATGAATCTGATTCTGAACCAGCTGAAATTAAAAATAACAAACAAATAAGCATCGTTGAATAAATAAAAAAACTATTTTCCACTGACTGAATTCAATGGCATATTTTCGTAATTGTTTGATCTGTGATTCAATTGTTGAATTTGAGTTATTTTTCAAAAATAACTGTTGAAGTTCTTGCCATGTGATCGATTTTCTTGAATTAGTGTTCAATGATTGCTGACGACGTCGTAGTAATTCATCAGTATCGCCTCGATAATGTAGTCGTTCAGCAATATCAGAATGTGCACGGAGAGAACCAGTTATTCGTGGATATGTTTGATAGTCAATCATTTCTAGAAATGACTTTAAAAGTAAAAGACGATATTAGGCAAGTACACATTACAGCAAGATAATAATCTATTGGCTAAAAAGACCAATCCTATAAGTGGTTGCTATATGGGCAAATGTGATTGATTACGAGTGACATCTGGATATATTTTTCACTGCTGAAAGATATAAGATATTTGTGTAACACTGAATTTACGACACTGATCAAATCGTATTTTCTCCGTTAATAAAGGCCCAGCAATTCGAGCAACGTTATGATGAGATACGCGAGTGCTACACCATCGTTATTGGGTATTGTACGTAGTGGTAGAGCCAGGGTTTTGGCCTAGGGAAGAAGGGGGGGGGGGGGGGGAAAGGCCCCCCCCCCCCCCCCCCCCCCCCCCCCCCCCCCCCCCCCCCCCCCCCCCCCCCCCCCCCCCCCCCCCCCCCCCCCCCCCCCCCCCGCTCAGCCACCTCATCTATATAGTCATAAGACAAATTATTTTTTCATGTATTTGGATTTTTTCATTAATATGAGTTATCAAAATTCTCACTATTATTTTATCTGATAGTGCAGCAAACCAGCCTCATTTCCTCACTCACACTTTCACAAGCTCTCTAATTTTAAGCTTTGGCTTAATCAGGACATTAATTTCTATCAGAAAAATATGAACACCAAATAAATTCACTTATTCAACACAATCTATAACTATACACATGATTTCTATATTTCCTTTTCACTCACCCATAATCCCATCATTAACGTTAACGAAATATACATTGTTAAAAAAAGAATTCAACTATTTATCTACCAAGTTCATGAGAAAGATTCGTAATATTAATTAATACTAGAGCCCATCTGGTTCAAGCATTTTTGGACACGCGCACAGATCGGGACCCGGCTAATCAGGATTTTGAATCTGGATCTTATTGACCAATTTTTTTCGGTATTCCAGAATTGAAAGGTATTCTTAAAACGTTTGAAATGGATTTTTCTAATCAGATAATAAAAGCTTGTATTTTTTCTAAATAAGTTAAAGACTATTTGAATAAAGCGAGCAAAAATTCAAAAAATATTATTATACGGATAAAATTTTTCATATTTTCCACATTTGTCTGCACATTTCAATAATGAAGAAATATTTCTTTTACGTACATGAATAGCTTTTGTATTCAAATATTGTCGAACTCGTTTTTATTTTTTTTTATTTTAATCATATGTTAAACAAATAGACGGGATCATGATTTTCATTCAAGAGATTTTGACGTTATACGTGTATAAAATTAATCTGAACAGCAGACAAAATTTGTAATTACACAATGTACAAAAAGAGACTAGCGAAATGATAGACTTTATATTGGAAAGATTCAGACGTTGTGAAATTTAGTGCACTTCAAGTGACGTTGAGACGAATACAAGTACAAGAATGACCGCAAGAATTAATTTGGAGTATGTCAAAAAAATAATCCATGGAAAAAAATCACTCCGTTGCGCCAATGTCGACTGAGAAACTGTAAAACTATCTATCTGAAAACAAAAAAGGTTATAAATATGAAATTCCGACCAGAGACCGTCACAGGACAACTTTTTTTGCCCTGCCCTGAAACAGGGCAGGGCAGGGCGTGATTATAAATTGACCTGAAATATTGAAAAAGGTAAAGACAAAATGAAAATGTTGTAACCGCTGAAAAGTAAAGTACTCGTATTTTATTTATCTATATTCGAGAAAATATAGATATGCGCTTAAAACATAATTAAATATGAGTAGTAAACAGCAATTAAGATTATCACAAAAATCAGTTCACTGCAAAAATAATGCGCTTATCGTGATCTGGCGAATTGAATATGTATATAATTTGAATAAGTGAGAAATCGAGTAAATCTTTCACATTTATTCTCCTCAACTCATCGTGCTGGATAAATAAANTTATTCTCATCAACTCATCGTGCTGGATAAATAAAGACTCTTCAAAATGTACCAGTAGCAAGAGATTCATTGTGTATTATGGGGTGGTAAGATTTATCATGAAACAAGAGATTTTCTAATTTTGTAGAAACGGGCGAGTTCATATCAAGTGAAAATAATTTAAAACATAGAGAACTAAGCATACAAAATTAAAACATGCGAAGAAATTTGCCATTAAAACATGTTGAATCTTTAAGTGAAATTTCCTCTGGAACACTAAGCTCATGTCTGAAATCATTTAGAAAAAACCTCATCATACACATAATTCTTAAATTAGCTCGTTCTCTTATACAATATTAAATGATTCTACTATGTTTTGCACTTCTCTTAGAAGCAGTATTTTATTTTTATAATTGAATTATATGATAATAAATGAGTAAACTGGTATTGTCCGAACTAGACATAGTAACAAATTTCATAGTGACTGGCGCATAATGGCATACATTATAATCCGTCACCATGTCAGCATAATCGCGACTGAAAAATCTGCTGTATATCAGTTTATAGGAAAAATTATCAGGGCGCAGGGCAAAAAATTTTGCCCTGCCCTGTGACGGTCTCTGATTTCGACATGAAAAGTGTTAGTATGGTACGCCTCTATACATTTTCTGAAGACAAGTGCCCTCTGTGATGGCAGTAATGTCACTGATCTTGTCTTGATATTTGCTATATCATGTATGTTTTTTTCTCCTCTGTATTGTTCTCTCTTGTTACTTATTTGTTGCGCTTATTATTTTCAATATGATAAGTATTCTTCTCTTTTTTCTTCTTCAAGCTTCTTCATATATGGCTCTTCACTAAGATATACTACTATTCTTCTTCTCTATCAAAAAGAATCATCTTTTTGATTAATTGCATATTACTTTTTTCGTTCAACTTGATTGTTCATTACAATCAATCAAATTCGATTGTCCCTTACAATCGTTCGAACTCATGTCAGCTACTTGCTTGTGGAGTTCTTCTTATTATTCTCAACTATTTCTGTTCATTGAATAAATAATTGGGTCTTCATCCAATATTCAATACTATTTTATTTTTATTGCTGTCATTCTGCCAAAACCAATACTATGGCACCTGGCATTTTTGTTAGTTGCATCTCTGATCCTCACCAAGGCGTTACACCTTCATTCGCCTTTGTGTGCAAACATGAGTACCTATCTAATTCGAGTTCGACTATAAATGGAGAAAAGAAAAAGTTAAACTAAAACTAAATCTAGGAATAGATTTAGTTTTAGTGTAACTTTCCGATATGTGCGACATGTGATTACATATATACCCATCACCCACACCCACATTTGAGCACTCCTCCATGGTACCCATCACCCACAACCAGATTTGAAGTATCCCTGACACCCTCCCCCATCTGCACCCTTTCAGGGTACCTTTCACCCACACCCTGAAAACACTTTGATTTTGAATCTCTTTCACAATTTTATCAGATAATTCACCAGTACAAAAAGCTTCAGTACCTTGATTAACTATTATTTCAAGTGTACGAGCTAATTTTGGTCGTCGCATTATATCTCCAGTACCATACAATTCGTTTGTAGTCGAATTTTTTACAAACAGTTGTCTGAAAAGAAAATATTACTCGATTTTGTTTTTATTTGAATTTATTAGTTAGAAATCTCAATGCAGGATCATCAAGAATAACACGTGTTGTTTGTTAAATAACTGCACATTGGGATTCACTAATACGGAAACCTTCTCGGCATAATTGAATCGTGGGTTCAAATAGTTCTTTCCATGTTACACCTCCACCAAATAGTTTATAAGCTTTTTCATAAGTTCGCAATTCACCTGATACACCAATGGCTAATCCTCCTTCAATATGAATCTTGTATCTCGATTTTCTATTTAAACAAATTCTTACCAGCTACCGACATATTGTCTCGGTCAACAAACATTGTTAAATTAGCAGCTAATGGTGCTTTTTCTCTCTGTAAAATAATATTTTTATTGCAGAATAAAGATTTCCTCTTTCTTAATTGTGTTTTAAAACTTACTCCAATAATACTATAGGCTGTGTTGTTTTTCCTACGAATTATATTTTAAAGTATTTTCGAAAACAAAATGGACAAAACTCTCTTTATTTTATTTTGAATAAATTGTTATAACACATCCACTACCAACGCCCATCGAATGTGCATCCATGACGCCACCGCAAATAGCTGCTGCTAAAGCAGCATCCATTGTCGTACCATTTTTTTCCAAGTTGATACGACCAATTCTTGAGCATTCAGCACTATCGACAGCTACAGCTGATCGAGACTATTTTCCCAATATAGATGAACCATTGATAACATAAATTTCATGACTAGAACCACAGGCATTCTCACTGGTAGTTGAATTACTTGCACCTATAGCAATGGAATACATAGTCGATAAAATCATCGGAAAACTTAGGTCTGTGTAAAAATTGATAGCTTCATTAAAGTGTGAATCGAAAATCAGTTCAGAACAAAATGTTAGAGTTAGTTTTGAATGTTATTGTGAAACTATCTCCGTTTGAAATCTAACATACAGTATTGTGTATGAACAGATTCGGAATTTACAGAATCATTGCAATGCACTTTTCGAATTTTCATTCATACCAAATAAATAAACAGTATTGGAAGTTAATAGACACGTTGATAGGAGCTCTAAAATTATCTACACAAGCTAATGACTTGAGACTCTTGAAATAGAAATAGTTTCGAGATGAAACTGAAAGATATCTTTGCAAGATGTTATCTCGTTTTGTTTGTCAGAGCTCTGCTCCTTTTCAAATGTTTTCATCAGAATAATATCAAGTATTTGTGAACTAAAGAAACGTTCTCTCTGAAGACACTTCTCAAACTATGAGTAGTATATAAAAGAGATGTGCTTACGTTTTTTAAGCCTACAACAAGACCAGCATTAACACCAGCTATAGTAAGTGCAGAAACAACATCAATAGAAAAGAGAAGTAACTGTCGTCTAAATGTAAACTGAAGAAAAAAATATCTTCATAATTAATCCAATAAAAGTTAAATTAAAAGGGTTTAAACTAAAATCCACGTTTCTCTATTGCAAAAGTAAATAATATGAGATAGATTGATAAATTCTACAATTTTCAATGAACAGTCTCCATTGAGCGAGAAATTTAATTGAACTCAATAAAATCACACGTTGCTGATTTTCATGTAGATTTACAGAAATTTTCAAAGAGATTTAGTTTGTCTCTTGCAAAATATGCATATTCGTAAATCAATAAACACATACGGATAAAGTATCTATGATTCTTGTTTTTTTTATAGCGTGTGATTTTCCTGTTCCTGTGCTTAAACAAATAGTGTCGCTCTTTTTTATTTGAAAGTAGCTTCATTAGGTGAGTATTTTCTGGGCAAGGGACAAGCATATACATATCTTTCTTATCATATATTATATGAAATTATACAAGAGTCAATATGTTCTACCAAAGGCATGTTAGCCATCAACAAAATTGATTCTCGCATGATAGAGCATGAAAACGAATATCAACGGATATAATTTTTGAAACATGATAAGGAATAAGAATGTAACACAAAAAGTAAGTCAAAGAGTAGATGAAGGTTTTTCCTTTTCATGTTAGTATTATTTCTTTCTACAATGTCACCTTATAAAACTTATTCGATTAGATAGATAATTCAAAATAAGTCAGATCAACATTTTTCTAATGCTAAGATTAGCATATTTTATTTTCGCTTCATTGAAAATGAATCTTATTAATTTTTTTCTTTCACTCGCTATACCAAATCATCAAAATTCATTTTATACAAAGCGATGAATTTTAGATTATTATGCTTTTCAACATCGACTGAATCTAATAGTAATTTTAATTGATAATGCAGAAAAAGAATATCTGCAAAATTTATCATTATGTTCGTCATAAACATGAAAAACGTTGTCGTTGAATTCCCGATCGATTGATAATCGCGATCATCTTCACAAAATAAACCGCAACCGATTAATTAAAACATAATAAAAATGCAATTTCTCCTCTATATAGGAGTCAGTTTTACATTAGAACAATTTAAAAGTTATGTAAGTCACAACATATTTTACATCAATTAGTTGTGGCATAAGTTCTGAAGTTCATCTTCGAAAAATACATGGAAAAAAACTGTTACGGCATGAATTTTATGTTGAAAAAATATTAAATTCCAATATAAAGGAAAATTCGTAAACCGTTTTCAGCATCGAGAGAAAATCTTCTTACTGTTTTAAGTCAAAAAGTGCATTTAGACTTGCTAGTGAAAAGATCTTTTAGAAATACCATGTTGTTGAAGGTGACGATAAAGGTATAAAAATAAAATTGGTCTTACTGTTTATCTTCTTTAACAATCACTCGTATACATCACTGATCTAAATAAGAACAATATGAAACTCCTATTATCATATCTTCTAGCTGATTGAAATGCTAGTTTAGAATAAAGGTAAAAGATAATGGCAAATATAACGACATTAAGTGTGCATGAGTATTTAGTTGTGTCTTATTCCTGCGCACAAAATCTACGAATGACATTTTCGTAGCAAAAAAAAAATTTCTTTGATCACTATTTTGTTTTGTCGTGTGATATTGAAAGAGTAACAAATATATATTTTACACATTAGATTATCGATGTGAGCAAACAAAGACCGATTTATTAGCTAATTCAAGAAGCTATCAACTGCTTTACATCTGATAATAATATCTTGAGATTAATTTATGACCATACTTACTACAACAGTTTTAGCATAGACAATATGAGCGAACGATAAGACCCAGTTGACATAATTTTTTGTTGTTGTTGAATATAGATTGTAACCTAATTAATTGTGATTGCAATAGATGATTATTTTCGAGTAGAAAGTGAGACATTAATCCGAATGGGATACAAAACATTTAAAAACAAATTATCCTTTTCACATTTATCAAGAGAGCAATAACATGCGATAAACTATTGTAAAAACATTTTTTCGTTTAGACTATTGGTTAGATTATTTGAAACACTGGATTAGCCTATTCAAACTAAATTTTATTATTTCGTTTCTGATGTGATCGTATGTTGGTCATAGTGAAGCTGGCCTCCGATTGCACTTTTTGAAAAATATCAGAATCCTTCGAGGATCAAGATTGTCAAAAACATAGGATTTCCGATAAAAAATGACAAAAATATAGGACGTTTTATACATAGTTTCTGTTGAATTGCTTTGCTGTTTTTTAACTGCTCTGCTCGAAAATCGTTTTAATGAAGCTGTTATACACAGTTCAACCGTAGCCAAGATCCTTATGTAATTTTTTCTACTGAAATAAGTCGCTAATTCAAAGGTCATTATAAACGTTTTTCACAAATCGATACATAACAATAAAGTAGATCATAAGCTTTGAGGAAACAAATACATGAAAAAGACAAATACTATTCTCATAAATTAAAGGAGACGTTTCAGATTACGGACATGACTTCCCAAAAAATCTCAACCTAATTGTACTGTCCTGATAATCAGCATTCATTGCTTATTATTTTCCACAAGTTTATTTTGTATTTTATCATAACTCAATTTTTTCTGGTAATAAATAAGTGTAAATGAAAATGCATATACACAGGATGGTGTAAAATTTCACGAACTTTCAGAAGATGTGGTTACTTAAAATAAAATATGTTCTTTTGGTAACAGTATCCTCAAAATACACAGTGAAACTTATTTTTTCCAAGGGTATATATATACAGCTTTTATATCTAACTAAAACTTCACTGAAACCCCGAAACTAGTACATGATCATTTTGTGAATGTTTTTTTTTCTGTTGAACTATTTTGTATTTTGTACTTAGTATTAAACAATTTCTCAATCAGTCCGCTAAATAGGCGAAAGGAAAAATACTGTTTAAAATAAATGTCACTATAATACAAGAATTTGTCCAAAACACATGATTATATACATTAAAAGTTTTTTTTCGTCTAAAGGCAATAGCGAAATTAAGAGGTTTTTGGAAATTTTCTACTTTCTTCGATAAAATATAGGACAAAAATAGGACGTTTCTGAAAATAGAAGAATTGGAGGAAATATAGGTCGAATCGCCGCCCAAGTAAAGGTATATTTTTAATATAGTTGAGTGTTAATATAGATGAAAAAATGTTGCTAGAACTATTTTTGCGAGACTGAACTATAAAACACGATGGAATTGCTCGCATTAATCACAAGATCATGGTTTCATTCCATGTATTTTCTCTACTATCCTTTCATTTACTCCTTCAAAAATGTGATCAGAAATTAGCACACGACATTATTGAGATAAAGTTTGCAAGCATATATCAAGAATGGTCGATCGAAGATCTACATTTCATTTAGAATGTGTATTACAACAGAAAGAATTTATTTTCAAAGATTTCCTTCAAATACAATTTTAATTCTTGTAAGTTTCGTTCGATTGATATCAGTCAGATAGAAGAAAGTTTTCTTATTATCTTGTTTATCCATAATTATGTATAATAAAAAAATTGTGTTAGTAATTAAATGAAGAATAAAGATATTCTGATTTATAGAGAAGCAAAAAAAAAGAAGAATTTTGATATTATTTAATTTCATCCATATGTTATTTTGTTCAAGCACGTTCATCCAATGAATCAAACCTAAAATTATGAAAACAAGTTTCAAGAATGAATCATTTTAAAACAGAAATTAGATTTACCAAGGATCTATTGAACCTAATAAAGATTTTACAATATAATCACCAAATGAAAAAGGAAAACTTGGTCCACGAATTTGTTGAATTTCAGCTCGTTCCGAACGATAATCATCGATAACATCCAAATTAGGCATTGATTTATCCCAATTTGATAGATAGTTTACTGCTTGAAGATCATCCGTGCATGCCAAGAATGTAATATAGGTTTGTGGTGTACGTTCATTACGTAAGACAGCTTCTAATGTTCCAATATCTATTTGTCCATGATCATTTGTCGGTGCTCTGAATATCAAATAGACATTAGTTAGAAAATATATATTATTTATCTAAACTGTACCCATCCGTAGCAATTAGAATCAAGAGTTTTTTCTCATATGTTAAACTACGTTTAGCAGCAAGAATTTTTCTCAATGCTGGCACAAGAGGAGTTAAGCCTTGTGGTGGTGAATTAAACACATGACGCACAGTTTGCCCATTGTTTACGTTAAGCATAGGATCCCGATTTAAAAAGTAAACATCGATACCATTAGAATCCATAACAGCGCCAATATCAACGACTGTATTAACGACCTATATATGAAGAGAAGAGATTATTTCAAGAGAAAATTTCTACTTGATGACTTACAGATTTCAGTTCATCCCATCGTGATTGATTTGTACCTTGAAGTGGCGTATTCATACTGCCTGAATCATCACATAAAAGTACAATTTCGCAATTCGCAAGTATATTTAAACGTGCAGCTATTTGTGGGCTGATTTCATATCTTTGAGCTAGTTGATTCAGTTGTTGTGCACGTTGATCATTTGACATAAAGCCACCTTGTGGTGGTTGACCTGGATAGCCACCACCTTGAGGAGGATAACCACTAGGCCGAGGTTCATAACCACCAGGTTGTTGTGGATAACCTCCACTTTGTGGTGGATAACCTCCACTTTGTGGTGGATAACCTCCACTTTGTGGTGGATAACCTCCACCTTGTTGTGGGTAACCTCCACCTTGTGGTGGATAACCTCCACTTTGTGGTGGATAACCTCCACCTTGTGGTGGATAACCTCCACTTTGTGGTGGATAACCTCCACCTTGTGGTGGATAGCCACCACCCTGGGGAGGAGGATATCTCGATCCTGGACCACTGCTATTAGAACCATATGGATTATTGCCATATGATTGTTGACCAGAGGGTGGATAGCCACCAGGACCACCCGGTGCATTAGGATTTCCAGAACTTGGTCCGTATGGATTTCCGGTACTTTGCCCATACGGGTTGCCAGAGCCTCCGAATCCACCTGGATTATGACCTTGTGATCCTTGCATATTTGATTGTTGTCCTCTAGAATGTAAATAAATAGGTTTAGTTTTCAATTTTGATAATAGTTTCCTCAGAAATTCATTCTTCATCGTGCTAGAAGAAATACTTAATTCTTTATATGATTGAACAATCATGTTTTGCTTAAAGATGATTTTGTATCATATGTGCAGATCCTTGTTGTATAATTTACTTTCTTTTTATTTATTTTGATTAGCTCTAGTTTTTTTGTTGAATAATTCTGAATTTAGTTTTTTTCTCATACTGTTTTTGCGAAAATATAGATAATTTTATAAAACAGAAAGATTAATTAAAACTAGAAAAAAAAACACAAAAAGATTTAAAAAAAAAGCAACATTCAAGACATATTAAGATAAATGTTAGTAATTGAAACTTGCTATGGCAACTAACCTAACTTTATTACATAGACTTTATGGTATTTTATCGCATTACGAATGAGTCATTGTGTACGAATGAGTAATAATAGAATAGAAATTTAAAACAATGATTTTTCAACTTCTAGGAATGTTATGAATGAACACCTGAGGAGATAGCTCCGCCATAATCTTGAAAGTATTTTTTTTTCAGATGGTGATCCATTTTTCTATATTTTTTGTTTTTCTATTTGAAATAAAGTACTCAATTTTACGACAAATTTTCTTATCCACTTTCTCAACTTGTAATATTCTGGCAAACTCAATGATATAGCTGCTCATTCCTTCAGATAGTATATAATATACATTACCCCACGAATCCAGCTCCAATACTGTAGGGAGCGTTGTTTTGTTGTGCACCAGCCATGTTTTGCGGTGATTGTTGTGGATATGGAGGGTAAGGAGAGCTACCTGTCTGCCCGTAACCGGGGTATTGCTGATTAGGATACATTATATCGTTTCTTTTTTTTCGTTCGTTCTCTTTGTTTAACTGTAGTTCGTAAAACGACAAATGCGTGTAAAAACACAGTTAACGACTAATGAATGCACTTTACAACAGCTTGTAAGAAAAAAAACAGAAGCAAAAGAATGACGAAGGAATCATATAACGTCTCATCAGATGACGTGCGCGTTTAGTCATGTTACTTTTAGTTCATTTTTTTTCTCGTATATTTCTTGCGTCATTGTTTATTCTTAAATGTTTACTGTTCTTCTACTTTCTTCTTCCTATAATTTCAAGGTAAAAGAGGAAAAAGATGTTTGGTGGCAAGTTAAAAATGAAAATGAAAATGTTGCAGGCTTGTTTTCAAAGCATAATCTAATATTCGTAATAAAACGAAGTCAAAATATAATTCCATAAAAAAGTAGGGCACTTTTCAGCTCTCACATAAATTAAAAATGACAGAAGGATAAAATAATAAAAATCTAGTTTTGTCGTTTTACTTTCTAACCGAAGCATTCATTATTGTTGGCGCAATCAAATAGCACGTAACAGTTACTCATCTTGCCTAATGACGAGCTATTCATATTCACAAACCAAATCATCGAAGGAATCTAATCACGTTTTCTATCATTTAAAATTTTATTTGAAGAGAATAAACAACCATGAATGATGAACAATGTTCTTGTACCGATCATAATGAAGAATATAAAATAATGGAAAATTATCGTTCAATGGTTGATCGAAAACAAAAATTTGTATCTAGTTGGAAAATATTTGACAACAATGGAAAAGTAAGTTTTACACCGGGTAGGAAAGTTCGAAAACATACCGATGCCCTTATTATTCGATCAAATTATATTTGTCTTATTAACCCGTGGTATAAATATATCGATATCAAGAAGCATTTCCTATCAATCTTAAGGGAAACTGATTACTATAAAATATTTGAAATTATTTTAATTGAATGCAACTGTTCGACATATGAATTAGGAATTATTCAGTGTCCATGTATTGAACAATTAAAAACTTATTGTACATATTGTCGATTGACTTTAGCAATAGTCGAACATTCCAATGCTCGCATAGTCAATCCATTATTGAAAAATATTAGTCAACAAACGAATATTTCTTTTTCATTAGATTATTTTAATGAGGAAATTTCTATGAATGATGGTTTTTCAAGTCGGCTAGGACCATATCAACATCAACGTACAGTTCAAATTCAAATTGACTCAGGACAAGTTCTTCAAGCTATTCGAGACTACCAAATAGATCTGTTCAAAGCAAAGAAACTAAAAAATGCTCAACAACCAATATTTATTCATGAAGATTCTGACAAGTCGCCAATAGAAACTAAGGTGCGGAATACAAAAATTTAATCTACGAGAAATGGAAAATGAATCGAATTGAATTATAAAAGAAGCATTAGCTCCCTATTCATTTCTAATAGCCAGCTTTTCTTTCATTGGTTTCTAACAAAAGCAAATTTTCTGACCGTTTTTTACTTATTTACGTTTGATTCAAAAGTAAAGCGATCTATTGATTTGTTTTATAATTTTTTAAATTTATATTTCAGCAACTATGAACTGTTGTTTTTATTTAAGTCGATCGTTCTTTTACAAACTGATAACATGAAAGCATACTCATTACAATCAAATATAGACGATATTTCCCCGAATAGTTCAATATCTATTCCTTTTCTTTCACAAAAAACGTTGTCAACAAATACGTCAAGAACGTTATGTTCGACAGCGTCACTATTATCGCAAGATGCAATTGAGCCAAATGAAAATAAATTGAAATCATTAAGAAAATATAAAACTGAAGGTACGCAAACTAAATTATTTGCTATTCTTCTACCGAATAGTCCATTGAGTGTTATGAAACAAGCAAAAATTGAAACTCGAACATTGATAAATGTAACACGCACTTGTCAAATAAATACTCTTTCGTATCTAATTAAAACAAATGAAAGTCAAATAGAAATACAACACTCGTTAGAAAATGTTTCTAATAGAAAACAAATAGTTCGTCCATCATCATCGACGTCATTTTTCAGCAATGAAACTCCATTCATTGAAAAACTATTATCTAAAGAAAACGTTTTTGATAATAAATCATCGATGAAATCAAAACATCAAATGTTGATCGGCTATAGAAATCAGAAGCAAATAGTTGATGCACCTAACGATGAATTCAAAGAAAAACAACTAAATCACTTTATCTCGATGTCATCATCACTTAAATGCATAAATGTTTTTGATAATATTGATTTAGATGAACCTACTATTCCAATCGATTCCTTGTTGACCGATGATAAGAATTCACCGGTGATATTTTCTAATCAAGAAGCTAGACAATATTATCAATCAATGCATGCATCCAGCAGCAAGTATTTTGAATCACAACTTACGACTCGGAGAAAACTTTTCGATAATTCTAATACTAATATTGTCACGTAAGATCAACTACTATAAACGAGAAAATTTTATAGGATGTCCCAGAAGCTCTCGTCGGAGAACAGTACATGAATAACTTTAGCTTTCCATCCAAAACAAACTCATCCGTACCCTTAACTTGTCGGATCTATTTTAAGAAACTTCACTTTTAAAACGAGACAGAATAGTCTGGTGCTATTGAACTAAAAGACTAAACAAGCAGAAAGTAAAGTTCTTTTTAAAGAGATATTTGTTTTACTGCTATCATTTAGCGTGTCTCTATTCTATTCGATCGATAAATCAAATTCGACGAGTACTAAAGTCGTTTCGATTTTATGTTGAAATCTTTCGAACTATTCAAGAATTATTCGTGATTCTCTTTGTTCCGATAGGCTTTCAGAGGACATTCTATCCATAAAGCTAATAACTCAAATGATTAATATTATACACTCTATATTTCAAATTCCAGATATTCTAATAGTAATAATAATAATAATAAACAAATCTCAAAATCATTTCGTTTTAAAACATATCCCCACCGCAGTCTATATCGAAAAAGACAACAATATCAAAATAAAAAACGTATTTATAATTTCCTTCAACGATTATGTCGTCGAAAGAACCCAACTATTATTTCACAGTTATACATTTCTGAACCTCGTCCTTCATCTCAAATGATGCCCACTGATGATACTAATCAGTATGAAAATTGTTTATTAACTACTCAACTTGACACAATTAAATCCCGTACATCATCTAATCGACGACAACAATCTATTATTAATTTGAATTTAAATGATTCTGATATTATGCGTCAATATAAAGCATACGATCATACACTCGTTGCTAGAGCATCAGAATACTCTGTAGCCTGTAAAAAATTACAGAATTTACTTAAAAACAACGATACTTGCTTAGAAGAACTCCTCGATTCGCAACTACAATTAACATGTAATAATGATTACCGATCTATTTGTATACTTATTGATGATCATAAACAGTCAGAACACTATCGATCATTGTTTCTTCATTACATTTATACAAGTCTATCAAGTAGTCTTAAACAGATCTCTGAAAATGATTCAATACAATTAACATGTATGAATTTAGCTTTCTTTAATAATTCCCTCTGTGATATTGTTAACATGCAACGATTACGTTTGATTGATACAGGTATGTTATAAAAAGCTTTTGATAATATTTCCTCTTGCTTGTGTCTAGGTAGAAAAATATTCTTGCTACCTGCATGTGAAATACCATTACGAACTTCTAATGATATCGGCAAAGCTTTGAATCATCTTAGTAAAAACATGTCATTTGCACATCAAATATTAATCATTAATTTTTATAGCAAACAATCATCGCTATCTGGTTCATTTCTTTTTCTTCAATTGGCACCTATCTGTTCAATAAGATCAAAAGGTTTATTAACTAATTTAAATTCAACTACATATTCCGTATTGAATCTAATTAGACAATTAAGTAATGGTCAATTATTCAGTCGTAATAGAGCAAGACGATATCTCTTGAATGATTATTCAATAAATCGACTGTTGAAATCTTATCTTTTTTCGCCACAACAAACCGTGACTGTTCTTACAATGAAACCAAAACTTCAAAATAATAAATAATTAAAACAGAAGATATATCTTCGGCGTTAATATTATTTTATTTCGTACATCTATATATAGCATAAAAAGTACCAATGATTACTTCAGCTTATAAAATAATTTAAAGAATTAAAGAATTAATTATTAAAAAAATATCTATAATATTAAAAAAAAGTTCTGAAATACAACAAAAACTTTTGTAGATCTTCTGTCGCTCGTATCGATTATCAATGTCTGATTAATATTTCAAGTGGTGTACTTTCAATTTTTAAAAATTGTCCAGAAAACGTCTAAAATGTAATCAATTATAATATAAAATCAAAATAAAAGACGACACCATTTTACATACCGTTATAGATAGATTTGGAATTTCAAAATTATGAACCGTATGATAGCCTGAATAATCTTTTTCTTCAGGTCGAGATTGCCGAATAGCTTGATTTTGAGAATCTTTTGCAATCTAATAACAAACAAAAAAAACAAATTTCATACATAAGAAACCTATTTCTTTTTGAATGAATTAGAAATGAAGTTTGTTTTCAAACAGTTCTCAAGAGATTTGTTGACGAGCCCTCATAATACCCTTCGGCGAAGTCTAAAGAGTCTACTTTTCATTCACTTAAAGTGGCGGTTGAAAAGTTGATTGAGAATCGTTTCGAAATAAGTAACTTTTGATTTGATTCCAATTCCAAACAAAAGAAATGCAATTTTTCGGGCGGTAGAAAAATTGATTCATCCTAACTTACCATCAATAATGGATATTTTGATGTCCTTGCAATAAAAGATTTCCATCGATCGAGTTGTTTTTCGTGAAATATATGGTTTCTTATTAACTAAAAGGGAGAAAAAAAATTTTTAATATTTTCATTTCATTATGTTTTTACTTCATTGTAAAATGTTTTTTCGAATTCTAAATCATGTTTATGATATTGTTGTAAGATATAATTTTGTGTTGCAGTTACAGCTAAAATTAAATATAAAGAATAATGTTTGCATTTTAGCGTTCTGCATACCTAAGGCACGTTCTTCTGACGCTCGTAAGATTGTATCCGTCGCTTCATTATCTGATGCGATTAATTTTACACCTTCCATCTCAAGTTCAGTAATAATTTCTTGCCATATTTCACCCATTTTAAAATCAAGAAAATTTTCAATAATACACAGTGTAATATAATCTTCTTCTTGTAAACCCGGCAAGTCACCGAAACCTATTTTACAAAAAAATCCATAGATCTTCGAACGCATATTATCAATTAGATCTAATATTGCTCGGGATGGTTCCAAATGCTTAAGCGGAGTTAATGGTACTGATTGTTGAAGAAACCCCATTAAAGGTTTTCGATGATCACCAATAACGCCTCTCTCTGTCCGAGCAACCTTGTGAAAAATAATTTAGAAATAAATTATTAATAAAAATTTCAGTTTTTACATAGGTTTCATGTTCTTCGTCTCGCCATAATTCACAAAGAACATGTGGAAAATAATCTTGTTTATGTCCTTTCCATGCCATCATAAAATGAAGACATTTTGCATTCTCTGTTAAATCTAGTAAACATCCAAGAACGATGTTTTGTAAAGATTTCGGATTCATCTATTTTAAACAAAACGAAATTACTCAGTGTGATAAGAATAAAGAATTTTCTTTCCAATTTATACTTCGATTAAATCGAGTAGAGAAAAAATGCCTTGTTTTTGAATAAATTCATCTTCATTGAGAATACTGCCGACAATACAACACCATACACAATCAATAGTTGCGACAAGCAAACGATGATAACCAAGACCACCACAAACACACGAAGATTTCGTTGAAAGTATTTGAATTAACATTTCAATACCTTCAGAGCCGAAAATTTCCTTAAGGTAAAAAGAGATTGTTTTGAAAAAGCTTAACAATACATTGGAAAAACAAACACTCTCTTACTTTTCTATGAACATCTAATTCACCCATGCAACTTAGAATAAACAATCCATCACAAATAATATCTAAATCAACATAATCTATATGCGATGATTTCTCTTGAGTCATAACTCTCAAGTATCCTATATAAATCAAAATAAAACAACAATATCATAATAGAAAAATAAGCATTTTTAATCAAACCTGTAAGCGATGGAATAATTCCTTGATCACATAAGTCTAGATAAATACGTTCATCTTTTGTTGACACAAGACTACGAAACAATCGTACTGTATATCTTAATTGCGATCGTTTAGTGTTTCGACCACCTTTAGCAAAAAAGCTATTTCCTTCACTTTTATATTCATCTAAATATAAAGCACAACAAGAAAACAAAGAATTCTTTCAAAATAAAAAAAATTCTATGCTGACCTTGACTGATTGTCCATTCATAAAATAATAAAAGTCTTGTACTAACACCATACTCAAAATATTCACTTAATGAATGTGGCAAGAGAATTGAAAGAGCTGCAAGTGCATGCAATTGTAGGTCTTCATATTGTGATTCGTTCCAATGAAATGTATTTATTTGATGATCTGTTTTTCTTGGTAAAGGTTCAATATAAGACAACAGTGCCAATAAAACTCGACTACTGCTCATTAACTTTAAAAAGAAAATTAAATCAAATCTTTAAAAACAAATCAACAAAACTCACTTCGCCCATCATTGGATTTCGATTAAGTATTACAACTGTGTTAATAAGTAATTTTTTAAATTCGAAATCTTCTTGACTCGTTGTTAATTTGAAATTTTTTACTAACGGACTATTACTACGTACTAAATAGCAACAGAAATAATTAGTTTTCAATTGGAAATTAAGTTTTTCTTCTAAATTTACATTCAGGACAAGAGGCAAGTAAAAACAATTGCTTTGCAAAACCGGTTTCAACGACTAGAAGAAAAAAAAATGTTATCGAAGATATGCAGAAAGATGTTTTTGAAATACCTGGAGCATTTGGATTAGCATTCATAATAAGTGATAAAACAACAAGAATATCATTTCTAAAAATATATTTCTGTACGAGACTATTTTATTAAATCTATAATTGAACCTTAATTGGCGATGATATTGACTGTGACTTTGTGTAACTTGACCAAGAAATGCTTCTTTTAGAAGACTAAAACAAAAAGGCGATAATATTTCAGTGAGTTCAAATTTGTTTTATAATCAACCCCATAGTAACACGTGAATTCAATTGGTCAGCAACTTGTTCATCGTCACCATTTTCAATTAGATTCCATAATAATTCAATAGTACGAAATAATAGCCTTAATATAAGAAAAAATTGATTAAAAGCGACTGCACAAAGGAAAATTATACGATAGGGTGATTTTTCAGAACATTCTTTTTTCTCTATTGAATGAAGGTGTTCTACTAGAATCAGAAGATCTGACTGTAGAGGATCACGATATTCAAACACATTGCAATCATAGCTTTCATGAATGTTGACAAGTACTTCTCTTGATTGAAAACTTATTCAGCTTCATTGCTGTTTTCAACTACTTATTATTGTTGAGGAGAAAAAGAGTCTAAAATATCCTTGCTGATGTTTTTTGCTTTTATTTGCACTACTAATTTCAGCATCTATGATTTAAAATAAGTTATAATACGAAGAATTAGTAGAGAGTTCATCGATCATTCAGAAATTTTGACTTTTCATGGCTTCACTTGAACAAACGACAACCAATTTCATGATGTAAGACTATTATTCATATATTCCTGTTTGAACTTTATACATCACTATACGATTCAAGTGAGCCGAGGGCAAATTATAAATTTTTGTTTGTTATCGGTTTTATATTTGTATTCGACTCAGTAAAGTCTGCAGTATTCGATTGTTTACTTAAAATACCTTTAGAAATAAATTTTACATAGTGTTATTACTTTTTATTTGCTCTTTCGGAGCTGAATCTATGTATTGCAGTAGTGCTTCAATCGTTTATCGTAAAACGTTCTCTTCAATTCATATTTTAATGGTTACAAGGATATATGGCTATTAAACGATGTTCGAGGTTTCGTTTCAAGCTTTTTGGCATTGGAAATCATTACATTTAACCTTCTTCTCCACGGGCATCACCTTCAAAAGGATGTTTTAGTCTTCAAATTTACCTAATTTTGAACATCTACTATGCACTTATGAAATTTAACTGCCTACATTTTCGCTTTCTTTTTACTCAAAATCTTAAATTTGTAATGAGTATATCAAAGAAATAATTGAAATCTCTTACTCTCCTGATGGATCAGGGTCGTTCATTTTCGTTATTAAACGATTTACACAATCGTGCGTCAACATTCTTACCACACAATTGACTAGAATAGATAGTTTAGGTTATATGCATGAAATTCAGCAAAACATCATTGGACATACATGATTTAGATGAATAAATTTGTAATAATTTTATTATTTGAATACGAAGTGATAAGTCATTTTGTACCATAGAAAGTGCCTGTGAAAAAGTAATCAAATGTGGACAGTGTAGGATGAAAATTCTAGGTTCTACTTTAACAAGTGTCTCACAAAGATCACTACTACATTGAGTGCGAAGTAAATAAATGCGTGCTGCTGGTCTCAGACCGTCGTAGTCATCGTCAATTCTTGGTGATTTATTTGTTGTTTGAATTGATTTGTAAAGCGTTTCAAGAATACATTGTTGAATACGCTTATTCGGTATACGAAGAAGATATCCTTTGAGAAAATATTCTCTTTCGGCATATGATATTTCAAAAAAAAAAAGAAAAAGAATTGAATTCTTACCAAAATCTGAATAAAACGATACGAGTGCAGATGAATAAATCTCTGCATCTGTCGATTTATCCAAAAGAAATGCTTTTGAACAATTCTTCAAAATTTCTATAAAAGGATCGATAAATAATGGTTGTTGTTGACAAAGATCTACAAGTATATTGAAGATCTTCATAAGATAATGCAAATCTTTTAAAATCTAAAAATATTTTGTCATTTTTTTTATAAAAAAAAACTTGAAAAAAAAGATATTTCTTACATATCCGTTTTTGTGATGTTGACATATTTTGCTACAAAGACGTACACGCCGATCAATTAGATGTGACTGAAGACGAAAGATTTGCAGATTTTTTGCTTTTTAAGGCATGAAATCTTACTGAAAGAGGATCTTGAAGGAATTTGATTATCTTTTCGAATTGAAATGGTTCAACTTTCTAAAGATATCAAAGTTAAGAACTGAACGAATTTACATGATAATCGTACTCGTTCATCATCATTATCTGTTCGGGAAGTTAAAATGTGAACGATTGGTAAACGATTTTGTGTTATTTTCGGAAGGATAATACTCTTAACGATCGATTGTTGTTGTACCGCTAATAAAGACATTTTCAAATAAAAGTGCAAGTAAAAATTTACAGTCCTCACTTGTAAGATTCTCCCGGTTCCTACCATTTCGCTTTCCGGAGGGTTCAGTTACTTAGCAACTATATTTCGAAAGGAAGTCAAGGCATAAACTGAGTAGATTTTTTCGTAATTAGCCTTTTGAACTCGATGCCTAGCTTCATTTGATCATCGAAACATTCCAAACAAACCGATAGATGTCACTACACACGAAAAATTTGCCTGTATTTTGGTCAAGGACGATCTTGATATTTTAGAATTTTCGATATGTAACCAAAGATAATTGAGTATCTTTTGATTATATGAAGTCAGCTAAACTTTTGAAAGGACTCTGGAATATTTTACCAGGAATATTCAGCATTTTTAGTCATATTCAATCACTTTATAAGACTTCGTATAAAAGATTCCCCGTATATTTTACTATATGATTTATAGGTGCCTTCGGACAAAGCTAGAAGGAATTAATATTTTCAAGTCTATATCAAACTTGTTGTTGTTGTACCATAGATTAACTTTTCGGTAAAATTTTCATTGGATACTTGAGAAACTGCGAAGAAATTTTCGTATGAAATGATGTATCAAGTTATTTCTTAAAACATTATTTAATCAAGATTCTGTTACAAATTGAGTTAGAGTATATTCAAAAATGCATCTGTCTGGCAACTCATTTATGATCCTGATATCTTGAGCTCAGTACATTTGCTTGGATTTCATATCAACAACTATCTCAGTCGACTACATGACTTTTGCAAAACGCAATCGGTCTGAATTCTCGTGAATGAAACTTCACTTCTTGAAAAAAACTAATAAGTAAATATCAACTGCATGTTGATATTTCAGTCAATGAAGCTCCCATCCAAGCCACTCTACGCTTTTAGGTGTGACGAAGCTATATACTTTGAGCAATAGTGCTCAGGTTAATGTCGACTTTTATTTTCATTCAATGTCTAAACGTCACGTGACGTTCGTGAGATATATTATTTTGAATGAAATCCTGTCTCTATTTATGCTCGACAAAAATATATGAGGTATGGTAAAAGAAAAAAATCGAATACACACGAAGCGATATTTTTGTTTTAGACACAACATAATAGATTATGCGCTGCAGCAATAAAAATTGATCTGATCAATGCAGCGATGAAAAAGTGGATGAATCGATGGGAGCCACTTTGTTCATCATTATGTATATTTTTAATGAAAATAAATTATTTTTATGCGAAGAATAGACACTTTCATCGAGATTGATAAATATAAAAATCAAAGTAGTACAATATCTAAGAAACTATAGTTATCTATGAGATTCTAGAAATTATTTTATTCGTCAATATTGCATAATTGCAATGAAAGAAACTAAAAGAACGTTAAAAATATACAAGGGCGATATGAATATCTCATTTTTCATTGGCTCGTTGTAATTCATGCATTAATCATCTACTCATTAACTAAGTTAGTCTTTCTTATGTGAACTAATTAGCAATATAATAGTATCAAAGAAAAAAAAAACTTAGGTAAAGTACATTGTTTCTTATTTAGTTTTGAAGGTTTTTTTTGTGCTGAATGTTATATTGAGTCGCTTAAAAGTACTCACATTGATTTTAGTTTTTTTTTTTCGAAAGGCGTAATTACTTCTGCTTTCTATTGCACATGTTATTGGTCTATTAACATAGAAAAATAAATTTATGACAAACATGTGTAACATTAAAAAAAATATATTTTTCTTCGATTATTGTGATGATCAATGAAGCGTATCACGTGATGTCAGTTTGTTTGCGCCAGCAATTGGTTTTGAACTATAGATAGAAGTTAAATAGCAAGATAAATTTTTGTTGAATATACTGCGACAATATGCCTATTTCTAAGTGGCTTAAAAGACGTGGCAAGAAAGGTTATGAACCAAACAATCGCGGAGATGATTTTGACGAAAACGGCGATGGACGTGACGGCGAAGAAGACGAAAACACATGCATGGGCCGAAATGATGAAGAAGCACATGTTAATGATGGAACTAAAATGGTTTATTTTGCTTGTGAAACACCATTAGAACCTCTCATCGAAATACTCCACTCGGCTAGCAAAAATGTCGACGTAAGTTCTTTCATCTATATTTAAAAAATTTCTAAATAAATAAATAATAATTATAGATTTTTACAGTGGAGAGCGAATGTATAGAATTTATAAAGCCAGTAACAACGAAAGTTTTTGTTGTAATCGATGGTGTACCACCGACAACTCTAATGGAAGGCATTGAGCCGTTAAAACAAATTGATTCCGTATTTTTCTATACTCCTCAAAATGATGCAATAACTAATATAGCAAAAGTAACACATGGTTTTCTTGTTAATTTATGTGAAACAGAAGAAATGCTCATTGATAGTTTAAGAAAATCTCGCGAAGAATTGGATAAACAAACAGCCGCTTTTAGTATGTATAATAAGAAGGAAAAAGCAACTCGGGATCTTTCCAAAGAAGCCGGCTCGTTTTTATTTTTTCAATTGTTTAAAAATGTATTAAAAAATATGCCAAAAACAGGTGAAGCAAAAAAGACTATGGTCACAACATGTCGAAATTATTATCGTGGAAATTTAACTGAATTAAAAAATATTGATGACTTCGATAAAACATATAAATCGGTTGATGCTATCCCATGGTATACCAAAGAAACATTTGTTTATAAGTAAATTTCTACGAAAAGTAAAAGAAAATAATAAACATTTTATTTTTAGATTTATTAACAAAGCACTTCGTACAGAAGATGTTGATGTCTTATATCAATTTCGTTTTTACATTATGGATTTAAGTGAACAACTTGAATTGAAATTTCAAGAACTTAAAGCAAGACAAAAAGATGTTTTGAAACTTTATCGAGGTCTAAAACTGAGTCACGATGAAGTAGCAAATTTTCAAAACAGTATCGGAAATTTGATTTCAACAAACGGTTATTTATCAACAAGTAGTGAACATTCGGTTGCATATGGCTTTGCGACTAAATCGGCTAAACGAGAGGGTGTTGTACGAGCTTTATTCGAATATGCTGTTGATTTAAATACGGTACAAAAAATTGTCATTGCTGACATTCGACAATATTCAGCGTTTCCAGAAGAAGCTGAAGTTTTAGTTGATATCGGTGAGAGCGTTGCTTTCTTTTACATCGATAAATTTGACGAAAAAGATTTAGACTTATTTGTATATCTACCGCGCTTGTTAACTATAATTTGAGGATGGCAAATAGTTGATGCTAAGAGAAAAAACGCCAGGTGTGTGCGAGTATGAAAATAGCTGTACTAATGTTTTTGAATATGATTCATATTAAATCTATTGGAATTCTTTCATTATTCTATTAACCATATTATTTTTGCTTTTATAGGAGCATCATTTCAAATTGATTCTTGCGAATTCGATGCAAACGCTGACTTATGGCTTGTCAAAGTACACGCGACTGATCAAGGTGCTGCTTTAGCCGCTGATTACATGGAATATCAAAAGAAAAAGATGACGGAATCAAATATAGTTCTTATGTTTGGTAATTTACTTCTTGAAATGGGCGAATATTCTAAAGCCGAAAGATATTTTGATACTATTCTCAGTTCTTCGAATCCAAACGATGAAGAAATTGCTTGTATCTTTTTTAATTTTGGTCGTACACATAGATTAAAAGGTGATTTTGTTCGTGCCATAAATAGTTATAATCGTGCAAAGAATTTACATTTGAATGCTCGGCCAAAACGTTTAGCTAGTGCTGGAAAAACTTTAAATGGTCTTGGAGTTGTTTATACGGAGCAAGGACGACAATTGAAAGCCGAAGAATGTTTTCAACAGGCTCTGAAATTATATAAAATAAGTATTCCAAAAAAACATGTTGATGTCGCTGGAACATTGATTAATTTGGGTGCAATTGATTGCGATCGGCAAAACGTAAGATGAAAATGTTTCAAAATTTCAATGTTCACTTTTCTCCATGTTTTATTTAGTATGATCAAGCTGAAACTAGATTTACAAGAGCAAAAAAAATCTACGATCGTTCTCTTCCACCAGGCCATCCTAATCATGCATTACCACGAGTTAACCTAGGTAATGTTTATCTAGCGGCTGGAGAATATATAAAAGCCTGTAATGAATATGAATCTGCATTAAAATTACAAGAAGCATCATTACCAGGTGATCATCCTGATATTGCTCGTACACTACATAATCTTGCAGTTGTTCATACACATCTAGGGAATATGGAACAAGCTAAACAGTATTTGGAACGAGCAGAAGAAACAGCTAGTCATACATTATCGGTCAAACATCCAATCATGACTTTGCTCGCTAAAACAAAATGTTTTATGACTGAGGAAGCTGGAGGATATATTTATACGCGACATTGAAAAATATGAATATGAATATCTATATTCCTTTTTTTCTATTCGAAGAGTGTTTTATTTTAATTTTTTGTTCTTTAAACTTCAACCATTTGATACTCAAAAATTCGGATTTCATGTTCGGATGAATAAAATTCAATATTTCTTTCATGACAAATTCAATAAATCATATATTCTCTATTTAAATATTCTTATTCTTCATTGTCAACTCGAATATCATCTAGCTGCTTGATAAAATGCAATAATCTGAACATAAAAGCAACGTCAAATGAAAGACCCATATGCTGAATCTTCGTGTGATTCATCATGATTTGAACGTTGTACACACGTCTTGTTGTAAATAGCGCACCCCATATCCAATCAGTACACAGTCGGGAATGAATGTTACCTTTTTCTAAATTATTTTCAATTAATGCATAATTATGCTTCTCTCCAAGCATGTCTTTTTATAATCAAAATTTTGCATTTAGATCGTCGATAATATTCGTTTTTTTGTTTCGAAATGTTGAATTAATATTCCTTTGTCGATTTTTCTCTGATATTTTTTACTAAATTTTTAAACCTCTCAAGAAATTTCCGTTCGAAAAACTTTTGTGAAACACGATCTGAAAAGAGTGTTGAAGTGTATAGGGTAAAACTTTGCCCCCCCCTCCCCCACAGACCGTTACATGGAAATTAATTTCTCAGCGATAGTTTCTGAATTCTCTGCAACGGTCTGTGATGGTCTCTAGCGACTCCATACATCATGATACAGGCCGTGACAGAAAAGCTCCACAGATCACCACAGACCATAGTCGAAAGGCTCCATATATAATTACAGACAGTGGCGAAAAGCTGTAAAGGCTCACAGACTGTGGTAGACGGATTTCAGCAAAGACGTTTCATCGTGTTTCACATTTTAATTTCACAGGGATTGCGCTAACAGTTTTTTTTTCTTGTACGAAATATTCTACTGGTTATATTTAGTTTAGACTATTTGTCTAGTTATTTAGGGTACATTGACAATGTGAATGAAATATTTTCAATCACTTTTATTTCTTTTTGTGATTGAGCTGTGTCGAATGTTATGGGTATTTTTTTATGCTTGATGAGAAAAAAATGATTAGTTTTCATCAACGATAACGTCATATATGTTGTTATTCGAAGATTCATACTCGACGATGCGAATTCCGCATAGTTGTTAGTAAAACAACAAAGATAGACAAGGCTAGACAGAACGATATTGGTAGATGTAGTGCTCGTCGTATTTTATATTAATATACAAGATGTGTATTCTTTCACATGGAAAAAAGATCCTCATATAAAACTTGACAGAGATCATTAAGGAATTCAAAATGGTGAAGAATTTGATTCGAAAACTTGACCGAAGCTCACATGCAAATTTAAAAATCAAAACTTTTCTAAAATTTCGTTGCACCTTCAAGTACAGCTCTCTAGTAGAGGTGTTCGATAATGTACTTCATCAGTACATAATTAATTAATTCTGGCATGATGAGTTTTCTTCTGAGATTTAAATAGTTGATCTAATGTATAGAAGATTGAAAAATAGATAGCTACATACATAATTTTATTTGCAATTAAGAATGGAACAACTCGATATGCTTTCAATTTTCATGTAGAATTTAAATCCTGTTGCACATAATATTTTTTTTCTAAGTAGATTGATAATTCCGTGCTTACAAAAAAATCAGTAACCAGATAAGGATCAAGTTTGTATGATATAAAAATTGAACGCTATATCAAAAACAAAAATAATATGCTACCTTTATCCGACGCATTACTATCTATTAGATATTATGATTAAGTTATGTAAATTATAGAAACATAGGAAGTTGTGCGATATTGAAAATAAAATTAATCTTCACTAATTTTGAACAGGAATATATTTCATAGTTATAATCAAGATCTGACATCTTTCGATCTAGTATATTTATTCTTAATATCTAAAATTTAGTTAAGATATCTAAAAAAACATTTTCTTTTAAATCTTTAAAACTTTTGAATTGAATCAAGTGTTCAGATATTTTTTATCCAATCATTTATTTCTGATAATGGTTGACCATACTGGGTTGTCTTTGTTTTCTTTCGAGAAGAAGAAACAAAAGTTTCTTTGTGTGTTGTATTATTTTATATCTTATCTTCTGTCTCACAACCAAAGAAAGAAAATGAAAGGCCAACATGTTCTCATAACCGGTGCGGCTGGCGGTATTGGTTTTTCTGTTGCACGTTTATTTCTTGAGCAAGGTGCAAATGTTTCTCTACATTACAATCGTACATTTGAAACGCTAAATTCTCTACTCAGCCAATATGCTGATCAATGTTGCGCTCTATCGGTCAATGCAACCGATGAGCAAGCTGTAGCGAAAGGTATTGAACAAAGTTGTACTCGATTCGGTCTTATTAATGTTTGTATTGTCAATCATGCGACGTATGTTGATGATGAAAAGCCAATATGGGAAATGTCACTTGAGCAATGGCAATGTACATTGGATGTTAATTTAACATCGTACTTCCTTTATGCACGTGAATGGTGTCGTCAATTAATACGTTTAAAACCAACGGGTGATATTAGTAATTTAAATGCTAATTTAATTTTCATCGGTTCAACAGCAGGCAAATTCGGCGAAGCAAATCATATCGATTATGCCACAAGTAAAGGTGCAATTCAATCAGGTTTTATCAAATCTTTAAAAAATGAAATCGTTCATATTATTCCTAATGCGCGTTGTAATGTAATTGCACCGGGATGGACACGTACACCGATGGCTGTAACTGCAATTGAAGAAGGAAAACATTTAAAAGCATTACGAACAACATCATTACGAAAAGTAGCTGAAACTGAAGATGTTGCTCAAGCTTGTCTATTCTTTGCATCAAATAAAACAGCTGGACATCAGACAGGAAATGTTTTAATGATACACGGTGGTATGGAAGGACGCGTTTTATGGTCAGAAAAGCTCGAATAGTTTTTCGCTTTTCTGCTTGTTTTATTTAAAGCAAATAAAAATAGAAATACGCATGTAGGTCTAATCACTGATAGTAAACATGTAATCACAATCGAATAATTGACAGATATTTCCATTCAATAAATGCTCGAAATGTTCTATCCAAACTAACGGTGCACACATGTCATTATCAAGTAATGCTTGTAAACGTGTATAATCGGCTTTTAAATGAATCTTCCAATGCTCGAGTTCATTGGACGGAATATTAACGTTTTTATGTGTTGCATATTTCATTGTTAAATTCATCATTTTCGATGAATTTTCTAGTAAATTTGTAGTACGATCATCATATGATTGAATAAATCTAAGAATATAAGATAAATTTCAAAATTCTTATTTCACTTAGAATATTTACCGTTGAAATTCAAGCATCGTCGGTATAATAATCGTTTTAGATAATGATCTAGGTGATATGGGAACAAGATCAAAAGCGCGAGCATTAGCTTTATTTTCGCATTGCTGGTACGGTGCATCGATACGTTTTGAATGAACAGGAGATTTTTGCCGGTTATAATCTTGTTCAAAGAATAAATTTAGAGATCTATCAAGTCTCCAGTTGGTTGTTTCTAAAAATTGAATGGCATCATCCCTTTGACAATGTGTGATAGATATGAAATAAGTAATCGAAGATTCATGATTATCTGACATTTTGAAATCGATGTTCTAATAGTTTGGTGATCTATGGACGTCCAACTATAGATCGAATGGCTATCTTGTTTATCGAATAATATCATCGGAAGAACGAATAAATAAACAACAGGAAAATATCGAATCTATTGGTATTTTCGTATCTAGTAGATAGAGAGCTATTCAATTGGTACTACGAAAATCGTACTAACTATTTTCAATGTTTTTCTGTTATTTAGAGACATTTTTTTGGAGATGTCGATCATATTGCAGCTTTCATCAGTGAATTTTTGTATTGACAATCGTTGTATGAGTATTGCAAGTTGAAATTAAATTAAAGTATTGATAAATATGGCATAGCTTTAATATCAATATTGACTGGCAGAATATTTCTGTCACGAAACTAAATGGTGGAATTTATTTAAATATGCTAAACAACTCAAAATAATTCTTCACAACGCATTAATTGGCCGGATTAGAAAAAGTATTTAATTTGGCTAAAATTGAACGTTTGAAGTTAAGAAAATCGATCATAATCATAACTGATATGTGAATATCACAAGTAGACTAAATGAAATGTGTACGAAATCGAATCTTATAAAAATATGCATCATTTTTAAACATAATCAATAAATTATATGTGCTAGAAAAATTAGTATCTTCAATATCAAAGACAAAATATTCCGAATATCTCAAATATTCGACCTTCATGATTAATTCATCAATATTTTACATATGTTTTTCTATAATGCCCGACAGCCTCCAGAAAACAATAATATTAATAATAAATTAACATTATTGTTTAGATTATAGGAAAGGTTGGTACTTTGATTAATTAACAGCATCGCTTTATTGTGATATTGATTATTCTCAGATGTTTAAAAAATATCTTCCAAGACCATGTTTACATTTGTCTATGCGCAGAGACATTTGTCACAAAGCGGTGATGTTTTTTTCGAAAGAAGCCAACACAGTTTTTTTGATTAATGAATATACAATTATTCAAGATTTCCAAGAGCTTGCCATTTTGACAGATGATACCGCAATAAACAGAAGTTGTTGTTTTTAGGTTTTTGCATGATTTATATCAAGGGCAAAATTGCATTTAGTTTGATTGATTCGAGTTTGGATCTGACCTCTGACTGAGATAGCTTTATCATGACACATAAGTCACGAAGTACTGAAAAACCTTATGGTATTTCTAGTTGCATTTTTGGTTTAGATAAAAACAAATTAAAATATCTGTCAAAATATTTTATTATTTTAAGTTTGTGATAATCTTTATGCCAGACACATTGATTTAATACGCATATCTTTAGTGATATTCTTTTTTTATAGTTGTTGAACAACTTATGAATATCATATTAGATGAAATATTTGAGGCTCAAGTCGACGTAAAGTATCATCGAATCAAAAAATCAAAACACGTTTCTCTATCTTTACTGTTATACAGTCTTATCAGCAATAACACTCGACAAGTTTTTATTGACGTTTGAAGCTAAACTCGATAAAATAACTTGAATTACCTTTGCATACCTCTCCTGAAGAATAAAAAAAATGTTTATTCTACGAACAATTCTCCAGTTGGATGATAGCTCATACGACTTTAATACAGATAAACTCATTCAATTAATATTCAACGTTTGAATCTTGATAGGCTCTGGTGAGTTTTCTTTTGTAGTATTTAAAGCATCATCGATCATGATCACAATTCGCTGCATAAAATAGATCGGTTGTTAACATATTTTATGATCTACTCATAAATCATAAGATTGAAAAGAAGCGGCATTTAAAAAATGTCTACTATTTTCATTGGTTGTCTCCCACATTTACTATCAATATTAATTTAGAGAATGTGAATGTCATATTAATTCTAAAGTACGCTCAACTGTAGTATTATCATAGATGCAAAAGAAGGAGTTTTGAAGTTTTATGAAATGATATGCATTGATCAAGGTTGAATTTAGAATAAAAACTATCATTAAAATCAAATTAATATGATTCATCAGAAGATAACTCTTTTTTTTTATTTCAATAGATGATGCACAATCTTGATTCTATAGAACAAGAATTTTCCGTAGCATCTCTTCTTTGCTGATCAATTGCCATCAGTATGTTGAGATGATTAGAGAGGGAGAGAGAATAAACAATCTCCCGGCGTTTCACCCATCAAACAAATGATATGCCAATGGGTCAACTCAAATAGGTTCACTAATTGATTCAATAAATCAGTTAGACATGATTACGTATGAGATGCATACAGCAAATAATGTCCATGCGACATTGTATCTGTCGCTTTCCAGTCAGCAAACCAATAAGCAATGGATGATGCCGTTTGTGTCAGCTGCTTTGATGCATATCTCATCTAAAGACATGTCTAGATTTGTATTGCTGATTGGGTAATGTCTGTTGTATTACTATATTTGTATGATTCAGTGACAGCACAGATATATTCTCTACGAGATATAAGTATTCAAATTTACTGAGATGCTATTGATGGATCGAGATGTATCATTTATTTTTTTATTGAACTATATTATTCACGTTTACTTCTATATTTAGCCAATTTCAATAGAACAGAAGAGAATCCCCACGAGTAATTGGCAGAATGACACTTGCATAAATACAATTTGTCTTACATTAATCAAAAGGATATTGTCTCTGTTTTTTTACAAAATCTGTCATAACCACAGGAGTTAGCAAAAACAGACATGTAGGTCAAATAAAAGACGAGATGTGTAGCTTATATATAAAAAGTTTCCAATGGTGACAGAAGTAAAGATAAGACAAAAAATAATGTTTCATATCAAAGACGAATTATGCATGACCTATAACATCTAAATAAACAAAGTGCAGATATATCTCATGCATATATTCATCAAACTGATTGATATGAAATATGTAATTGTCTACAATAATAATGTTCTTTATTAACTTATTGCAATTATCATCTCATTCGTGTATGTTAACAAGCAAATTTGTTTTGATGGAAGTTAGTTTAGTGTAGGCATGCATAAAAATAGAAATTATCTTCTTTGATAAATGTTATCAGACTAGAAAAATATCTCAAGCAGTCGCTTCTATGCTATGGAATACTGCTATTCTTTTCATATCTATAAGACAATCAATCTGTTTCCCGTAGATTCAGATGTACTCGACTTAGGATTAAAATATGATCTTTCCTTCCGGAAAATACATTAAGTGCAACGCATGCACTCGAACAATTTTCATTTGTTATGTAGCCCGTCTAAAAGTATTTAATGTATTTTTCTTCAGTGCTAAAGGCAATACCATATGTCGTCTCTATTATCAGTGAAATATGTGGCGCATCTTACGATGATGAACCTATCTCTGTAGACTAGTTCTGAAAGATGGTATCATCATCATCTGGTCAGAACTTACTATTTTGTCAAAGCCACCGTTTAGTTCTTTTTTCTTTCACTACACAGACAATACCTCAGTAGATTCTAATGCACGTGGCACTCATTTTTTCGGAGAATATCAGTCTGTTTACTTGTATAGCTAAGCTGAAATGATCCCTGGTGATAGATCATGTTTGCCTTCTAAATCCATTACATACAAATCAAGGGAGAGCGATTTAATGGTTACAAGCAGTTTTTATTGCTCTACATACACACCCCAAAGATAAGCATAATATCATAAAAAAAAACATTAGTTATTGACGAAGACAACTAGTTTAGTCCGACATTATACGTCTACTAGAGTCAACAATCGAGTCCAATATGTAAGATAATCAACGTCGAGCTTTTAGAACAATATGCTTGAAGAATCAATTATGCATAATGATAAAATTTTATATACAAACACAATCTGTAAGTTTTGTTCGTTACTCTCGTTTTCATTTTAGTGAATTATTATCTGCCTAACCATCAATAGCAAAAAAATTGAATAAGTAGAAAAAGACAAAAACAAAAAAACAAAACCAATAAATTTTAGTGTTCGATGACGAATGTGTGGAAGAGAGAGAGAGAGAGAGAAAACATATAATATATATGAATATTTAAAAAAAAAGAGCGCTGTATAACATTACTTAACATAGATTCTAATTTCTTTTTTCAATAACAAATAGAAAAATGCATATTGCTTACGAACAAAAACAAAAAGCGGGCTACAAGTTCAAAAAACGAAAAGAAAAGAATTAAAGCAAAAAAGATAAATCACACAAGAAAGAAAAAGAAAAAGACAAGTTCAAGTTCAATGAAAATAGTTTTCTTCGAATATTTATTTCATTCTCTACTGATCAATATTTGACTATATGTCAATACGTAGAGACGCCCTGAGAGCGATTCTCTAATTATAAATATAGATTTATATATACAATGATACTGTCAATAGAAGATAAAATTTATTTATTTAAAAAATCGATTGTAGCTCGAACACATTTGCCTGTTGTAACATCAAGTGCGCTCACTTTTATTTCAGTATCACCAAAAACCATTCGAGTTTGAATCTCACGTCTTGGATTTTTATTAGCTGCTAAAATACTTTGGTCGACTGATAAATGTCCGCTTTGAAACATATCCAAAACAAGAGTACCTTAAAAAGAAAAATAATTATCAAAACATTTTTAGAAAAATATATTGGTTTGACTTACCGATTTTTCTTACACCCGGATCAGTTACATAGATTGGCTTATCTGATTCGGAACAATAGAATGAAATAATACATTGTGCTTGATTATGTCTTGCTGGTGTATATTTTCTAACAACAATATCACCAAGTCCAATGGATTGATCCACGAGAACAAATTTATCAAATATATCAGCACACCATTCAATATTATCTTTGATGATTTTCTTTTCATTTGGATGATAATCTGCTACGAATCGATTGAGTACAGAAACTCCATATGTTAAACGTGAACGACGAACGTTAACTATAGTAGGATCAAGTCCAAATAAAACAGCACCTTGTTTTTTTTTAGAGAAGAAAAACATAATTAAATATTTTTCATTTAATTAGAAAAAAAGAATATATGTTACCTTTCAAAATTGTTAAAG